ATGGAATAGCCAATAAAACTTAACCATTTCAGACCATGTGATTTGAAATGGGTTAATTTGCGTACAAGCTGAAAAGGTGTATTGTCTGGAAGCTTGTGCTGCACAGGAGTGAGCAAATGATACGAAATTGCACATATATTGCACCAAGTGCAAACTCGACACATACAGTGAACAATTAACTCACTCTGATTACTGTGTCTCGTTTTCGAGTTGACCGCACTGGAATTATGACGTCACATGAAACCCAAGAATGCTGAATCAAAGTCACCATTGAAATACCAAATACTTTGGAAAGTATGTAATTTCGAAACGTCTCGATTTGATCGAAACGTGGAGACATTATATATGTTAAATAATATATAGGCAGTTGCTCCATGGTTGAAGAAGATACGACGCTGCTACCTTGATTCCTGCGAGTTCGTGCCGTCTGAATGATGTTCCTGCAAGACGAAACTGACATTTACTTAATTGGAAATTCGAATCGTTAGTTGCAAATTGTAATCATTATTGTAAAATATGTGTAATTCATATATAATTTGTAGCTCAGTTAAATTAGTCTAATTTAATTCAATTTAATTTTTAGTCAGCGCTATATGGCACGTGGTATTTTAAATAAAGACTTACCCATTTATGTGATAGAATTGAAAATTTGATAATTTGGGCCATCGGGAGCGTAATTTATCCTCAGAATGATTTCTACTTATAAAAGGAACAAAGATGGCGGATCAAAATTTTATCCAGGTCTCGAAACACCCTAAGAAGTTGCTCTTCAACGTTTGGAATTTAAGTCAAGAAGACACAACATAGCTTGACTAGAACGTTGTCTAGTTTGTTACGAGAAGAAGACATGCGCAGAATAACGGGCGTTATATCCCTTTAGGGCCTGTTTACATGGCGCAAGCTATCCCAGCTAGGTGAAAACTGCATATAATGAAAGACTTGTCAATCAGGTTAAGCCATCGTTGTGATACGCTTTTACCTCGCCTAGCCGGGATGTCTCGCTCCAAGTAAACAGGCCCTAAGTATAAAGTAACGTTTTTATATAGTTTTTCGTGCCCTGTTATTAGGCTGTTAATTGATTTTCGTCCCATACGCATTCCAGCTATATTAAAATATCACTTTATTCCTATATTGACCTATATGCCAAAATGCGTAAATATTTAATCACAGAATGCCGGAGTAGGTCTCAGTCGCTATTTTTTTTCAACTCTATCGGCGTGCCATATATAGTTTTTGAAACCACCAGAAGAGTTAACAATAGTCATTTACATTAACGATAAAAGTTTTCGGCAACTGTTTTCTGACGTGGTAGCTAAAAACCTTCAACTATATTGTTCCTCGTGAGGCAAAGAGTTTGTTTGATTTGAAATGTGGGGTTGGGTAAATATTGCTATAATAATTTTTTTCGATAGATCAAAGAGGATTATATAGGGAAGGTTTTTTTCCCTACAATTATTTTTATAACCCGTCTGAAGTTTAACGATGACAATTTGTATATTGTCAATCACTATCTAAGCCGTCTTACAAACATGTCATTAATCTTTTCCAGATCTCCAAAGGGGGTTATCAACAACCGTTTACAATACAAATATCATCTTTGCATGCAGGTGCTTCCTCACCTACGCAACCGGAACTGTATCGTCTCTCGGGTGGTTAAGAGTTGGATCTGAAGGTCATTTCGTTACTTCAAGTTCGTTATAAAATCTTCAGAGAAAATTTCATTTCAGAAAATTTCAACAAACTGAACGCAGCTTTAACTAATTTTCCAACCAAAAACAATGGAAAATTTGAAATTTTCTCCAATGCGAATTGAAATTTTCTCCAAAACAAAAATCATTGTTGTATACCTAGTATCAAAATTCATCTTTCCTACTTTCCTTTTGGACAATCAACTTTCGACATTTAGGGTAAGCATTTGGTTGGATCAATGAAATGTAAATTAAACTATACTTCTAATAACAGTTTGTCGTTTGCTACCAAGTTGCTGTCAGTTGCTACAAAGATTTCTTTTTCAGCCTGATTTCTACGGTGTTCCGGGACGTACAGTTAGGAAAGAAGGAAAATTTTGGGAGATTCGATCTATAAAATACGGTTTCTGGTAATCCAGCGGAGCGAATTTCTCCAAAATGCTAGTGGAGAACTACTCACAGATCTGGAAGTCATTGCCATAATGAAATTTATAAAAATCGCGTAAACTTTGCTGTAACATAATAATTTATACATATATAGCTCGGTTAAAACTTGCATTGACTAACTGTCTTTGTTGTTTATTATATTTGAAAGCGGAAATTAACCTGAAGGCATGCAGAATATCCAGCATGCAAATTTAGATATTTTTAGCACAACTGTAAATATATATATATATATATATATATATATATATATATATATATATATATATATATATATATATCATGTAAACTTTATACGAGTTACTTTTCAGGTGTAATAAATATGCCTATAGATGAAAAATGCAAAGCAAATTAATTAATGAAAAATTTCAAAAATAACGAAAAGATGCAAATAAGGAGTATAAAACACTGCAGCAATTGAAATAAGTACAGACAAATGTTACTAGGACGAATCAATAGAGCAAATGGGTACATTCAAGAGAATAACTTCATTATGCAGTCCATGTAGGGAAAAACAACAGTGTGAAACAAATTTCAACATACAGGACTCCCAACCCCCGCCCCACAATCTATTGAAATCACCCATAACAATGTGTTTTTCAATGATTTACCCTATATGGACTGCGTTATTCTAGTTATTCTATTGAATGCATGCAATGCATTCATTTGCCTAATTGATGTTACATTCGTCTTTGACATTTGTGAGTACTCATTTGAATTGTGTAAAACGTTAATGAATTTCGTGTTTATTTAAAAAACATTCAAATGCTGTAATAACTAATATATATAATAATCCTACGCCAATACTCACTTAGAAATAATATACGTGCGGGGACAAGCACACTTATCAGCTGAAGACGTCTGAATTTTTCTGAAGACGTCTGGATTTTTCTGAAGATTACTATTATCAACAGCAGTTAATATATTGTTCTCTGTCATTACCTATATTTCCTTCATGCAAATATGTTAACTTTGCAATAGTTTATAAAGGAACAAAGGGACAGGTGGGAGGCCGTGAAGGTGCCTGTGATACAAATAACATTTAATTTTTTTGTTTTCTACGCCTTACGTGTTTGATGAGTTATACTGGGCTGAACAGACATTCTCCTATGATGAAAACTATAATGACGAATGTATGCCATAGTTGATTATGTTATTGGCTAACATTTGCCAAGTTTTGCTAAGTGGCACACAAAAAACAGTAAAACGTGCAACCTTCAATCATCGTGACAAATTAACAAATCGTTTTTTTAAACTAACTTGTTTCATGAGACATGTTTCCTTCATGTCTCTATATATACACTTTTTTTTGCGGATAGAGAGAGGTCTCCGTGAACGATATTCCGTGAACGTGTCGTGGATGCTTGAATGATAATGAACTATTCTATACTGTTTCAACAGTCACAGTCTTTTTTATTCCAACTGCCATAGCACTGATAATGTACACTCGAATACTTCTCGTTGCTAACAGACGACGAAAAAGAGCGCGAAGAGACGAACTGGGTCAAACCAGCCAATTTACAATAATAGTGGCATAGCCACTGTGCCTGTAGTACAAATAACATTTACATTTTTGTTTTCTACGCTTACACGTGCGAAGAACTTGGCTGAACAGACACGAAAACCAGTCAAAACGTGACAAATAATTTTTTACACTAGTTTTTACTTTTTAGAACTGCTATAAATGCATGTTTTCCTCACCCATCAAATAGACAACTGTAATGTCTCTATACACTTTTTTTGCCTTTCAAATTTTAAATTATTTTTAGAACAACAAAGTGTTTTAAGTATTCCTCGACAGTATGCACATCTAACTCTATTTACTTATTATGATTACTACCGTCAACTCATTAAAGTGTCAGTCAAGGCCTGTCTATCTTTACATCATCTTCCTTTTGAACATTTGTTTAATATAATTGATTTAGTATAATTCTCGCCTTATTATTAAATCTCCCCTTATATTGTTCCTTATTATAATTTATAATGCTCCCTCGTCTGTCGTATGCACGAGGACAAGACTGAGTGGCGATAAATTTTTTATAATTTTAACTGTAGAGCTCAAAGATTTAAAAAAAATGCACTAATTTGCATGACACAAGAAAACTGCTAAAAATAACCACTGTGTTTGCAAATTAGTGCACTAGTGCTGGATCCACCCCTGTGGACCGCTTAAAATTCTTCTGAGACAGTCACTGAGCTCCATTTCACGGGAAGTGACACTTTCCATATGATAATACTTGATATTTTCGAATCCTTTGTGGGCCAAGATATTCCTTGATAATATTATTGTGAGCTCTAACTCTGAGGCGGGTTGTTCAAAAGGCGATCTGGATTTCCGCTTTCCAAATGAGTCTGAACTATATGGTAACATTGGGTTTATTGTTGCGGATAGCATGAACTGTACTAGCTGTTAAGGACATTGTTCCTCAATCGGGGGGTTTTATATACTCGTCCTTTTATTTAACTTTTTTTTCCATATCAATTATACGACAAAAACAATATATCTTGGAATTGCATGAAAACTTATATTTCCCTGTTTCTTTATACAAGAATATGTCATCAAACAGTATCATTTATGGAAACGCGACTATCAGCCAAAACGAAATGACAAATTTGACGCGGTCATCGCCGCCTACCAGGGAAAAAACGCAATTTGGTACACAACAGTAATTCTTCTTGTGATCATAATCATCTTGGCCACTGCAGGAAACCTGATGGTTCTGGCTGCGATGCGGATAGAGAGAGGTCTCCGTGAACGATATTTCATTGGATGTCTGGCCGTCGCCGATCTTTTGATTGGAGTTTTCTCTTGTCCATTGCAGTTGTATGAATATGAAGTGGGTATTACTTCGATTCATCTTTGTCGATTTTACATGTGGATCAATATATTTGCCGAGTCCGCGTCGATTCATACATTGACGTGGATAAGTTGTGATCGATACCTTAAGATCAGTAAGCCATTGCGGTATAACGTAATCATGACCACGAAAAAGTCGAAAATTGTGATCACCATAATTTGGATAATTTCAACAGCGTATGCCACGTATGGATGTTTTGATATGTACGTTTCACCTTATGGATGCTTCAATAACAATGATTTATTCTATACTGTTTCAGCGATCACAGCCTTTTTTGTTCCAACTGCCATAGCACTGATAATGTACACTAGAATACTTCTCGTTGCTAACAGACGAAGAAAAAGAGCGCGAAGAGGCGAACTGGGCCAAACCAGCCAATTTAGAAATCATCCATCTTCTTTCTACCAAGACCTTAAAAATATCCGCATGATGGCCATTGTTATAGGTGCTTTTGTCTTTTGCTGGGGCCCTTTCTTTATTATAACTTTTTTTAATCGTCATAATCCAGCTCTCATTAAAACTTTTTACAATGAAATTTCACACGATTTGACAGCATTTATTCTGCCCCCTTTTAACAGTGTTTGTAATCCGATAATATACGCATGTTTTGATAAAAGATTCAGAGAGGCGTTCAAACGACTCTTCACACGATTGTGGCGATGAGCATAAAAAATATCCAGAAATTCGAACGGATAATAGTGGCGTAGTCAGTCCAACGATTTTGTCCCGGTATGTAAATTTCGACTTATTATAATTATTCATTTCTTTTAGAAATTTATTGTTTTCGCAGTCAATGAACACCAAAATATTAGCATATTGGGACAAATCGTCAGGCTGGCTACGCTACTAACCGATAATATGGAGCTTAAAATCAATTGAGATGTGTGCTCTAAAGATACTTTTTCATGTAATGAAACGCAGAGATTATTCGATATGCTTTTCAAAAATGAGTAAAATTGGAAAAAAATAAGTATAATTTGCTAAATCCAACGCAACAAAAAAAATCGGTTTACGTAATCAATTGCAAAGTGGATTACCAATGAAGTACCAAATACTGGTGCATTACTGAGCTAGGGTGTATAAAAAAAACTGCAACTCACTTACTGATATTCATATAATTATGTTCGCTTCTATTCAATAACAAAAGATCGTAGGCCCCTGGGAATTATTAAGGCTGCGTTTTTTTATTCACCCTGTATATGTATGCTTGGAAAGTATGTAATTTCAAAACGTCAAATTTTGATCGCAACGATCCTTTCGATCGAAACGTTGAGAAATTTTTAACTGATCTCTTTCACCAAGCTGATTAATCATTAGTAAAAACTTAAAATGCCAGCCAATTATGTAACAAATTCGCATGAAATGGGTAAAACAAGTATAACAACAGTTTATATAAAATAGTATATGGTCTCTCCTGCATCACGAAGGTCGAAATGTCTTTCGTGTGATCGTGTCTATTTTAGGCCGTTGTTATACCACATTTGATGCGACGTTTTTTTGCAGACCCTGCCACGCTGCTTTCTGGTTATATTGCAACCTTTATATATAAATTGTAGTTTATAAATAATTTGTAGTTTATATATAATCTATAGTTTATATATAATTTGTAGTTTATATATAATATTTAGATTATATATAATATAGTTTATATATATATAATAATATTTTAATTCGATTAAATTTGTAGTTGGGGGGAACAATAATTGGGGTTGACTGTTGTGCCCTCCTTTTGTACATGTTTTTTGTACGTAAATAAAGCGATTTAAAGATGCAAGATGCTCCTGGTAAAGAAGTGATAACGTCACCATAAAGGAATTACGACAAAAATGTTCTTACACAGTTACATGAAGTTACAGGCCTTTTTCTTACAAGTTATTCGCAGAATCTGTGAACCTCAAGGGAAACTTTGGCTCACGAACCTAAGGCCTAAGGAAAAATGTACTGACAATTACTTAATTGGCAGTTGGAATCGTTACATGCAACTTTAGATATACGTTCTTCAATCATTATTGTAGAATATATGTGTAGTTTATATATAATTTGTAGCTTTAACTTAGTTTAATTAAATCTGCAGACATGCAGCACTCGCTTGGGACTTTTATATAAAGTCTTACTGACTTTAACAGTTGACAATCTGAGCCAGTATAGGGGCTTGTAATTTGGCTCCCTAGCTACCGATAGTGATTTTAGTTACATAGATATTGATAGTGACAGGTAGTGATTTTTTTTCAGCATGATTTCTACATGTAAAAGAAATAAAGATGGCGGATCAAAACTTATCGAGGTTTCGAATCACTCTATGTAAGAAGTTGATCTAATTCAACGTTTGGAATTTTATTTTAAATGAAAATCGCAAAACTCAACATAGCTTCGACTGGAACGTTGTATAGTTTGTTATGAGGTGAAGACATGACCTTTGGTGACTTTTTGTGAGCGATTTGCCTTTTGCGAGCATAAATATTTTTGATCACAATAGGTCGGAGTTACTCTCATCTCTCATTGATTTCGATAGATCAAAGATGACTAGGGAAGGTGTTTTGGCTACAATTATTTTCATAACCCGTCTGAAATTCTAAATGAGTTCAATGATGACAATTTGTATCGTCAATCACTACTGATTGATTGCATGTATTACTGGTGTGACGATTTCTATCGTCGACGTGGGCGCTGCAAACGCTGATCCAAAACAACAGCAGTATTCTAATAATTAATATAAAATATTTTTTCTACAGTATTTTCAAACAAACCCTAATCCTAGAGAGTATCCGTCTTGTTTCTTCGGCTAGCCTCCAACACTTTGATTACGATGTATCACCAAGCGATTCCCAGGGAAACCCTCGTCTCTTACTTTTTTTTTATCGGCTTTAGTTATTGCAACACTGACTCGTTCAGCTTCACCACACTTCTGGGTTTTGCTTCAGAAACCCCGTCGCTTCAATATACTTGACTTTAAAGGCTTTACTTCAACTTTATCAAATATAGCATAAATATAGCGTAGTAATTTCTAGACGGGTTCACCCCAATACTCCGCTTATTCCACTCAAAATGTTCTTTATAACTCTTAGGACCGCTTTGCTGACTTGTCCTGTCTCAACTCTCTGACCCTGATTTAAACTCTTTCCCCAGTTTTTTATATCCCCCTAATTATTATTACCATATTTACAACTCAATTATCATGTAATTATAATACAACTATTCTTCACAACTGGGTGATCTAAATTGCGATTCCGATCCTGATGTTTTTACGCGAAGACTGCATGCAATTTCTTTTCTGCGCTTATCAGTTTGACCATGCAGTTAATAAATGAACCTTCAAGGGTAACGAGAACGTCAGCAACCCTTATCGATTTGACTCTTAGTAACAGGAATTTCAAAGAAAATACTGTTAGGAAATTTTTTTACTTTAAAATCTAGACAAAACCTTAGACGTACCTGATGACCGTAATTTGAAACACTTTAACGTTACGGGCTTTCTATCACAAATTCTATGGGAAAATATGGCACAATATGAAAAGCCAAACGTGACCAATGACGTGCACCACTTAAATGGATGAGGAACAAACATACTACACTGTCAATTGAATTTTTTATAGTATAGTATGAACCTGGGCTGAAACTTTATGTTCCAATACCTGTATGGAATAACAGTGCCAGTTGACAACTTTCGTTCAACAATTTTCGATCTTTTGGAAGTCGCATTCAGCATTCGTTTTGTTTTTACCTATATTATCTGGTGAATTATATAATTTATGATTTCTAGTTATACGTTATGCTTCGGAGCTGCTCATACTTCCGAGCCGAATACGATTGGGGTATTCTTTTACCCTATTCGTATACCCTTTAGATGAATTATATATTAATTTTAAAACGAATATAATGAAGCGGAAATTTCACTTTAGTTAGAAAATTTCGAGTCACATTTATCAGCTGCAGACGTCTGGATTTTTCTGAAGATTACTATTATTAATATACCAGTTACTATACAGGGTGTCTCAAAAAAAACGCAAACACTTAAATATGCAAAAACATTAATACAGCTCTAGATAAGCACATCTGGGAATTGAAAATCTTAATCCTTCATTTAAAATGCCAAAAGTCATTTTAGCTGAACTATGGCGCAAACCCGCGAACAATATTAATATTCTTGCATATTTAAGTGTTGCGTTTTTTTTGAGACACCCTGTATTGCATGTTCTAGAGCTATCAAGAGTGGCGTAGTCAGCCCGACAATTTACTCATGCTATAGCCTATGCTAATGCTGCGGGTAAAAACAATGAATTTTTAAAGAAATGAATAATGATAACATAAAATTTGCAAAGCATGACTAAATCGTCAGGCTGGATACGCCACTGCCACTGCCTATCAATACCTACATTTCCCCCAGGTATGTTAACTTTGCAATAGTTTATAAAAGAAAGTTTATACATGTAACATAACGACAGGTGGGAGGCTGTGAATGTGCATGTGATACAAATAACATTTACATTTTTGTTTTCTACGCTTACGTGTGCGAAGAACTTGGCTGAACAGACACGAAAACCAGTCAAAACGTGACAAATAGTTTTTTACACTAGTTTTTACTTTATGGAACTGCTGTAAATGCATGTTTCCCTAACCCATCAAATAGACAACTGTAATGTCTCTATACACTTTTTTTGCCTTTCAAATTTGAAATTATTTTTGAAAAACAAAGTGTTTTAAGTATTCCTCGACAGTATGCACATCTAACTCTATTTACTTATTATGATTACTACTGTCAACTCATTAAAGTGTCAGTCAAGGCCTGTCTATCTTTACATCATCTTCCTTTTGAACGTTTGTTTAGTATAATTAACGTTGTATAATTCTCGCCTCATTATTAAATCTCCCCTTATAATGTTCCTTATTATAATTTATAATTCTTCCTGGCCTGTCGTATGCATGAGGAGGCTTTAGACGAGTGTTATCTTAATACCCTGAAAGTCGAATGAATGACTTATGTATAAATCTAATCAGATATTTATTGCATCATCATCGTTGAATAATCCTGATCATAAGCTGCATGGCTTGTTGCCTACAGTTAACAAGACTGAGTGGCGATAATTTTTTTAATTCTAACTGTAGAACTCAAAGATTTAAAAAAAATCCACTAATTTGCATGACACAAGAAAACTGCTAAAAATAACCACTTTGTTTTGTAATGCAAATTAGTGCACTAGTGCTGGATCCACCCCAGTGGACCGGTGAAAATTCTTCTCAGAGCCAATCACTGAGCTCCATTTCACCGGAAGTGGCACTTTTCATATAATAATACCGAATCCATTGTAGGTCAAAATAGTCCTTATTAATAATATTATTGTGAGCTCTAACTCTGAGGCAGGTTTTTCAAAAGGCGATCTGGATTTCCGCTTTCCAAATGAGTCTGAAGTCTGAACTATATGGTAACATTGGGTTTATTGTTGCGGATAGCATGAACTGTACTAGTTGTTAAGGACATTGTTCCACAATCCTGGGGATTTTATATACTCTTCCTTTTATTTAACTTTTTTACCATATCCATTATACGACAAAAAAAATATATCTTGGAACTTCATGTAAAACTTATATTTTCCTGTTTCTTTATACAAGAATATGTCATCAAACAGCATCATTTATGGGAACGCGACTATCAGCCGAAACGAAATGACGAATTTGACGCGGTCATCGCCGCCTACCAGGGAGAGAAACGCAATTTGGTACACAACAGTAATTCTTCTTGTGATCATAATCATCCTGGCTACTGCAGGAAACCTGATGGTTCTGGCTGTGATGCGGATAGAGAGAGGTCTCCGTGAACGATATTTCATTGGATGTCTGGCCGTCGCCGATCTTTTGATTGGAGTTTTCTTTTGTCCATTGCAGTTGTATGAATATGAAGTGGGTATTACTTCGATTCATCTTTGTCGATTTTACATGTGGATCAATATATTTGCCGAGTCCGCGTCGATTCATACATTGACGTGGATAAGTTGTGATCGATACCTTAAGATCAGTAAGCCATTGCGGTATAACGTAATAATGACAAAGAAAAAATCAAAAATTGTGATCACCATAATTTGGATAATTTCAACAGCGTATGCCACATATGGTAGTTTTGGTGGCCATGTTAGACATCGTGGATGTTTGAATGATAATGAACTATTTTATATTGTTTCAACAGTCACGGTCTTTTTTGTTCCAACTGCCATAGTACTCATGATGTACACTCGAATACTGCTCGTTGCTAACAGACGACGAAAAAGAGCGCGAAGAGGCGAACTGGGTCGAACCAGCCAATTTAGAAATCATCCATCTTCTTTCTACCAAGACCTCAAAAATATCCGTATGATGGCCATTGTTATAGGCGCTTTTGTCTTGTGCTGGGGCCCTTTCTTTATTCTGAATTTCTTTCATCTTCACAATCGAGCTCTCTTTAGCATTTTTTACAATGAAATATCACACAATTTGGCAGCAATTATTCTGCCTCCATTTAACAGTGTTTGTAATCCGATAATTTACGCGTGTTTTGATAAAAGATTCAGGGAGGCGTTCAAACGTCTCTTCACACGATTGTGTCGATGAACATAAACATTTCCAGAAATCCAAACCAATAATAGAGAGCTTAAAATTAATCGAGATATGCTCCCTGAAGATATACTTTTTCATGCAATAAAACACAGAGATTCTCGTTGCTCGATATACTGTTTCGAACGCAACCAAAAATTGGTGGGTTTCACTTAGTGTTTTCATAGTGACTTGAGTGCCGGTCAGCCTCAACAGACCTTTTCAGCTTGTATGCAAATTAAACCACATATGAGATGTTGTGTCCATGGAATAGCCAAAAAAACTTAACCATTTCAGACCATGTGATTTGAAATGGGTTAATTTGCGTAAAAGCTGAAAAGGTGTATTGTCTGGGAGCTTGTGCTGCACAGGAGTGAGCAAATGATACGAAATTGCACATATATTCCACTAAGCGCAAACCCGGCACAAACAGTGAGCAATTAAGTCACTCTGATTACTGTGTCTCGTTTTCAAGTTGACCCCACTGGAATTATGACGTCACATGAAACCCAAGAATGCTGAATCAAAGTCACCATTGAAATACCAAATACCGGTCAGAATTAAGTGGTCAGAATTATATGTAACTTTGGAAAGTATGTAATTTGGAACGTCTCAGTTTGATGGATACGAATCAATCGATCGAAACGTGGAGATATTTTATGTTTAATAATATATAGGCAGTTGCTCCATATTTGAAGAAGATACGACGCTGCTATCTTGATTCCTACGAGTTCGTGCCGTCTGAATGATGTTCCTGCTAGACGAAACTGACACTTACATGATTGGAAGTTTGAATCGTTAGTTGCAAATTGTAATCATTAATGTAGAATATACTGTATGGGTAGTTTATATATAATTTGTAGCTCAGTTAGTCTAATTAGTCTAATTTAATTCAATTTAATTTTTAGTCAGCGTTATATGGCATGTGATATTTTAAATAAAGTCTTACCCACGTATGTGACAGAATTATAAATTTGATAATTTGGGCCATCGGGAGCGTATTTATCCTCTGAGTGATTTCTACTTAAAAAAGGAACAAAGATGGCGGATCAAAATTTCATCGAGGTCTCGAATCACCTTAAGAAGTTGCTTTTCAACGCTTGAAATTTTAATTTGATATAAAATCATGAAAACACAACATAGCTTGACTAGAACGTTGTCTAGTTTGTTATGAGAAGAAGACATGCGCAGAATAACGGCCTTATATCACTTTAAGGGCCTGTTTACATGGAGCGGTTAAGCGAGTTATCCCAGCTCTGCAAGGTGAAAAATGCATATAATGAAAGACTAATCAGGTTGAGCCATCGTTGTGATGCTCGCTCCAAGTAAACAGGCCCTAAGTATAAAGTAACGTTTTTATATAGTTTTTCGCACCATGTTAATTGACTTTTATTCGCCCCATACTCATTTCAGCTACATTAAATATTCTATATTAACCTGTCGGTGACTTCATATGTCACAATGCGTAAATATTTGATCACAGAATGCCGGAGTAGTCTCAGCATAGGCGGCCCAAAATTGCGCGAAAAATTTTTCGGTAATTTGTCTATATTATACATTACATTGACAAATTGCCGAAAAAATTTTCGCGCGAAAAAATATCGCCCAATTTTGGGCCGCCTATGGTCTCAGTTGCTATTTTTCCCTCTCTACCGGCGTACGATATAAAGTTTTTGGGGGTTAACAATAGTCATTTACATGAACGATATAAGTTTTCGGCAGGTGTTTCCTCACGTGGTAGCTAAAAACCTTCAACTATATTGTTCCTCATGAGGCATAGAGTTTGATCTGAAATGTTGGGTTGGGTAAGGGTTGCTATAATTTTTTATTTCGATAGATCAAAGAGGATTATAGGGAAGGTTTTTGTGCCTACAATTATTTTTATAACCCGTTTGAAGTTTAATGATGACAATTTGTATATCGTCAATCACTGTCTAAGCCGCCATACAAACATGTCATAATCTTTTCCATATCTCCATAGGGGGTTATCAGGAACCGCTTACAATACAAATATCATTTTTGCATGCAGGTGCTTCCTCACCTACGCAACCTGTATCGTCTCTCGCGTGGATTAAGTTCGTTATAAAATTTTTGGAGAGAAATTTCATTTCAGAAAATTTCAACAAAAAGACAGCTTTAACAAATTTTCCAACAAAAAACAACGGAAATTTTGAAACTTTCTCCAATGCGATGAACAAAAATCAATTATATAGGTATATGCCTACTCTCAAATTTATCTTTCCTGCTTTCCTATTGCATGGACAAGAGGTCCACGCGTGGAGGGCTTCAAATCTCCATGATTACGTGGCATCAACGCGAGCGGGCAAATTATGAGATTTCACTTTCCTAGGGCAAATTATGAAATTCCATGCCCGTTGCTATGCTTTCTCTAGCAACGCGATCCGGGATATCACAGGAAAGTGGCGAACATGTATATTTTTAGGAATAAAGAACTTTTCTACTATTTTTGAAGTTATATTATTTCATATTCTAATCTATACAGGTAATGTCTAGGAATTGGCTTTTCTTTGGCCTCTGGGTTATTTTAATTTTTGAAAATGTATAATAACAAATAACTTATTTCAAATTTCTGACACCTCGGGAGAGCAGTGTGTTTTGTTGAACCTCGACCGCTCGTTATTGTCCTCGGCTTGATGGAAAATTAAGTTAAAGCTGTCTTTTTGGCCTTAGCGATGTTTAGAATAATTTTAATAATGTTATACAGTAAAATGATGTTATTTCTATTTTACAGTCTTTTTAAATTAGCCTTTCTAACGATGCCGATGGCGATTATCCGCTATTTTGGGGGACTCTCAATTTTTAATATAGCTGTAAACAATTAGCTGTAATATATGTAAAGCAATCTTTAAAAATGTACGGACCAACAAAAAACCCCTCAAATTAAAAATAGTCGCCGTTACGAGGTCTTATAATTATATGCTCTCGTTTTTGAAAATAGGATTGAACACGTATTTGCTCACCTTGTCCTTCACGCAGAACGGGTGCCTCACGTTTTCAACAGCTAAATTAAGGCTGATCTATCTTAACATGCATGCAAAGTGCAAACATTATGCTTGCTATATTACTATTAGTTACACACAATAGCACTCGAAAATTACCAGCGGGTGACAACACATAGTCTACGCATAGACGCAGACTCGTTCCCAGTCGTTATTTTAAAACCAGCAGATGCACGAATTTATAGTTATATATATATATATATATATATAATTATATATATATATATATATATATATATATATATATATATATAACGGTCAGTGGCAAAGGAAGATGCGGCACAACCCACTGAGCTCTTCGCACCCACGGCACAATATATACCTGAACTATATAACTAACTAGTAGTTATATACCTGAGCTATATAACTAACTAGAGCTACAGCTCAGAAAGCAGTGGATATGATAAAGCGACTGGGGACGAGTCTGGCATAGACGGAATATGGCGGAAATACCGTCTATGTAACAGCGCCAAATTCCGTGTTCTATAATTATTTATCCCCAGAATCTGGGGGACGCTGTGTGATTGGCTACATATTTAATTACGAAGCCTGATTGGTTACTCACGATCAACAAAGCTTTGATTGGTTTAGAGCGGAATAATAAAAATATTTTTCGTGGGAGTCAACAACAAATGGCAAGCTGTTAAGCTCAAACACAAAGTCTTCTTTGCTCCGTCCTTGAACTAGGTATTTGTCCTTCGCTCTCCCGATAATCTCCTTACAAAGGATACATTCGTGAGTACTCGACATTGGCATTTACATTGCAAATTGTTAATGAAGATCAAAAAGACGATAAGGTTTTTGTTGCAGACTCAAAGGAAGATCGAAGAACATGTGAATTGTGAAATTTGATCATAAATGTTTCGTGCATAAAATGCGAAAATTAATTACTAATTTCAATTTACGTCACATTTTGCATAAATTACAGTACACGAAATTTGGCTCTGATACGCAGCCCTCTTTTTCCCCGCCTTTCTATTTCGGGCATGGGTCTGCGACGCAGGCTAGACAGCACAATGATCTGTCCTTTCCTTGAACTGGCTATTTGTTTTCCTAGACCTAGAATTGTTAGACCTGAAGTAAATATGGCGACGAGATATTTAGATTTGTTTTTACGCGATAATCTGATTTTGGCGTGTTTTTTAGTCTTCTTCAGATCGAACGAATATTCTGTTTGTAGCCAAGTCATCGAGAAGAAATCTCGTGCGGAGAAACTGTATACTAAGACTACTGTGTTTGATAGAATTGGTTATCTCTACAATAATTCTATCATGAGCGATATGAACTTAACCTACGGTGACAAAGGGCCAGGTGAAATTTTCTTCGCTCATAGATGTATATTGGCAGCGGTTAGCCCCGTCTTTTATGAAAAATGTTATACGGAATCTTCCATGAACAATATATCAAGTATACATTTGGCAGACATGAGCGGAGTAACCTTTGCAGGATTGTTGTCTTTCGTCTGTAAAGATGAATGTCCGACGGATGTGGACGAAGCTTTCGAAGTACTAAGATCAGCAATGAAATATAGAATTTCCTCATTTGCCGATGCTTGCAGAGATAATTTGCTTTATCGTAAAATCACGCCAGAAAAGGGATTTGAGTTGCTGGAATTGCTGATAAAGTCAGAAACGGAAGCATTAGCAAATGCCGGCTGGGAGTTTATAGACAGAAACCCTAGCGATTATTTCAAGTCAGATCATTTTCTATTCATCAGCAAAGTTACTTTGGATGCGCTGTTAGGTTTGTGTATAATTAATATAGCCTCATACTGCTGTCGTTGTCATACTGAAGGTTGTCATCTGGAAATAATAATATAAATACGTAAAGTATTGTCACATGATTGTACTGCATACGTTAATTTAATGGGAAATCGTTGGAAATGTGTTTTGAAAATTTCTTAAATGATATTTATATATTTGCATATATATTGACATGGACAACCTTTTTGACAACGCTTTCGACATTTAGGGTAAGCATTTGGTTGGATGGATGAGATGTAAATGAAACTATACTTACAGTTTCGTTTGCAGTTGCTACCAAGATTTCTTTTTCAGTCTGATTTCCGCGTTGTTTAAGGAAATCGATATGTAATCATATTTTCTTTTTTGGGTTAAACCTTTTTTGCATTGTTATATACTCCTTGCATTTGACACTCTCAGTTTAAGCGATGCAGTTGCAAGTTAATCCCGAAAGGTTTTGTGAGTTGCCGCTATATCCCCACTGCATGTAACATTCATCCTTCAACAAAGAGAATTATTTTTCTGCGTTAAAATATACATACGTTTTTCAATGTTAGCACGTGAAACACTCTGCACAGATGAGATGACAATATTCAAAGCCGTAATGAGATGGGTGGACAATCAGTGTCGGTTACAAGACGTGCAGCTAACCCGTGAAAACAAAAGGAAAATTTTGGGAGATTCGATCTATAAAATACGGTTTCTGGTAATCCAGCAGAGCGAATTTATCCAAAATGCTAGTGGAGAACTGCTCACAGATGTTGAAATCATTGCCATCGTGAAACTTATGAATGGGATCGAGGCTCCAGACTTAGGATGGGATTCGACCTTATTAAAACGTCAAGGTTCGTGTGGATATTGGTTTTTGAGCGCCCGTCTTTGGCTTGCTATAGGAACACTATTGGTATCTATAATAGGCGGTGTAGTCTGCCTAAATAACAGATGATAACGTCGAAGATACTAAGTATATTTATTATAGAAGTTATAGGCTATACTTGTCATTATAAAACTTGAACTCTTTTGTTATTTTATCCAGAAATTGCGTGTTTAATGTGACATAATTATCAAAAAATAAACTTTAATCTGACATAATAATTTACAGTACTGTCGAGAATAACGTAACACTGCTAGCGTATGTTAGCGTATACTGGCGTATGACTAATTGATCATCGACCGAACGTGAGGTCTGTACTCTCAAATATCACATCGAAGGTTTTTAGTGTTTGCGAAATTATGCAAATTAGGTGTAACATTGTGCAGTAATACATATATAGGGAAAATCAACAGTATGAAACAAATTTCAAAATACATGCAGGGTTCCCCATGCAAACCCTTCAAAAACTATTGAAATCACCCATAACAATGTAATATTTCGTAATGCATAATGAAGTAATTCCACACTCCGTTTCCCTTATTGCTGTTACATTCGTGCTATTGAAATTTATCTGTAGTCATTTGAATTTGTAAAACATTAATGATTTTCGTGTTTATTTAAACGACATGCAAATAAATAATGAATAAACTTACGCCAATATTCACTCAGAAATACTATACGTGCGCGGACAATTAACACATTTGTAGGCAGAAGACGTCTGAATTTTTCTGAAGATTACTAGTGTTACTATCAGTTACTATACTGATCTCTGTCAATACCTATATTTCCTCCAGGTATGTTAACCTTGCAATAGTACGTCAGTTTATAAAGGAAAGCTAGCTTACAAGTAACAGGTGGGTGGCTGTGAAGGTGGCTGTGAGACAAATATTAACATTTAAACTGTTTGTTTTCTACGCCTTACGTTCGAACTATACTGGGCAGACATTTTCCTGTAATGGAAATCAATGATGAATGCACGCTGTAGTTGCTTATGTTGTCAGGCTACCGTTTGCCAAGTTTTGCTATATGGCATGCAAAAACCAGTAAAACGTGCAACCTTTATATAATTATCCGTACATCGTTTCTTTAAACTAATTTTGACTTTTTTGACTGCTGCATGTAAATGCATGTTTCCCTGACCCATCAAATAGACAACTGTAATGCCTCTATACACTTTTTTAGCCTCTCATGTCTGAAATTATTTTTGAACAACAAATTGTTTTAATTATTCCTCGTATGCACATCTACCTCTATTTACTATATATAATTACTTATGTAAACTCATTAAAATGTCAGTCAAGGCCTGTCTATCATTACATCATCTTCCTTTTGAACGTTTGTTTAGTATAATTGATATTCAAATAACTCTCGCCTTATTAAGCAAGGAGGGGTTTCAACAATGTCAGTGTAGTCTACTGATAATTCGTAATTTTGTCATTTCGCATTATAATTTAGTATTTTTCACTACTTAAATCTGAACGCAAACTTTTTATATGATAATAAGATAATGTAATTCGCTGTCTGCTTCGTTTTTAGTCGCTAGATTCGCTTAAGATAATGTTTAATACTTAATACTTTCGAATCCTTTGTGGGTCAAAATATTCCTTAAACTTTTGATTGGCCTTTTACAGGAAGGACAGTTGTCCTATACTTTCAATTCAGTATTCCTGGGATATTTTTTGCAGTTAGTTACACTGCATGGTTTACATGCATATGAGTAAAAACTGTTTCAATAGACCTTTTCCCTTTTAGCTTTCAAGCGCACGATGCGTGACGGAAGTTGATCATTAAGCAACTTTGAGTTGCAATATCGCTCTGCTTAGAAGCGATTTTGTTTGTAAGAAAACATAGTCGATCCTTTTGCTTCTTTGTTAAACTAAATCGCTCCTGACCATGGCGAAATCACAACTCAAAGTGACCCGGATAATCAACAACCGTCACGCATTGCGCGCTTGAAAGCTAAAAAAGGAAAGTCTATTGAATTGACCGCGATGTCTGATATAACAAGGCTAGACTGTGAAACTTTAAAATATTCATAAAATAATGACTCTCTTTTAATAATATTATTGTGAACTCTAAAACTTATATTTCCCTGTTTCTCTATAGAAGAATATGTCATCAAACAGCATCATCGATGACAACGCAACTACCAACGGAAACGAAATGACGAATTTGACGCGGTCATCGCCGCCTACCAGGGAGAGAAACGAAATTTGGTACACAACAGTAATTCTTCTTGTGATCATAATCATCCTGGCTACTGCAGGAAACCTGATGGTTATGGCTGCAATGCGGATGGAGAGAAGTCTCCGTGGACGATATTTCATTGGATGTCTGGCCGTCGCCGATCTTTTGCTTGGAGTATTCTTTTGTCCATTGCAGCTGTATGAATATGAAGTGGGTCTTACTTCGATTCATCTTTGTCGATTTTACATTTGGATCAATGTATTTGTCGCGTCGGCGTCGATTCATACTTTGACGTGGATAAGTTATGATCGATACCTTAAGATCAGTAAGCCATTACGGTATAATGCAATAATGACCACGAAAAGATCCAAAATTGTGATCACCATAATTTGGATAACTTCCACAGCGTATGCCACGTATGGGGGGAGTTTTGATATCCATGTTACACATCATGGATGCTTCAATGATAATGATCTATTCTATACAGTTTCAACAGTCACAGTCTTTTTTATTCCAACTGCCATAGCACTGATGATGTACACTCGAATACTTCTCGTTGCTAACAGACGACGAAAAAGAGCGCGAAGAGGCGAACTGGGTCAAACCAGCCAATTTACACATTATCCATCTTCTTTCTACCAAGACCTCAAAAATATCCGCATGATGGCCATTGTTATAGGTGCTTTTGTCTTGTGCTGGGGCCCTTTCTTTATTATGAACTTCTTTAATCGTCATAATCCAGCTCTCATTAAAAATTTTTACACTGAAATATCACACAGTTTGTTAGCATTGATTCTGCCTCCTTTTAACAGCGTTTGTAATCCCATAATATACGCGTGTTTTGATAAAAGATTCAGGGAGGCGTTCAAATGTCTCTTCAAACGATTGTGTCGATGAACATAAACATTTCCAGGAATTCGAACCGATAATAGTGGCGTAGCCAGTTTAACGATTTTGTCCCGCTATGTAAATTTTAACTTATTATAATTATTCATTTCTTTAGAAATTTATTGTTTTCGCAGTCAATGAACACCAAAATATTAGCATACCGGAACAAATCGTCAGACTGGCTACGCTATATATTGACTGATAAAATAAAAATAACATATATGGTCTCCCCTGACGAAGGCCCTTAATTAGGTCGAAACGTCTTTCGTGTCCATTTAAGGCAGTTGTTATATATATCACATTTGATGTAAAGTTTTCTTGCAGACCCTAGCTTCCACGCTGCTTCCTGGTTATATTGTAACTTTATATATAATTTGTATTTTACATATAATTTGTCTTTTATATATAACTTGTATTTTATATATAATTTGTAGTTTATAGATCATTTGTAGCTTTAAATTAGTTTTTAATTCCATTAAATTTGTAGTTGGGGGGAAGAGTAATTGGGGGTGACTGTTGTGCCCTCCTTTTGTACATGTTTTTTGTATGGTAAATAAAGATGCAAGAGATGCAAGATTTAAAGATGCAAGATGCTCCTGGTAAAGAAGTGATAACGTCATCATAAAGGAATTACGACAAAAATGTTCTTACACAGTTACATGCAGTTACAGGCCTTTTTCTCACAAGTATTTTGCAAAATCTGTGAGCCTAAAGGGAAAATTTGGCTCACGCACCTAAGGCCTAAGGCTAAATGTACTGACAATTACTTAATTGGGATTTGGAATCGTTACTTGCAACTTTAAATATACGTTCTGCAATCATTATTGTAGAATATATGTGTAGTTTATATATATAATTTGTAGCTTTAACTTAATTTAATTAAATCTGTAATCATGCAGCGCTGGCTTGTGATTTTTATATAATGGCTTGTGACTTTTATATAAAGTCTTACTCACTTATATGACAGAATTTAAAAGTTGACAATCTGAGCCAGTATATATAGGGGCTTGTTATTTGGCCCCCTAGCTACTGATAGTGACTTTAGTAACATAGTTATTGACAGTGACAGGTAGTGATTTTTTTTCAGCATGATTTCTTCATGTAAAAGGGATAAAGATGGCGGATCAAAACTTATCGAGATTTCGAATCACTCTATATAAGAAGTTGATCTAATTCAACGTTTGGAATTTTTATTTCAATTGAAAATCGCAAAACTCAACATAGCTTCGACTGGAACGTTGTATAGTTTGTTATGAGGTGAAGACATGGCCTTCGGTGACTTTTTGTGAGCGATTTGCCTTTTGCGAGCATAAATATTTTATTACAATAGGTCAGAGTTACTCTCATCTCTCATTGATTTCGATAGATCAAAGATGACTAGGGAAGGTGTTTTGCCTACAATTATATTCATAACCCGTCTGAAATTCTAAATGAGTTCAATTATAACAATTTGTATCGTCAATCACTACTGATTGATTGCTTGTATTACTGGGTGATCTAAATTGCGATTCCCCTCCTGATGTTTTTACTTCGCGACTGCATGCAATTTCTTTCCTGCGCTTATCAGTTTGACCAGTTAATAAATGAACCTTCAAGGGTGACGAGAACGTCAGCAACCCTTATCGATTTGACTCTTAGTAACAGGAATTTCAAAGAAAATTTGTAAAATCTGGGCTAATTCATCTCGACACATCCGATCATAGTTTGACTTTTGCTGTTAGGAATTTTTTTTACTTTAAAATCTAGACAAAAACCTTAGACGGTGCCGGATGACCGTAATTTGAAACACTTTAACGTTACGGGCTTTCTATCACAAATTCTATGTGAAAATATGGCACAATATGAAAACCCAAATTCCTCTTGGCAAGTCTGGAAATGTTTTTATACGAAAATTTTTGATCGACCAGCACCATTTAGATGGATGAGGAACAAACATACTACACTGTCAATTGAATTTTTTATAGTATAGGATGAACCTGGGCTGAAACTTTATGTTCCAATACCTGTCTGGAATAACAGTGCCAGTTGACAACTTTCGTCCAACAATTTTCGACCTTTTGGTAGTCGCATTCAGCATTCGTTTTGTTTTTACCTATATCATCTCGTGAATTAAATAATTCATGATTTCTAGTTATATAGCTATATACGTGTGAAAATGCGTGCAAAAACAATGAATTTCTAAAGAAATGAATAACGATGATAACATAAAATTTGCAAAACCAAATCGTCAGGCTGGATACGGCACTGGTTATCAATACGTATACATTCCCCCCAGGTATGTTAACTTTGTAATAGTTTATAAAGGTAAGTTTATCACAAGTAACATAAGGACAGGTGGGAGGCTGTGAAAGTGCCTGTAATACAAATAACATTTACATTTTTGTTTTCTACGCTTACAAGTGCGAAGATCTTGGCTGAAGAGACACGAAAACCAGTCAAAACGTGACAAATAGTTTTTTAATTTTACACTAGTTTTTACTTTTTGGAACGGCTGTAAATGCATGTTTCCCTAACCATCAAATAGACAACTGTAATGTCGCTATACACTTTTTTGCCTTTCAAATTTTAAATTATTTTTAGAACAACAAAGTGTTTTAAGTATTCCTCGACAGTATGCACATCTATAACTCTATTTACTTATTATGATTACTACTGTCAACTCATTAAAGTGTCAGTCAAGGCCTGCATGTCTATCTTTACATCATCTTCCTTTTCAACGTTTGTTTAGTATAATTGATTCAGTATAATTCTCGCCTCATTATTAAATCTCCCGTTATAATGTTCCTTATTATAATTTATAATTCTTCCTGGCCTGTCGTATGCATGAGGAGGCTTTAGACGAGTGTTATCTTAATACCCTGAAAGTCAAATGAATGACTTATGTATAAATCTAATCAGATATTTATTGCATCATCATCGTTGAATAATCCTGATCATAAGCTGCATGGCTTGTTGCCTACAGTTAAAAAGATTGAGTGGCGATAAATTTTTTAATTCTAAATGTAGAACTCAATGATTTAAAAAAAATCCACTAATTTGCATGACACAAGAAAACTGCTAAAAATAACCACTGTGTTTTGTAATGCAAATTAGTGCACTAGTACTGAATCCACCGCTGTGGACCGCTGAAAATTCTTCTCAGCCAATCACTGAGCTCCATGTTTACCGGAAGTGACACTTGCCATATAATAATACTTAATATTTTCGAATCCTTTGTTGGTCAAAATATTCCTTAATAATATTATTGTGAGCTCTAACTCTGAGGCGGGTTGTTCAAAAGGCGATCTGGATCTCCGTTTTCCAACTGAAATCAGTCAGAACTATATGGTAACATTGGGTTTATTGTTGTGGATAGCATGAACTGTACTAGTCGTTTAGGACATTGTTCCACAATCGGGGGTTTTTATATACTCGTCCTTTTATTTAACTTTTCTTTTCCATATCCATTATACGAAAAAAACAATATATCTTGGAACTGTATGTAAAACTTATATTTCCCCGTTTCTCTATAGAAGAATATGTCATCAAACAGCATCATCGATGACAACGCAACTACCAGCGGAAACGAAATGACGAATTTGACGCGGTCAACGCCGCCTACCAGGGAGAGAAACGCAATTTGGTACACAACAGTAATTCTTCTTGTGATCATAATCATCCTGGCTACTGCAGGAAACCTGATGGTTCTGGCTGCGATGCGGATAGAGAGAGGTATCCGTGAACGATATTTCATTGGATGTCTGGCCGTCGCCGATCTTTTGATTGGAGTTTTCTTTTGTCCATTGCAGTTGTATGAATATGAAGTGCGTATTACTTCGATTCATCTTTGTCGATTTTACATGTGGATCAATATATTTGCCGAGTCCGCGTCGATTCATACATTGACGTGGATAAGTTGTGATCGATACCTTAAGATCAGTAAGCCATTGCGGTATAACGTAATCATGACCACGAAAAAGTCGAAAATTGTGATCACCATAATTTGGATAATTTCAACAGCGTATGCCACGTATGGAAGTTTTGATATGTACGTTTCACCTTATGGATGCTTCAATAACAATGATCTATTCTATACTGTTGCAGCGATCACAGCCTTTTTTGTTCCAACTGCCATAGCACTGATAATGTACACTCGAATACTTCTCGTAGCTAACAGACGACGAAAAAGAGCGCGAAGAGGCGAACTCGGACAAACCGGCCAATTTACAAATAATACATCTTCTTTCTACCAAGATCTTAAAAATATCCGCATGATGGCCATTGTTATAGGTGCTTTTGTCTTGTGCTGGGGCCCTTTCTTTATTATATATTTACTTTATCGTCATGTTCCAGCTCTCTATGACAATGAAATATTACAAAGTTTGGCAGCAATTATTCTGCCTCCTTTTAACAGTGTTTGTAATCCGATAATATACGCGTGTTGTGATAAAAGATTCAGGGATGCGTTCAAACGTCTCTTCACACGATTGTGGCGATGAACATTTCCAGAAATTCGAACCGATAATAGTGGCTTAAGGCGGATTTCCACTTACAGCGAAATCGTTCGCTGGCGAAATATTTGCATATTTTCTTTTGAATTGAGAGCACTCAAGTCGCACTAATTTATTTATGCTGTTTAAATTCAAAAGAAAATATGCTAATATTTCGCTAGCGAACGATATCGCTGTAAGTGGAAATCCGCCTTTAGGCAGCCTGAAGATGTTCTCCGCTATGTAAATTTCGAGTTTTTATAATTATTCATTTCTTTACAAATTTATTGTTTTCACAGTGAATGAACACCAAAATATTAGCATAGCAGGACAAATCGTCAGACTGGCTAGCCTGGCTACGCTACTGCACGTTAATATAGAACTTAGAATCAATTGAGATATGTGCACTGAAGATACCTTTTCATGCAATAAAACACAGAGATTATTCGATATGCTTTTCAAAAATGTTACGATTAAATGAGCATCGTGCACAAAGTAAGTACAATTTGCAAAATCAAACGCAATAAAAAAATCGGTGTACATACGGAATCAATTGCAAAGTGGACTACCAATGAAGTACCAAATACTGGTATTACAGTTACTGCAACTCACTTAATATTCATATATGTACGTTTCTATTCAATTACGATTTAAAGATGCATGCCCGCAAGATTTAGATACAAGTGATTAGGAAAATACCCCTGGAAAAAAAGTGGTAACGTCACCACAGAAATGTTCTTACAGCAACAGGCCTATTTCTCAAGAGAAACGTTGACTCACGCACCGAAGGCCTAAGGCTAAAGGTACTGACTCTTATCTACTTAATTGGGAGCTTAAATCGTTACTTTCAACTTTAAATACACTCAGTTCTGCAATCATTATTGTAGTATATATGTGTAGTTTATATATGATTTGTAGCTTTAAATTAATTTTTAAAATTAAATTTGTAGTCATCGCTAGCATGTGATATCTTTTATATAAAGTCTTATTCACTTATAAGACAGAATTTGAAAGTTCGCAATCTGATCCAGTTAGGCCGGGTGTCGCTATTTTTTTCCAGCATGAATTACTACATTACTACATGAATTACTACCAGTAGCATAAAGATGGCGGATCAATACTTATCGAAGTTTCCAATCACTCTAAAGGCCCGTTTATACTTTTGACAAGTCTGGATATCTTTTTATACACAAATTCTTGATCGACATGCATGCACCATAAGGCACATGACGTATATCCGAGGAACAAACATACTACACTAACGATTGAGTTTTAGTATAGGATTAAGCTGGGCTGAAACTTTATGTTCCAATAACTGTATGGATTAACAACTTTCGACTTTTTGGTAGTTTGTTTTTGCCTTAATCATTTTTTGAATTAGCTATATATGGTACACCACGTATAAGTACTAGTATTTAATATACTGCAAAGCTTTTGGCCTTCGTTAACCGCTCAAGTTGCTCAACAGAAGTAAACGAGTGAAGACTACGGAGAGGCAAAGAAACAATGTCATTTTGAATATTATTGCAATACAGTGTTGGCAAAAAGGCCGCATCGGTTTATCATAATAATTGCGAAACACGCTGATTCTGATGCCCAAATATTTTCGTATGCGAAAATATTTAATCACACTACTATTATTATTTCTACTACCGCTGCTGCCACCGCCACCGCCATCCCAAGCGTATATTAGCGTATACTGGGTTATGGCTGATATTTACTATACGCTGTCATACGCTAGTGCATGCTATACACACAGGGCTTTAAGAAATTGATGGAGAGTTTTAAAAATAACGAAATAATGCAAATTAAGAACACTGCCGCAAAAGCCCGCAATTGTTTCAAAACGGTACACCGCATTTTCATTTCATTTAAATCGACACGAAATTCATTAACGTTTTACACAATCCAAATAAGTAGGAACAAATGACAATAACACGAATATAAGATGCATCAATAAGGCAAATGAATGCATTCAATAAAATAACTTCATTATGCAGTCCATATAGGGAAAATCAATAGTCTGAAACAAATTTCAAAATACATATTGTGTCCAAACCCCCCCCCCCCCAAACTATTGAATTCACCCATAACACTGTAAAAATTAAATTAAATTAAATTGAAATTTGTTTCACACTGTTGATTTTCCTTATATGGACATCATAATGAAGCTAGTCTATTGAGTGCCCTCATTTGCCTTATTGATTTTAGTCATTTTACGATCGTGCTATTGACATTTGTCCCTACTTATTTGAATTGTGTAAAACATTAATGAATTTCGTGTTTATTAAAATTACATGCAAATGCTGTAGTAACTAATAAAAAAAATATTACGCCAATATTCATTCAGAAATGCTATGTGCGCGGGCAAGCACATTTATCAGCTGAAGACGTCTGAATTTGTCTGAAGATTACTATTATTAATACCAGTTACTATACTGTTCTCTATCAATACCTATTTTTCCCCAGGTATGTTAACCTTGCGATAGTTTATAAAAGAACGTTTACAAGTAATATAAGGACAGGTGGGAGTCTACAGGCAGATAACTGTAATGTGTGCATATATACACTTTTTTCCTCTTTTCAAGTTTGCACATATTTTTGTTGCTTATTCCTTGACCGTACTATGTACATGTACCTCTATTTAATTACTATTTTCATTCACCCTACATCTACATCTTCATCTATTTCTGTTGGTCTTTGCATTCAAGGCGATCTTCTTCACTCCACAAAAACAACATATCTTGGAACTGCATGTAAAGTAGATATTGCAGCCAAGGTCCTGTACATGTATCTCAACGTACGCGACTACCAGCGAAAAGGAAATGACGAATTTGACGCAGTCAACGCCGCCTACCAGGGAGAGAAACGCAATTTGGTACACAACAGTAATTCTTCTTGTGATCATAATCATCCTGGCTACTGCAGGAAACCTGATGGTTCTGGCTGCGATGCGGATAGAGAGAGGTCTCCGTGAACGATATTTCATTGGATGTCTGGCCGTCGCCGATCTTTTGATTGGAGTTTTCTTTTGTCCAATGCAGTTGTATGAATATGAAGTGCGTATTACTTCGATTCATCTTTGCCGATTTTACATGTGGATCAATATATTTGCCGAGTCGGCGTCGATTCATACTTTGACGTGGATAAGTTGTGATCGATACCTTAAGATCAGTAAGCCATTGCGGTATAACGTAATCATGACAAAGAAAAAATAAAAAATTGTGATCACCATAATTTGGATGATTTCAACAGCGTATGCCACGTATGGATGTTTTGATATGTATGTTTTACCTTATGGATGCTTCAATAACAATGATCTATTCTATACTGTTTCAGCGATCACAGCCTTTTTTGTTCCAACTGCCATAGCACTGATAATGTACACTAGAATACTTCTCGTTGCTAACAGACGACGAAAAAGAGCGCGAAGAGGCGAACTGGGTCAAACCAGCCAATTTACAAATAATACATCTTCTTTCTACCAAGATCTTAAAAATATCCGCATGATGGCCATTGTTATAGGTGCATGCTTTTGTCTTGTGCTGGGGCCCTTTCTTTATTATACATTTTTTTTATCGTTATAGACAAGCTCTCTTCAACACTTTTTACAATGCAATATTACACAGTTTGGCAGTATTGATGTTGCCTCCTTTTAACAGTGTTTGTAATCCGATAATTTACGCGTGTTTTGATAAAAGATTCAGGGATGCGTTCAAACGTCTCTTCGCACGATTGTGTCGATGAACATAAACATTTCCAGAAATTCCAACCGATAATAGTGGCGTAGGCAGTTATTATGATTATTCATTGTATCAATTGTATTATTGTTTCAATAACACAGTTAAAAAATAAAGAAAGAAATTTAAGAAAAGATATGTAAGATAGAAGTTGCTTGAACTTCAAATTTTGTCTCGTGCCCTATATAATACTTTATAATATAAGTATGATATAACGAGCAATTTGATTGGCTACCGCGCGTGCATTGTGAGGCCATAATGCACGCTTCTGGCTTTTGAAGTTTTTGTTGCTAAGCAACATCTTAAATAACATGTAAGGAGAATTTCATTATTCATCAAATAAATAAATTTTGTTGTTGCCCTATAATTTCTTCTTATATTATAAAAGAATTAAAAAAGCTCGTCGCGTGCCTTTATTCTTTAATTGCGAAATCCTGGCATTATGAACTTTTATGGTAATAAATAATGTCCTCAATTTCTGGTTATGCACTAATTCTCAGCGGGGGACAACAAGGGGTAATTTCGTTTTAGACCAATCAGCAAGTTTGCATACATTTTCAGTAACCCAATCAGAATGCAAAAATTTTGATAAAAAGTACAATATATACCATTTTACATGAAGTATTTAAAATTTAGGCATTCTGATTGGCTCTGCCTAAAAAAATGTAAACAAATATGGCGATTAGTTCAAACGAAATTCCTCCTTGTTGCGGGGACTAGTCTTTTCCTTGAACTGACCATTTGTTTCTTACAACTTTTTGGTTCTAAAGTGAATATGGTTTCTTTATATTCACGCGGTAATCTGATTTTGGCGCAGTGGTTGTTAGTGTTCTTAAGATGGAAAGAGTATTCTGTTTGTAGCCAAGTCATCGAGAAGAAATCTCGCGCGGAGAAACTGTATACTAAGACTACTGTGTTTGATAGAATTAGTTATCTCTACAATAATTCTATCATGAGCGATATGAATTTAACCTACGGTGAAAAGGGGCCAGGTGAAATTTTCTTCGCTCATAGATGTATATTGGCAGCGGTTAGCCCCGTATTTTATGAAAAATGTTATGCGGAATCTTCGATGAACAATATATCAAGTATACATTTGGCAGACATGAGCGGAGCAACCTTTGCAGGGTTGTTGTCTTTCGTCTATAAAGATGAATGTCCGACGGATGTGGACAAAGCTTTCGAAGTACTGAGATTGGCATTGCAATATAAGGTTTTTTCTTTTGTTGATGCTTGTCAGGAAAATTTATTGCCAAAAATCACGGCAGAAAAAGGATTTGAGTTGCTGGAATTACTTATAGAGTCACAAGCGGAAGCGTTGGTAAATGCTAGCTGGCAGCTGATAGACAGAAACCCAAGCGATTATTTCACGTCAGATCATTTTCTGAACATCAACCAAGCTACCATGGATGCATTGTTAGGTTGGTATCATGATATCAAAGTGAAGATTGTACTCATACAGAGATACACATGCATTTAGCCCCTCCAAAAAAAGATCAACTCAGTGTACTATTTGAGACAATATTGAAGACGATATTGACAATATTTCGAAATTTTACACCAATTCGGATATAAATTATACAATCATTTAAATTTGACTCCTTATTGATGTAACCAAAACAACAGACACCCAAGCATTTAAGCATTCAAACAGTAAATTCAGTTTTTTATTTGAAGAAGTTTGTGGCATATAATTCTGTCGTATACTTAATAAATGTAATGATGCTTGGCCGGCCCGCTATGACTTTGACAAAAATACCAGGTTTTCCACTTTCAAGGAAATTTCTTTTTTTGAGGAAATTTTGCCTCAAAAAATCGGTTTCAAGGAAAAAAAAGGAATCAAGGAAATCTAACGAAATTTTAGAAAATCTAAGGAAATGTAAGAAATATTTGAGATATCTAAAAAAGACGCAAAAATGACAATTAATACATGTTTTCAGGGCACCATTATTGCGAGATCAAGTATTTTGTGTCTAGTTCAATTAAAAATTAATAGGTGGATATCAATAAATCTTGCTTCAAGGAAATTTAAGGAAATTTTAATGCTAAATCAAGGATATTTTCAAGGTGCCTTGTGGAAACACTGAAAAATACTCTCGTTCCCCGAGCGATTCCTCTGGCGAGAAACGAAATCCTGGCTTCCGGTTTGTGACGGCTTTTTGTTATTTCAAAATTGAAACGGCGTGAACTACCAATTAGAATCATTTCTGATTTCGATTATCGCAGAGCCTTTGTTTTCGCGCCAGAGGAATGCGGGCTAGGGGAACGAGATTGAATACGCCTTAATATATAACACCTCTTCCGCCGAGTAATTTTCTGTCATAAATATGTGTTGTTAATTTCTCCATCGTTAGCACGTGAAACACTCTGCAGTGACGAGATGACGATATTCCAAGGCGTAATGAGATGGGTGGACAATCAGTGTAGGCTACAAGATATTCAGTTAACCCGTGAAAACAGGAGAAAGATTCTCGGTGATTCAATTTATAAAATACGGTTTTTAGCAATGCAGCAGAGTGAATTTATCCAAAAAGTTGGTGGAGAACTGCTCACAGATCTTGAAGTTATTGCCATAGTGAAATTTATGAATGGGATCGAGGTCCCAGACTTAGCATGGAATTCGACTTTGTTAAAACGTAGGGGCTCATGTGGATATTGGTTTTTGAGCGCTAGATTTTGGCTTGTTATAGGAACAATATTGATATGTATAATAGGAAGCGTAGTCTGCTTTAATAACAGGGTAAGGCCGGTGCCACCCTATCAAGAGAGGGTAAGGGGAAATATGGAGAAAAACCCCTATAGGTATCGAAATTGGTAGCCCAATCGATATCGGTGCACCAGGCATGCAATGCAGGGTCGTTGCTAGACAGCTTAGTTGGGGGGGAGGGGGTGTATTCATCAGTGGCGGTTTCAGTGTTAGGCAGAATAAATTACTACAGGGTGTCTCAAACGAGCTTTACTAAGTTCTTTGTTTGCGGTATTCGATATTTGTCGAAGGAAGAGTTGGCAACGTTTTGTGAATTAGATTCCAATGGGAGACCAAGAGCTACTCCTGCAAAGGAACTGTCTGAGCTACTGTCCTTAATCAATGTCGGAATAGAATTGAACCAGTGGGGCTAACAAAACTGTTTGCCAGAATGCCAGAAAAAGTTGATTCCCACTCAGTGGGACTGTTCTAATATTTTGTATGACCTCTTTTACGTTTCAAAACAGCTTTGACTTTTTCTGGCATAGATTGAATCAGTTTTGTTAGCACTACTGGTTCAATTCTATTCCAACATTGTTTAAGGACGGTCCACTGGTTTTCTTTATATTTTCTTTCCATCTTCCTTTGCTGGAGTAAAACTCTTGGTCTCCCAGATTGAATACGAACCTGCTTCGTAAAACGTTTTCAACTTTTCCTTCGGCACATGTATAAATAACGCTGAGACATCCCACATCAAAAAGAAAAATCCGCATTTCTTGTAAAATTTAAATACCATACATACAAATTAAACATAGATATCATTTATTGTCAGAAAACACAGATTTCGTTTATTGTCAATTAAATTAAATTATCAACTGGATCGACTCTAACTTTTTACTTCCACTGTATAAAATTTGTGGCTTTAAATTAATTCAATTCAATTTGTAGTCAGCGCTACATAGCATGCGATCTTTTAAATAAAGTCTTACACACCTATCTGACAGAATTGAAGAGCAGACAATTTGAGCCAAAGGGAGCTTGATTTATCCTCAGCATGATTTCTACTTATAAAAGAAACAAAAGATGACGGATAGAATATTTTATCGGTGTTTTGAACCACCCTAAGAAGTTGTTTTTCAACGTTTGGAATTTTAATTCAATCTAAAATCACTAAAACACAACATAGCTCGACTAGAACGTTGTCTAGTTTGTTAAGAGAAGAGGAAATTTATAAACGCAGGGCCTTAAAAAATTGATGAAGAAATTTGAAAATAACGTAATAATGCAAATTAGGAACACTGCAGCAACTTCATTATGCAGTCCATATAGGGAAAATCAATAAATAGTCTGAAACAAATTTCAAAATACATTGTGTCCAAACCTCCCCCCCAAGGAAACTATTGAATATACCCTTAACACTGTAAAAATTCAATTAAATTAATTTGAAATTTGTTTCACACCGTTGATTCTCCTTATATGGACAGCATAATGATGCTAGTCTGAGTGCACTCATTTGCCTTATTGATTTTACATTCGTGTTATTGACATTTGTCCCTACTTATTTGAATTGTGTAAAACATTAATGAATTTCGTGTTTATTAAAATGACATGCAAATGCTGTAATAACTAATAAAAAAAATTAAACGCCAATATTCATTCAGAAATGCTACGTGCGCGGACAAGCACATTTATCAGCTGAAGACGTCTGAATTTGTCTGAAGATTACTATTATTAATACCAGTTACTATACTGTTCTCTATCAATACCTATATTTCCCCAGGTATGTTAACCTTCGAATAGTTTATAAAGGAAAGTTTGAAAGTAACATAAGGACAGGTGGGAGGCTACAGGCAGATAACTGTAATGTGTCTATATACACTTTTCTTCTCTTTTCAAGTTTGCATATTTTTGTTGCTTATTCCTTGACCGCACTATATGCACATGTACCTGTATTGTATACTTGTCGATTATTATATCATATTTTTTTAAACATTTGTTTCGTGTAATTGATATTCATTTTAGCTACATCTACATCTCTCTGTTGGTCTTCGCATTCAAGGCGATCTTTGATGACTTTCATTATCATCAGTCCCCTGACGATGTTCCTTTTGATGTTCTTTTTATTTTGTAATTCCCTGCCTGCTTAATTTTTATTCGCTTGATTCGTCTAATATAATGTGTACCTAATATAATGTGTATCTAATAGTACTTAATATTTTCGATTCCTTTGTGGGTCAAATTCTTCGTTAAACTTTTGATTGGCCTCTTACGGGAGTTGTCGTATACTTTGAATTCTAAGCTGGATTATAAAACTTTTATAACATTCTTAAATTAAGCATTCTCTTTCATAATTGTGAGCTCTAACTCTGGGGCAGGTTAATTGTTTGAAAGGCGATCTGGAAATCCGATTCCAAATGAGTCAGAACCCTATTGAAACATTGGGATTATTGTTGCAGATAGCATGAAGTGTACTGGCTGTTGAAGCCATTGTTCCGCAATCGGGGGTTTATATCCTCAATCTTCTATTTAAATTTCTTTTTCCCTTCCAGTATATGACAAAACAATATACATATATATAACTTTTGATTGGCCTCTTACGGGAGTTGTCGTATACTTTGAATTCCAAGCTGAATTATAAAACCTTTATAATAGAACCTGAGCTGAGGTACATGTACAGGACCTTGGTTGCAATATCTATTTCTATATCGATATCTATATCTATATATGTATCTCAACTCAGGTTCTATTTTCCCTTATTTCTTTTTACAAGAATATGTCAACTCAGGTTCTATTTTCCCTTATTTTTTTATAGAAGAATATGTCATCAAACAGTATCATTGATGGGAACGCGACTATCAGCCGAAACGAAATGACGAATTTGACGCGGTCAACGCCGCCTACCAGAGAGAGAAACGCAATTTGGTACACAACAGTAATTCTTCTTGTGATCATAATCATCCTGGCCACTGCAGGAAACCTGATGGTTCTGGCTGCGATGCGGATAGAGAGAGGTCTCCGTGAACGATATTTCATTGGATGTCTGGCCGTCGCCGATCTTTTGATTGGAGTTTTCTTTTGTCCATTGCGCTTGTATGAATATGAAGTGGGTATTACTTCGCTTCATCTTTGCCGATTTTACATGTGGATCAATATATTTCTCGCGTCGGCGTCGATTTATACATTGACGTGGATAAGTTGTGATCGATACCTTAAGATCAGTAAGCCATTACGGTATAATGTAATAATGACACAGAAAAAATCAAAAATTGTGATCTCCATAATTTGGATGATTTCAACAGCGTACGCCACGAATGGAAGTTTTGATATGTATGTTTCACCTTATGGATGCTCCAATGATAATGATCTATTCTATACTGTATCAATGATCATAGCCTTTTTTGTTCCAACTGCCATAGCATTGATAATGTACACTAGAATACTTCTAGTTGCTAACAGACGACGAAAAAGAGCGCGAAGAGGCGAACTAGGTAAAACCAGCCAATTTACAAATCATCCATCTTCTTTCTACAAAGACCTCAAAAATATCCGCATGATGGCCATTGTTATAGGTGCTTTTGTCTTGTGCTGGGGCCCTTTCTTTATTATGAACTTCTTTTATCGTCATAATCAAGCTCTCATTAAAACTTTTAAAAATGAACAATCACACAATTTGACAGCATTTATTCTGCCCCCTTTTAACAGTGTTTGCAATCCGATAATTTACGCGTGTTTTGATAAAAGATTCAGGGTGGCGTTCAAACGTCTCTTCACACGATTGTGGCGATGAACATCAATATGAACAACTGCTATCGTTATAGAACAATTTTAGAACGTTGCAGCTAAGCGCAGTAGTTTCATCACAGATGTATTGTAGAAAATTTAAAAAAGGTAGCACGAAATACAGAGTTGTGAGTGAAGATATAAAAAATCGTAGCAAAACAGTTTTTTGCCAGTTGTAAAAATGGGTATATGCTTGCCTCTCTGGACAAATTAAATAAAACGTCGGTAATAAAAATACCGAACAGGATACAACTGGTAAATTATACATTGTTTTAAAAAAAATATGTAGAGAACCACTTTAAGTGAAAAATTCTCCAAATCTCCAGCGTACAGACCGTTATAATGGTGATAATATAATCATCCATCATCATCTTATAATCATCCATCATCGAGATTTTCCATCCTCGGGCAATGCATGCAGTTCTTAGACTAAAGAATCCTCCTCATTTCAGGTATATAAATGGTAACAATTACCGAATTCTGTTTTCGTATAATATGAAATAATTATTGAATGAGGTTGAACATGCAACATGAAGAATTATTAATCCGGACGTTTGTCGTTATCGATAACGATGGACTGAGGCTTGATAATTCTTCATATACACTGTAAATTTCGCAGTGTTACGCCAACACGAAACTGGTGTAGGATAACACCGATTAGGTGTTTTGCCAAGTCAAACACCATTGGAGTGTAGCAATACACTTAAAAAGCGTAACTCTACACTATGCTAGCGTTTCTGTAACACTTTCTCGGTGTAAAAACAAACAAACCTAGGTTACACCAAATTTGGTGTTTTTTTACCTAAAAATGGCATACATTTACCTACTGCTCAGGTTATATTACACTGAACGGTTGCGTTAGTATACACCTATTTAGTGTAAGATATGCTTACACTCGATAAGTGTATATCTACACTTTGGTTTTTGTATTAATACACCAAAAAAACGTGAATGTACCGTGATCTGGTGTAAGTAAAAGCAAGGTTATTAAACACCGAGAGCGTTGTAAATTTACCGTCTACGGTGTATATTTACCCGATATGAGTTTTTAAAATTGCACTTGAAGAGCGTAAACTTACATCTAAATTGTGTACAAAATTCAATGCCTTATAAATTAAGACCGCGACGGAAAATGCTTGATTTGTTGCAAAATAAAAAGTATGTATGGTTGTATAGATACACACGAATGGGAATTGACTACATACTAAGAGACCAATAGACCCTGGGTCACAACAATTTGTATACCAGGTACGAAAACGTGTTTTCGTCAAATGTTCCTAAGCAGGCATGCACATGCAGTTTTTTCGTTAAATGTTTCCAGGCAGGCACAGTTATGGGTCAGACAATTCATTTATTTACTGAATTTCTTTAATATGTTTAATAATTTCTTTAACATATGTATACTATTGTTCAGCATCAGATAGGTCGTACTTCATTCTTACAAAGTGTTTTGATTCTCTATTTACAATAATGGTATAAAGATCTAGAGGATGATGATCTAGCATCCCAGAAAATAATAAGGGCACAAATTCGTCCAAAACTTCAACCTCATAGCAATGAATGTGCCTGCTAAAAGCAACTGTATTTACTTTCTTGCAAGAAAACATAACATCCATGTTTGGCATAAAAAAAACATTATGTATAAAAAGAAACACAGGAAAAATTAATTGCTGATAGACTATGATCATATTCTTTTTGTACTTGTAACCATTGACTTTCACCCAATTCAACCTAGAATAATATAGTTTTCACTTTTCAGTCCAGTTTTAAATAATTTTTACCATATATAAGAACAAACTTACAGTGTCACAGTTGAATTCTGATCCAAATTGTTGCCCAACTGGCACAGTGAGGTGCATTCTTTCTCTTCCAGATCCTTCACATAAAAAACTTTACCTAAGCAGAATATTAATAAATACATGAAGTAGAAATAAAGGATACTTATAACAACATTTAACATCCTAAAAACCATTACAAAATTCCAGCTAATATCCAGTATGCACTTTTGTTGTTCACTAACCTGGTCCAACCTCAGTATCACTCCTTAAATAGCCATCACTGTCACTAAGCCAGTAACACTGAAGCCGTTGGTGCCTGGTAGCTAATGTCTTTGCTATATTCTTGAAGCAACCTACAGTCTGCGCCAAAAGCTTAAAATAATGATGCTTAGCCTCAAAGCGCATGCACCAGTTGCGCACAAGGGGTCCATATCTAAAATATATAAAATAAATAATTAAAATTATCAAATGTACTGGGGTGTTCAGCATTGAAGCCACCACCTGTGAGAACCAGATCAATATAGACATACCTTAGAATTTGGTTTGGGTAATGAACCATGAAATGCTGTTTTGGAATAAGTTTTCTTTCAGGATAGAGCCTTTTAAACTGTTCCTGATACTCGCTGATTATGAGCCGAAGATAGAGTGTAGTACCTTTCTCAATCACTGGGGCAAACAATATATCAACAATATGCATTAAATCAGTGAACAATTCCCAGTCATCATTTCCTTCTGGTATCCATTTGTGAACCAAAAATGGCAGGATTCTAGAAAGACACCACATTTGTGATGCTGAAATATAACTCAATTAGTGCTAGCATTATGTCAAAACACTGACTAAACACTGATTCTATAAGAACTTTTAAAAGAACTATGGGAACTTGGGACCTGTGGTTGATGTAGTCATCCTCAGGTTTAAGGCAACTCTTAAATAAATAGTTAAATACCTGATTGGCGTAAATGGTAATCACTAAGATTGACATTCTTTACCAAGCTTGGTTTGTTCTTGATGTCACAAACACCATATGGGAATGCTGAAAGCGCGTTGTTGAACTGATCAAGTGTGAAAAATTTATCCACCATGATGAATTTTCTCAACATCGCTTTAATTTGGAAAGGAAGTACACCTTCTAAGATATCATGCATGATATCAGAAGGAAGTCCATCAACAACATGGAAATATTTAGAAGCATTTAGGGCTGAGTTCTTTTTTACACCATATACAGAAGCTGATTCTGGATCAGTGGAAACCAAATCCACCTGCCTGGCATAATTTTCTCGGGATCTCATCGTGAATAATTCTTCAGAAAACTGGAAATTTAAATAGTTGGATATTATACTGGGGTTGGTATAATCAAATCTGAACAACATACATTAACAAACATTGATTAACACCCATAAAATCTCATGATATCAATAGCATTTCCTACAAAAAACTGTGTACTAATATACCATGATTCACAATATTTTAGTAGCATTGCAATTTGTGATATGATTAATAAATTACCTTTCTTGAAATTCCACCGATGTGCCCAGACAGAACCTACACGGCCGATTTGCACTGAAACTCTCCATGAAACCTCCAATTGAATTGCTACCAAGGTTATCTGCAATTACTACACTTAATGTTCCTTTAATTGGAATAATTTGATTTGCTATATTGAGTTGTACGCCATGTTCCTGAAAAAAGTAGCAAAATTACATTTTGAGATGCATTAGATTTATAACTCATATTTCTTGGCAAGCTTGAGGCAAATTCTTTAATAGGGAATCTTGAATATATTGATAATTGGTGATATTCACAATAAAATGTATTGTATTAATTCATTACTTACTGATTCAAGCATAGCAAGGTCACTCATGAATGGCCTGAGGACTTTATCCATACCATACATCTTAATCCACTTGACTGGACAAAGAATCAAAAGATTCAAATTTTTTAGGCATGATCTATACTTGGGATGGAAATTTCCTAACACCCAATAGAAGGCACCTGCAAGTATGCAAATAAAAATGAAAATGTTTATTGACAGATCAGTGTTTTTTTAAAAAGTAATCCAATTGAACTATCAAAGTCCAATATTGCAAAGTTGTTGATCTTGTGACAATAAAAAAACCTACCAATTTTATGTACAACAGCTTTTGATCCTAGTGGATTGGAAACTTCGAAGTCATCATAATATAAAATTAATTGGATAGCCTTATAATTTAAGGAAAAAAGTGGATGTTTGCCCACTCCAAAATCAGCACCATCACAAAGGTCCCTCATTTTCCCATCAACACTTCTATGAGAATTTTCAATCTAAAAAAAATATCAATTAAAATATATTATATCATAATATGGTAGTCATATTATTATGGTAGTCATATTATAAATTTCCAGGACACTTATAGTTGTTATATGAATAATGACCTGTGAGTAAACATCAATTTGATTTAGCAGCTGTTGAAGGACCTGGATGAATGATATGTACTGGAATGAATGCACTTTCACTTTCGATGAACCATTCGTTGTATTCTCATCATACATATATTTCTCCCCAAGGACTATCTCAATTGGATTCTAAATATAAGTAAGATAAGGATGCACTCAGCATTTAATATAAACTAATCAGACATTGTTAGACATTGTTTACAACCATACATAAAAATACATTACTATATACATACCACTATCTTAAATTCTTGAGATATATAATTGTTCCTATTCTTAGTGGATTTCAGGAATTCCATGTTGGGTGTTTGTTCCAAGTTCATGACAACTCCCAATCCATCAATATCACTGATTTTAATCCCACTTTTATCCAAACACAGTCTAATCTTTTCTTTAACATGGGCCTCGTGTTGTTGGAGTAATTCTGTTGTATTATCTATCACCTTGTTTGTTGTACTGTCAGTTAGTTGATTTAATTCTTGCGTCTTTAGGGCAAATAAAGCTAAATGTCTCTTTGAGAAAGCCTCTCCTGTCTTGGGTGTCTTCGGTATACATTCGATTGTATTATCCAATCGGTTTAGTGCATCGTTTTCGGGATTTCTTGAACCAACGTCATCATTTATTACTTTTTCCTTTCCATGTTTACGGGAAACATGCGAAGTTAGAGAGGAGAGAACAGAATATGAGCGAAAGCATGACTGCACTGGACATTTTATTTTGAACCCTGGCTCATGAATGTGATTATCGCGTAGGTGGTTTAAAAAACGATTGAATGTAGTAAAGGAAAGATGAAAACACTCCGGTTTTGGACAAAGAAAACTACTCGCCATTATCCAACCATGCTGGTATAAAAATAATATAAAAAATTAAAATAATATTTGCATCTATGCAAAAGTTCGAAAAACACAATAACAGTGCTTCCACTTTCGAAAACATGACCCTCACTGAGGATGCACTAGTGGGCCGGTGGATACAAGATTATGCTGTGTATATAATAATGTTCGTATAATATAATATGTTCGACGTCACAAAGCATCCTAAATACCTTGCGATTTTCGAGGGCATTTTTGTTCCAAATTGTTACGATAATAAAGTATTTTAATTAAAAAATATTGTAAGCCAGAGCTTCAGCTGAATAGAGGATAATTATAAGTTGATATTTTCTTTGACCAATCGTAACGCACTATTCTAAACCAATCACGTTTCAGACAATGCAGACAATCCGACCAATAAGCGATTCAAACCAATAGTGATTACTGCAAACCTATTTACAAACACTGGGGTTATATACACAGATAAGTGATTATATACAACACGTGTTGACTCTTGACAGTTGAAAGTTGAAACATTGTTATTTATATCGGCATCACAAAATTTTTGAAATTCCGATAATGGATAAGGTCCCATCCATCGCTTATTCGTGCGAAGAAGTATCGGAATGGCTTAAACTCAATGGATTTGAAACGTTTAGTGATAAATTTATCGGTGAGTTTTATTATAGAGATAAATACTCCAAGCTAATCGTTGTTTATAGCCTACAGAGCTAGTTCACTTTTACTTATTTAATTCTCAATTTAGTTTATTTGTTGTTCCGATTGATTATATTAGCGTTCATATCACTCGTCACAATATAAATTCCTGTTTGTATTTGTATTTGTGAAACTAGAAGAGGATGTTGACGGTGAAGCGCTCGCTCTTTTATCTGAGAATGCACTCGAGTCTCTTGTCGACAAAGTTGGGCCAAGAATGAAGCTTTTAGGCGTTATTAAGAAGATGGTTAGGAGTGATTCTGAGTCTGTTGAAAGCGGCAACAGTGGTAGCTTGTCACGTTTGCCTTGGGATTTAGAATGCCCAAATAACTCTAAAGATCAAGATTCGCCTCGTTGTTCTTCGCCAATACCAAGGTATGTGTATAAATCGAGTACATTCAGGTGTCCTTATTTATGTAACTGATCGTTACTTCACTAAGATGTAACAATTTCAAAACATGTAAAGCAAGTTTAGCCTAATTTTGAAAGCATAATTCACAGTTGCAAATTATCTGTGACTTCTAGCAGTGTGTAAATACCCCCTAACCCCCCCCCCATGTTTCAGTAAACACACCTAATGCTTAATAGGTTAAGACTTAACGAATTATCCACAAAATTAATTCTTTTTAGGAATGATTGCTCCACTGTAAGAAAAACCTGGGTTACACCATTTTGCCTACCTGAACGATTTCCCCCAGCTGTACAAGAAGGCCTTGTCAAAGAATATAGCCTTACCAAAGTTGATTCGTGTGAAATTTATCCAGGCGATTTATGACAAGATATGCCTTTTTACAATGTATGTATACTTATTTTACTGTGTTGCATGAAAGTGAAGTGACCAGCACTTCTGGGGCTACAGTATGTAGGTTTGCTTATGTAGGACACATTAAACTGAATTGTTTGTTATTTAATTTTATTCATTTTAATACATTTTAGTTCACCAACACCTGACCAACGCCGTGATGTATGTAGGGCAATTATATCAAAATATCCTTCCTTGGCAGATGTTGGTGGCAGCTATGTAAGTAATATTTTAATGATTTAGCATTATTTTTTTGCAATTATTTGTTTGCTCTTTTTTAACATTTCCTGTGGCTTATTATGTATTGGACTATGATTGTGAAAAGTTCATGTACCAATATTATTTCACAAGCCTTATTGAAATCCCATCATGGCCTGATATCTGATGCCAGATGATTTACATGTGAAGGGGAAAACACTGTTGCTTTGTATGTTAATACTGAAACCATGTATTAATGAAAAATACTGAGACCATATAATTTTTCCTTAGGAAACCTGGTATCGTCAGTTAGGCGATAAAGTTAAAAATGAATTAAGGCATGAAAGGAGTGATCCAGTTGTGCTAGCAAGAAAAAGAAAGTCAATTGAAGGCTCGGATTTGACAGCTAAGGTGCCAGGAAGCAGCCGAAGGGGAATAATAAATTGGGAACCTCCTGCTGTTGATGGTGAGGACCTACATTCTAACAAAGCCCATGTTCAATGGATGCAGAAGGAGTACCGAAAAAAGCACCCAAACATGGAAGTCGTTAAGCAGAAAATGCAACTGACTTTCTCCTTCAGAAGAAAGTACATAAATGCTGGGAAGTGTTCCCTTAATGAAATTGATGCGAAATACCCTTTTTTATTTGAACATGATCAGGTTAGTATTATATAGTTAGTAATATCTGTGCATAAACATATAATCCGGCACTGGGTAATATGATTGATAAGTTACTTTTAAATTACTCTTATAACTTATATTGATTTTTTATAGTTACAAGATGAGTATGAAAGATTGGTGTCTGGCAGTAGTGTTAAAGATTTGGTTGTTACAAACTTACGTGAGCTTGCACCTAAGATTTTGAAAGCTGCCAGCAAGAAGAAACTCCCTCAACTTGAAGAACTGGTTCAAGCTTGCGTACAAAATGAGGATGAACTGGATGAGGAGAACAGATTGACAGATGGTAATCCCATTGATACTCATTTAAATGAATATATTTTCACTATCAAAAGTTAATTATTATGCTGTGTGTGGTTTCAATATATACACCCTATTGTGATTATTCTCCTTCTTTATTAACACAGTCAGAGCAATAATTAAGATTAATTATGTAATTTTTTCTTTGTTCCTAGATGAGAAAGTTGTTGTGGCACTTTGTACCTTGCCACACCTTTTGGAAAGGAAAACAAAAAGTAATCCACATCCAGAAAATTTCCTTTATCAGGTATGTATAATATACTTTAGTACCTTGTCAATGCTTATCAATGTTATTACACCACCTTTTGGAAAAATGTATTGTCATGATAAGTGTAAGCTAGTGGTCTGTTAAGTGGTCAATCATGAATAGTTTTAATATGAAGACTTTGTTATGATTTTTTAAAAAAAATTTTATTTCAAATGTAGACAGCAGAAAACCCAGAGGTATTGTTGAAGAAAGCTGCCAGCCCCATCAGCCCATTCATCATCTTCGTGGAGGACAGTGATGGTCACATAATGAACAAAATGTTTGTTGCAGGGGAAAAACAAGTTTGTTTGGAAACAGATAACATTTTTTCAGCAGTATCGTCCCTTTTGTTTTTGTATTATGTTTGTAATTTAGAGTACCCGAAACAGTTTTTAACACGTTCCTTTTTTTACAACGTACTGTTCTAAATATTTTTGACCGGGTAAGAGTGCCAACCAAAGTTTTATTATTCTTAAATGAACTGGAACAGTGAACATGAAGTATTAGGCATAAGTCCATGTTATATAGCTGGTTTGTAAATTTGTTATGTACAATATAATATAATGTAATATATTCTGTCATATAGAAATAAATATGTTTTTACCTTACCACTGCACTAGAATTAATTCATTTCGTGGCACCGGGCCATTGTTTAGAAGAGCATTTTATTCTTTTGGTGTACTTATACACCAGATCGGTGCCTATATTACTGAAAGCATATTTACACTAAATAGGCGTAGAAAACCCTTTGGAAGGGTAAGTTTACCCTCGCGGTGTATTTATACACCAGATCGGTGTCCATATTACTGCAAGCACGTATACACTAAATGGGCGTAGAAAAACCTTTGGAGGGGTAAGTTTACCCTCGCGGTGTATTTATACACTAGGTCGGTGTCCATATTGCTGCAAGCACGTTTACACTAAATAGGCGTAGAAAAACCTTGGGAGGGGTAAGTTTACTCTCGCGGTGTATTTATACACGAAGTTGGTGTTCATATTGCTGCAAGCGTTTTTACGCGAAATAGGTGTAGGAAAACCTATAGAGGTGTTAGTTTACGCTAATGGTGTATATTTACGTCGCCATAGTGTACCCATAGCTGCATAAATTCTACCCATGAATAGTGTAAATTAACCCAAAATATAGCGTAAATAAACACCATATTAGTGTTCATATTGCTGCAAGATTTTACACCGATTTCGGTGTTGTGCCAACACTCCGAGATTTACAGTGTAACGAGAAAATCAAATTCAATAATTATTTTATTATTCAAAAAAGAAGATCGCAACTCTGTTAGCTCGCATTTTTGATGTTGAACATTCCCGCTCCTATGACTTACAAACCACATGGAATACGACTTTCTCGTCCACGTTATAACGCAAAAACGTGTATGACTTTACCCGTTGGACATGACGATTTCACACGCGGCTCGAGACGCGGCTATATTAGCGAATAAAGAAGTTCTACTGATTTCTTATAATAATGAGCTTTACTAAGTCCCTTGTTTGTGCTATTCACCCCAGCTTTGGTGGACAACTCAAACTTATTATTAACCTCATCCAATGATTGTTCATTAGTGTCATTGACATTTTACATCTCTGCATTCTCTGGGAGTGGTTCTGACACGAGATGCTATTAATAATAGTTCGCACGATTATTACAATTCCAACGCCGCCACTTACTTCCCTACAAAGTAGTTCGATCCTCCATACTACCAATCAGTTCCTTCGCTAAGCTTCATCGGGCCAATCATCACTTGTTTGTGATCCAGATGCCAATATAGTTTCCAGATCAAATGTCGGATCGATATCAAAACCCGCGGTCATAGCTGCAGAAAAGTAACAAAACATTGTGTCGAATTCATGGTCGATAAATAATTTTTTAAGCTTGCAAACTTCGCCTGCATAATGATGACCTTTGCATATATATACATATTTTTGCATGCATATAATTAATGTACGAATAATATTGTTAATAGTTTGGTATATCTTACTATGCATGTATACGATGTAATTTCATTTTATTAAATGATAAATCATAAAATTAAAACATAAATCATCTTTTCAGTCAATGACCGGGTGTTTGTATCGAGGCTACGGCTAGAACGAGTTTATCGTAGGGTTAAGATCATAGGATTAATTTGGATAAAAAAGTACAAGGTCAAGGATTAAAATCTCAAACATATAAAATAACATGAATAAAAAAATCAAATCATTCAATAGGATGCTTTTAGAGCAAGCATAATCCATGAGTATATATTTACATCAATGACAATACTGCTATAAACAAAAACAATATAGAATTCATGAATACGGTACCTGGGGTCGAGGAAGTTGAAGCACCAGGTTCATAGACATTACTAATATCAAAACCACTGCCATCTGACGTCACAGTGCCTACACCAGCAGCATTGATCTCCGCTTCAATATCGAACGTTGGGTCTAAAAAATATGTTTATAGTTATGAGAACGCGGTAATGAGAAAATGTTAAAGTTATCACCAAAAGGCATATCAATTAAATTCTAATGAGCAAAAACCTTGTTTCATTCATTTGAATTCGGTTTGGCACATTGAAAATTTCGACGCCTGCACGAACAGGCCTTACTCACCTAATGCCGTGTCAAATTCGTAAGCTTCCTCAACATCGAGGCCACCTGGTGAACTTGTTGCACCCCCGGGAAGGGTTTGAAAAATGCCTTCAACATCAGTATTCCTCGTTGTTCCGGAAACACTCGTGCTGACTGCGCCCGGCAGAAATGCCGAATGATCGACATCAGCGAATGAAACAGACGCCGGTTGGAAATCTACTTGAACAGGCGCTGCGGGCATAAGGTGTTCGACACTACCGCTTTGGGAAAATGGAACGCCTGTAAGTATATCATCGGCATCGGCTGTGAAACCCCCCGTGTCGAACGGTACTTGGAACTGAGTGGCAGGAGGTGTATTGTCCATCGCGGGGGGTGGCTCTAGCTTATTATCTTTTGGCGTCTCGATGATGTAATTACTGGCAACTTTTTTAATCTTAAGTTTGATGGGTGGCGGTTTTGTTGGCGGTGGCTGTGGTTGTTGTTCAATACCTTTGCTCGGGGCGGAAATATTCTGGGTTGGGAACGGTTCGTGTTCCTTATCCTGGTGCGTTTGGAAAACGAATGGAAAATTCGAAGCGGAGGGTGAGGGTGTTTGAAGCCTATTCGGCAAGGTGGGTGACGGCGATAAAAGGGGGAGAGCGTAACCTGGGTTGGCTCCAGAGAGTGTGGGTGTAGCATCAGAGCTTGCGATCATCGATGCCAGCAGGTTGTAAGCGCTGGACTGTGGAGGAACTTGTCCAGAATGTATGCCCGGTGTTTCAATATACGTTGAGTCCGTTTCGTCAACATCAACCACCATCGATGTTTCGTTGTTTGCTTGCATATTCCTCGCTTTCTTGAAAATATATTTCATAGTCACTGGAATTGACAGGCACCTAGACAGCAAGAGTGGACGAAATGATTATTCATATATATTATTAACATAATTTTCTTCATTAGGACACGCATGGGGACATGTAATTACAGTCTATACGCACAAAAACGTTAAGAGCATTTAAAATTTACAAAACGTTTTCGACTAAAAAGTGCCACAGAAAATAACTGTTGAATTTAAATAGTAAAAAGGTCCCATAGAAAGATCCCATTGGTCCTATATTGGACCCCATTTCAAGAGGTCCTATTGAATTTTATGTTATCGCAGAACTTCACAGTCGAATTTTTAAATGTTTCTTAATATCTTAAGAATACTTACGTCTTAACACTGAAGAATAGATATTTAAAACGGATAGATATAGAGAGGATAAAATGGTAACGTAAATTCAGCGTGGTTATATATAGTTAAAAGAATTCAGTCTTAGACATAATAAACAGTTTAAATATTAGTTGACGCGCATCTCAACTAAACCGAAGTTTACAATTCACATACATAATATCGTAAAGTTCCCTTCTGAAATAACGTAATTCCTTATACTCACTTCTGTATAACCCTTGAGACGTAACCGCAATCGTAAAAAGCAGTTTTGCGTGGATTGAACCTTACGCCGATATTGAAATCTGGTTTCACTTGAAACTCAACTAGAAAAACATAAATGTCTATATCAGATATAACATCCAAATTAGTTTCAACCATGGATAAAGTCAAATTGTACCTGATGCTAAGCTTGACGTGATAGGTTCTTCAAATGTAATCACGACAACAAATGGATTAGAAGTACTGACATCAAAACACGGGCCATTGTACTCTACTTGACCTACAAATGGAAATTATACAAAGAAATATTTGGATCAAGCTTCATACACCCCCTTGTACGCGTATGTGTCAAAATTCTATGTAATCCCAACCACGCCCTCTAATTTGTTTCCCTGTCTACAAATGTAATTCACTCACCATTATCATGTACGGTTTGTGAAGAAAGAACACTGGTTAGTATATGATTGTACACGAGCTGTTGACGAAGAAGCTAGAAACGAGATATAAAAGCGTCCGTCGTGGATTTACGATGGTCTGATCGTCCACCCATACGCAAAGTAACCAGAATAACAAGTTAATTATCTTACCCGAATTATTTTCACGACATTTTGACAATGTGTGAAAGGAATTCGTGATATAACCACCCCCACATTACTGTTGAGTGACAAACTTCCTTGAAGATCTTTCTCGGAAATACGATAGACGTGTTCTTCTTCAGGAAGTTTCTATATTAATAAAAAATAAACATTTGTATATAGATTATTGCTATGAAATACGTCGCTAAGCTATGTTATGTAACTGGAGCTAACCTGACGATATGCCATTTGTGAGGAATACTGCATATTTCTTTCTTTTAGCCACTACAAAGTTACATTAAAAAAATTTCAAATATTTTAGATGATGCCCGGGCTATAAAGAGCATTAACTTGTGATGTCTCTTGATGCTGAGGAATGTTTAGGTAATATACGTGAAAAGATGCACCACCTCATTCTTCAACGAAAGAAAAAACGTCTGTACCGGAATCACAAATCTTGCCGAGGACATAAGTTGCATTTTTCGTAATCATTTCAGCTTTCCGGAGTGACCGACCGAATTTCCAGTCAGAGAATTCGAATGACCAACCGCTGACTCATCAACCAACAAAATTAGAAATAATATCATGCTGCACCCCACAAACATGGTCGGTATCAAGGTTCAGCTACTTGTTGTCTCAGTCTCTAACAAGTTGCTGTAGCTTGCTAACAACAATGTCTGCGAGATGCAACAAGATATTTTTTCAAACAGGAACAAATTGAACGATTTTAGCCGTATAGATGGTGCTCAACTTCTCAGCAGTAATTATAACTTTCCAACCAAGTTGGAACAACGGACCGACTGACCCAACCTACCCACCTATATAAATACCAACCTGTTGGCCAGCCGGCAAGGCATCACTCGACCGACCAAATGATTAGCTAGACGACAAATTAATTGACAAACATCACACTAACTGACGCAACCTACCTTTTTTATAATCAAACAGTCCAAGTGTGCTCTTGAGTTTTGGACAAACTTCTCTATATATGTAATCAAATATACAACATAAAAAATGCTGACTGATGACTAAAAAATGTGCGTAGTAGAGATGTCTTCAAGAAATATAATGTATACTTTGCACTTAAGGGAGGGCATAAGCATCCCAAAAGACACCTGCCTAATCTAGGATATAAAGGTGCTTTCGGGCGGAATTTTGATATGTTGTCGGCTTAAGCAGGAACGAAACAAGCATTAGTCGAAGTACTAAATATTATTTAAAATGAATTTGCTTCAAAAGGTTAATATTGTTTTAGGTACTCTATCTTCTCTACACGAAATTGTTCTGTGAGATTGGGTCCAGTAATCATTTCATGAATATATACAGTATTAAGGTTATATCAATGAGTTCCAATTACAAGTACCTCCTTTAAAATTTTCCAACATCGAGTGGATCTTCTCCAGTATGGCCGCGGACACAACCAGGGGTTTGTCGAGATGCAGAACAAAGCTGGCTGGTAGTTGCTCGCTATTGGACTCGTTGATGGACAGAAAAGGGTTTCTGAAAATACATTACAAGCTCGTTCTGAAACGTTCGAAAGTTAGAGTTTAAGATATTACATATATTTTACCTTGGACCGTGTTGAAAGCGCGTCAGAACGATAAAAATTATGTCATTTTTTGAAGTCCAAAATATCCAGCAAAACAACATGGTAAGAATTTCTTTTCACGAGTTCACTTCTCATGTAATTAACAAATTACACCAAAGTGTACCTCAAGGTGCAGTCATGGGCCCGATAGTGTTCTTCAAGGTGCAGTCATGGGCCCTAAGCCACATTTTATGTTTCCTTATTAGAATTATTTATTGAAATTGACCAACATTACATAGGTTAAAATATTGACCAACAATATATATAAGTTAACAATAGAAAAATTGACATCTTGAAATTACATGTCATCTAGAATACGTTACCGCTCTTTATAACATCCAAGAATACTTAAGTGGCGATATTGGATATCCAACGAGTTAACTGCGTTGCGTATATCTTACAATCGATGGGTTATAACGAAATTCAAGAAAAACGATGGTACTACATGTAGCTTATTTTTTGAAGCCTGGTAGAAGATATTGTGCGTAGTCAAAAAAAAAATCATTGACATGTCAGGCAGACTATTAACACCCAAAATGCGCATTTACCCTGGTTTGTCGGCAGAGAATTCTCCAGATAAGAGAGAGCTTGTAGGTAAAAGCCTTGGCTTACTCTGTTCGACAGATATTGATAACGAACGGCCAAACTTCGAAAGAACAAAAGCTGAAACGAGGAAAGGCCAAATGTGAAAGAAAGCATATAATGTAAAGATGAGTCTACATTAGAATGCATATTACTGTAATTTTAGATGTCCATATAATATACATACTGTAGCTACACACTCTGTTTGACATACAGTTTTATTACTATACTGTAGTCAAAGTTGTATAATAACGGTTGCCCACCATGCCGTATACAGACAGGCTCGGTGACATCGAAATTTTACCCATGCACATATATTAAAGTCAGAAACACCGCCATATTGCAACGCAAGAATTCTATCATACAAATAAATTTTTTCAGAGTACGACTGTATCTATTGTTGCATTCAAACAAAAGTATATCTACCTCCATGACAGTTTCGATTTTCGACGACAAAATATCTCGCCTTCAAATTTCAATATTAAATTCAGAATATAATCTACTTATTTATAACGTGAACAACTTACAATGCAAATCAAAGTTTTCATTCATTTTAGAAACATTTTCATTGCGTAATTCCAAAGGTGTCGCAAAATATGTAAGGTGCATTAGTTGACCTAAATATCATTTAAAGATAAAATATTATTCAAGGTATAACACTATATTGCGGACACAATAAATGCAACAAGCAGTTTCATATTACGACAGGTATACCTCCTTGTCGTTGGGTAAGAAAACCAACTGGTCCTCCAAGAACATTTTCTTCAAACAATTTTTCACTGGAAGATATAGAATGTTTTTATGATGTGGTGATGGAATTAAGATACAGGAGTATAATAGTAGAAAATAAAGAGTTTACAGGCAAAAAATTGAAAACTAATATTAGAAGATGGAGAAACAAACAATAGGAGATATAGAAGCAGAAGTTGGAAGAAAAACAAATGAAGATCGAGATTTAATAGTAAAAGGTGGAGTACAAATAGTAGAGGATAGAGAAATGATAGTGAAAGATGGAGTAGAAATAGAAGAGGATAGAGAAATGATAGTGAAAGGTGGAGTACAAATAGAAGAGGATAGAGAAATGATAGTGAAAGATGGAGTACAAATAGAAGATAGAAAGATGATAGTGAAAGATGGAATACAAATAGAAGAGGATAGAGAAATGATAGTGAAAGATGGAGTACAAATAGAAGAGGATAGAGAAATGATAGTGAAAGATGGAGTACAAATAGAAGAGGATAGAGAAATTATAGTGAAAGATGGAGTACAAATAGAAGAGGATAGAGAAATTATAGTGAAAGATGGAGTACAAATAGAAGAGGATAGAAAAATGATAGTGAAAGATGGGATACAAATAGAAGAGGATAGAGAAATGATAGTGAAAGATGGAGTACAAATAGAAGAGGATAGAGAAATGATAGTGAAAGATGGAGTACAAATAGAAGAGGATAGAGAAATGTTAGTGAAAGATGGAGTACAAATAGTAAAAGATGGAGTCTGAACTACTATTAAAAGATGAAAAACTAAAGGTAGAAGACAGATACCTAACAGTGAAAGATCAAGTACTAATGGTAAATATATAATTAATGGTGAGAGATCGGGTACTAACAGTATAATATAAAGAGAAAAAAAAGAAAAGAGAAAAGTGGAGCACTAATAGTGGAAGATGAAGAACTAATAGTAAAAAATGAAAACTAACAGTAGAAGATGGAAACCTAACAGTGTAAGCTGGAGTACTAATGGCACATGTGGATGTAGTATTAAAGATGGGATGCTGGTAGTAAATAATAGAGAAATAACAGAGAAGGATGGAGTGCTAATGGTAGAATGTCGAGAATTAATAGTGAAAGATGGAGTGAGTACTAGTAGAGAAAGATGGCAAATAGTAGTAAAAGTAGTAAAAGGAGTACTAATGGTAGCTAGAAGGCGGATAAATAATAGTGATAGTAGAAATGAAGGATTAATAGTAATAGTGAATGACTGAGTAATTAAAGTGAAATATGGAAAACCTGTAATAGTATTTGTTGAACGAATAGCTTTTGTTTATCGCCAAATACTATGTCAAAATCATGATTAAATTACCCGTCAGAGCAAGCAATCTTTTCAAGATCCTTTTCTAAAGAAACTAAAGCCAAGAAAATCTTGCTTTTTTGAAATCTAAAAATCACGAGAAGACAAAGTGAACAAAACCACACCAAACAAGCCTTCGCCAATGCGTAGAGCTATAAATTAACTTACGCATCACCAGTAAGTTGATACAAATTGGCCAATCCTTGCATGTGCTTAAGAAACTCAGTATAATCACGACGCCTGCAAAAGAAAGTATTAACGCTGCTGTAATATACTCTAGGTTGGGTAAAAAACCTATATTACATAATTAATATTATCATATCCGTCGTGAAAAGATTATTTGCAGCGATGTGTTATCGTCCGGTCTTTATTTTTTGTATTGGCATACATTGGTAATTGCTGACTTGTACACCATTGCACACAAGCAATAAAATATTATCGGATCTACCACCTTCAGATGTTCACAACTATTACGATTAAACGGAAACAGCCTTTACGATAGATTTAAATCAACACATGTGCATTTCTAACCTTAAAATCGCTGTTAATGCTGGACAGGTCTGCATAAAGAAAAATATAGGTTCATTAATGGACCATTTCCATTTATAATTCACGGCAAATAACTTACAGCAGTGTTGTAATACACATCTTAATTGCTTAAAAGTAGGGTCCATATCTATAGCGAACCGATACTGTTTAGGGACATGCAGACATTTAAGAAATACAGTTTATCATATAGGTCATATTTGAACTATAAAAATAGCGACTGTTTATATTACTGACTGGCTATCACCTTTAACTTGTTGCACCCACAAATATGAGGAGTTAAATCCTTAACATGCGACATCTTATTTCAAAATTCAAAATGAAAGGCTACATTGAATGTATTTCATGACGTCTTACCGCGGGCTCTAGATCGCCATAATGTTGAACTTTCACCTCCAAAATATTGCCATTTTCCTTTAACTGTACCTGGAAAGTATATTCATTAGGAGGATGAGACGAACATGGAAAAATGTTATATAAATTATATGACCCGAACAATAAAGGTGGATAAAAAAGAGCAATGAATTACAAATTTAGGCGCCAGAAAAATCTAGAAACGTCTGTCTACTTTATCGTCATAGGATATTTCTTTCCAATTAGGTTTAAAGATCACAAATGCCAAAATTTAATTGGGAAAACATATAAAGACATGTATGAATTGTCAAGGAGTTAATTAGTCCAGAATAGGCCACATAAACCTTTTTTCCCAATGACTAGTTACTAGTTACAAAACTGTTAATTTTCCAACTCACTTTGACTGGACACCGCGGAAATTGGTAAAATTGAAAAATACTTAGCCGCAATTCTCAATACTTAGGCTTTAAACTTGATGAGAAAGAAGACTTATAGATACTACACAAAATATGTCTTGCACAAAAAATTTAAAGCTTGCACACGAAAAAAAACCGAATCATCTGAATTAATAACCTTGCATGTGTATACTTTAAGCCTCAATGTGTATGATGACTTGTTAAAAGATTGCATAATGCGTACTCCGAAAAAAACCGAACTTTTTAAAGTTATTCAATAGTTTTCTCTTTGATAGCAATACAGCAATGTGAACCAGTGATCAGATTTTCGGGTTGAAACTGCAAATATACATGTATGATCCATCACTCCTCTTAATTGAATGCGTTCATTTTTTCTTGCAGACAAACGCTTCCAAAAACTATGCATCCAAACCCAGTTCTTAAATTGCTCGAAAAGTTAATGATGGGAAGTGATTTCAGACTTCAAATGTGAAAAAATAGTTTGCAGGGCACTTGGATTGTTTGAGGAATAGGAATTTGACACAAACCGTACCTCCACATAAAACATATCAGAGCTAATAAAACACTCAAGACACGTTGTGCTGACATCGAATTTAAGTCTAAACAAGAAAGTCAATCAACAGCTATAGTTAGCTAAGGCCGTTAGGCTACAAAGGTATTTCGACATTATATCTTACCATCTCTGTCAGTCAGACAAAAATCATCTACGCTATGTACATCCATAAAAACACAGCTAGCTCTTAGATGATGTCAAAATGAGCCGTGTTATTTTAATACCTGGTTTTCAAATCTGCGTCGATACGCGACATTAACATTTTTATTCAAATTATTGCGAATTCCATCTTTATGAGTCATCCCAAAATTATTGTTTTCAAGCGCATTGTCTTCTGTGGTCACAGTTTCTTTGAAAACAATAATTGCCGAATAATCGGAGATAAAGTTGTTTAGTTACAACTTTCGATATTTTCGATATACGAAAAATTGAATATCGATATTTTTGATATATCGATATTTATCGAAAATATTGATATATCGCAAAGTTCTGCCTATTCTCCTGTAAAATGAAATTCGCATGGAATTTCCAACCCATAGCCTCCATCTCTATTTACTCTCTGAAAATTCTTTATTACCTAGCTACTGCCTGATCTTTCTAAATTCTATTCACTATTGTATTCCATGATTTACAATTAAAAATAGACATTTGTCAATTATTTGCGTACCTCTATTTAGCAGCCACCTCTATTAAGCGGCCACAATGCCGATCCCCAAAGGTGGCCGCTTAATAGAGGTTCGACTGTATTACCATATGACATATGGGAAACCCCAACAACGAGTAATACTAATAAAAGTGATGCATTACCCAACTTGTCTTGTAATTAACTCCAAACGATGAATTGTATCTGTTAAATTATTTTCTAGAAAAGACAATTTTTTGACAATTGTTTGAATGTTTTTCAATAAACATGTTATAAATAAACATGTTTAAAAAAGATCTATCTAACATTACAAAACATTTGGTAGGTATACTGTACATAGGTGTAGAGTTTTAATTATTCATCCTTGCAGGTATAAAAGTCCTAGGTAAGGAATCAAGGTTTAAGATATATTTTCCTATTCAAATTTGGAACTGTCTCTATAACATACATCTTTTACAATTTCCTGGTAGATGAGTTTGTAATTGTAAAGCAACAGTTGTGAATGCCATACTGATGAAGATAAATTAAGTGGAGGTGCAGGGAAGCTAACGCTGAAGCTATAAGACCAGCTATAAACCTTATTTGAAGTGGGGTCAGGTAATTACTGATGAGCCCTGATTTTTCACCCTGACCCCTGACAATTAGATAAGATATAGTCATATAGTAAATTTCTGTTACTGTACCTCTTATTACTCCCTGTATTTTGTCAAGGCATTCTGCAATATATGTTTTGATTGGCATTAAATGCTTGACTTGCTGTTGTCGATCCTAGAGTAACAAAGAGTTTATTACAGGGAGTATTGAAGCACTTAATTATGGTTTCAAATCTACAATCCCATTTGTAAAATTATATTCACGGGTGGAAGGGAGAAGGATTCATCATTGCAAATCTCCTAATCAAAGAAAAATTATTTTCAATGACCAACAAAAGAGAATTGGCTCCTCACATTTTCCTTTTACACTTTCACAATATTCTTATATCTTCTTTGCCAAAAAGCTGATTGACCAGTTGTTTATTAAATTTATATATCAATTAAAGTTTGGATACAGACCATGACATAAAAAACACTTTGTTTACATAATAAACTAGCAATTTAAACTAGCTGTCATGTTCTGATACGTGAAGTTTCCTATCCAGTCAAAATATTCCTGTTCAGCCAAAGTGCCCTATTAATTGTTATAAGGAGAATCCAAATGTGCTGAAACCATTAGAACCCATGCAGGGCTGCCTTATCACTAAAAACTTACAACAAATGCTTTAACAGCATGCTTTGAGTTACTCCATGATTTACATTGCTTGCATCTTGAATGTATTCCATTTAACAAACTCTTAAACTTGTTGTGTTCTTGATGAAAATTGTATGGCCCAAAACTGTGGACTGAAAAGTGGAATATAACGTTTGAACTGTTGCTAAACGACTTACATGATTTCAGATGCCACCATTTCAACATATCTGTTTATGACAATATTTAAAATGTGACATCTTTACATGCATTTATTTAAATGTACATGCACCAATTTAAAAATTGTGTAGGACTAATCGCATCATGTAGATAGGTCTTATTTTTTTTAAGAAAAAATTGTCAGCTAGAGTTATGCCCATGTTTGTTTATGCACAAGCTGATCAATGGTATGGTTCAACCCATTGGCTTTTCAAGGTTATAAGTATAAACCAATGAATATTGAACATTGGTCAATGCCATTGACCTATAACCCAAAATAGTTTTATGCACCTGTCAGATTTATGTATATAAGGCCTCAGTTGGTCGTAACAGTATCTTGTAAACAGAAGTATCTTGTAAAATGGGTCTTAGCTAGGAAGTCATGAAATCATTTAGGAATTGAGAAGGTTGGCCCAGAATAATCCCCTAACACCCTCTTCTTTTATGTGGAAAGTGTATATCATGCAACCAAGTCTGAAGATATCATATGCACGGAAGTTGGGTGTCTTCTTTTTGTTAACGTTCCAGTCTTATTATACAGCAATGTGCATTTGTTTATTGGATTATAATCCGTTATAATTATTTTTAAAAAATAGAAATGCTAAAAATTGATGCAGGTATAGTACCGTATAGTACAGGGCTTTATTATAAACTTCTAGTAAGCATTAAATGATAGCATGTATAGTAATTCATTTAACACGAAAGTGCTAATACCTTCTGAAAAATCACTGTCTTTATCAAGTTGCAAGCGTTTTTGATATTCAGTTAGTAATTGCTCCAGTTGTTTACTTCTACTTCCACAATCATCCATATTGTTCTATTAGTTCACGTGTGGGCAGAGCGAATACCCTGGGAACGAGTTTGACCGTTTCATTATTATACTGCATGGTATTTGGATAACGTTTTCCACCTTTTTCCACTTACTTACTGTTAATTGACTTGTTATGACTACATTATTTTTTCGTTTCTGTATTGATAACATTTAAAACGAGTGAAATTAAAAGTTTTAAACCCATGTTACGCCAGTTACACTACGTAAGAAAGAAACACAAAAAGTAACAAAAATACACAGGTCATCAGGCACGTTGTTGTTCTTGCTCGTTTTTGATGAAACAAAGAGAAAATAATTGATACAATGAAATTAAATCCAGAAAAATCAGTGTTATTTACAAGCCATCTTCTTGAAATTCCTGCAAACTATCTTAATAGAGGGCAGCACTTGAGAGGAATTGAAGTGCCAATGCGTTTTGGCGGTGATGGTTGGTATGATAAGCGACTTAAAGCCACCTTTCTATCTTGCTCTTTCGCTTTCCTTTGCTGTCGGCAACTATTTTCTTGTGACAATTTTTTGTCTTTTATCGACAAGCCTTGTTCTTTGAGCTCAGGTAGAGGGAGTGCTGAGGGGAGGGCAGTAAGTAAAGAAGAAAGTAAAAATAGAAGAAAATAAAACACGAAATAATATTATATCTATTATTCTATACTCTTTTATTAAGTTAACGCTTATAATAACTCTAAATAATAATTTAAGAATATAATAAGCTATCCTAGCTAGTTATGATATACAGAGTGTCCTGAAAAAACGGAACCCGCTATACATAATTAATTATGCATTAAAACGATATTGGCATAAAATAATGGGTTAAGCTTGTTTTGCTTAAAGTTCAATGAATGATTGTCAGTAAAGAAGACATTATTATTGTGAATAGTAATTTTAGCGGATACATAATTATTTATGGGAGTTCTGTTTTGTTAGACTTCTGTACACCTTTTAAAAAACGTTTGCCTTTAGAGCATGAGAATTTAGCGTATTCTCTGCTGTGTAATTCACCTTTTGTAAGTGTCATAGTTCTTTTTTCCAAATGCTTTGTCTAACCTTAAGGGTAGTGTAGCAGACGACAACGATGAAACCTCCCAGTATAAACTTCTTGATAAAAATAGCTTATACAGCAAAAATACAGCTACCATTTCAGCTGAACGCTGAACAAAAGTGTTAATCTAGTAAAAAAAAGAAATCCGTTCACCCTATAGCACTGGGATGTTTTGAATAAACGCACAAACAGTCTAATGCCTGGGCGGGAAGCTAAAATATTTTTGATATATGGGCAGCGCTGTTTTTTTATAAAACGGAATTTGACAACTGCTTCTTTTCATGTTGATGATTTTTGTTTGCCGTTACTGAAAAGAAGCAGTTGTCCCTCATTTCAGAGTTCTAAATTAAATAGATTGGGTATGCTAAGAGCAGAAAATATTCCGATAGAATACTCTTAAATTTATTCATTTTATTGTACCTTTAGCCTGTGATAACTTGAAAGTACTAATGTTAATAACGACGAACATGGTAGGGCCAAAAACCAAAGGCAACAACTCTAGAAAAAAAGGTTATATTTTATAAATATGAGAACATAAATTACTAAATATGAGAATATAATGAGAATATTAATACAGGAATTGAAATTAGTACAGAACAAATCCCGTATCTCTCCTTCAAAATTTCAAATCTCAGTATAGAAAATGGACGAGTTGAGCGAGGTGCTTTTTAATGCAAGGCGCAAAGCAACATCAACATTGAACCACAACGAGGGTTACAGGTTGCTTAAGCCCGCCGCTACGCGGACACGGAACTGACGGAATTCGAAGTGAAATAATACTGTCTTCATTTCCACAGTTTTACAACAGGAATAAAAATTATGGATTCCTTTTGGCAAAGAGCTATATACTGTATGTAAAACTAATGAAAACTGGGTTCTTAACAATCCCGGCTGATTTCATGTCACGTACGCCTCGTGGATTTGGTGCATCTTAAGCCCGCCGCAAACGAGTATCTGGGCTAAAGACCTCGCGTGGCTTTTAGCTAAGCAAGTTACTCTCGTGAGCTAACTGCCTCTGTCTAGTGACATGGGCCTTAGTGTAAAATGTTCTCGCTGTAAATTGGCTAGGCATGTTAATTTATCAATCAGACTTACCTTTATCACGCTAGTATAAAAATCCTTTCTTAAGCTACTCCTTTCTTCGCTTAATTTTCCTTTTATATTAAATACCACTACCCCTGCCACTAAACATTTACAAACGCTTAGCAATAATACGTTGTTCCATATCGTCAGGACGAACTGAAAAAACAAACAAACAAAGCCTAAACATGGTTTTCTAAGTCATTGTAGATTCCGTGTTTTTCACTTCTTTTAAGTAAATTTAACATCCGTCCAAGTTGGGAAGCATGAATATTTAATATCAAATAAGTATCATGGTTATACATTTTCAGAATTCACCAGCAAAACCTGCATAATTTACCTCTAGAATTGCAACCGTTCCTACGACTAATTGAATTTGCCGCAATAACCTTGAATCCATCACATTCTTGGATGAACCAAGCATCCAGCCGAATGAGACCTTAACAGACATGTTAAGCATCTTAAATTCGGCAAGGGATTGGAAAACTACAAATGAAAAAAACACTGATGTAAAACATACATAAACTACAGTACTTACTGCGCAGAACTGCGCATGTGGGAACTGGGAAAGTGTGTATTATGAATAGACCTTTCTAATAATGATGTCAAACGCGGGAAGCCTATAGTGTTGAACGAAGTGTGATTGGCTCGATAGTTTTGAAACTGAATTCGTCAAGGAAAATTCCAAAACGTCCACTAAGCTTAGCCAGCCTGTCAAACATTATTTCAGCAGTGCAGGCTACATGTATATACTAGCTGTAAATTGGATATGTTATTCACCTATTGCTACGAAAATTAGATACGTGTATTCCTTTCCGTCCTGAGCAAACCTAAAATAAAACAATGTTTGTGAAAAAGTATTCGGATGTCAAACGAAATATATGCTAAACAGATTTCCGTACGATTCGATTGCAAAATTATCGAAATGTCGACGTAAAAGTAGTTTTCTCGTCAAAGAAGCTAAGTCGTTAGAGAAAGAGTCGTAAAGACGTCAAGTGCGTTAATTAGGATTGCGTTGGTAAAATTTCGTTGGATCGTCGTCGACGTTGGATCGAAAAAGGTAATCATTTTGATTTAGGCATATCTGGACAACTGGTCTTTACAACAAGCAATTAGTAAAATTTCAAATTAATCAATTTTGGCAACGTAGGGAAGGCCCGAGAATTTAGAAATGAGATTTTCTATCAAAAAGATCTCATCGTATGCATGTCTAGACATTTTTGCCAAACTTACCACAGCAGGTTTGTCAACGTAAAAAATGTCGCCAGAGCTTGATAAATAACTCCAACAGACAACTCTTTGATAACCTGGAGAGAAAGGTAGATTAAAATAAAGATACATAACAATCGCTATACTTGTGCAGTTGATGATCATATATTTAAGTTCTATAATTTGAAACTTTTTTGGAAAAACAGTTCAAATTATATAGCTACCTTGAAAAATGGTTCAAATGATATATTACAACAATTACTGCAACAAACCTGGTGCATTGGTCCACCTTTGCAAAGAGTCTGCCATAGTCTATGCCCATATAAGGACCCGGTTATAAAAATAATAAATGTTATGACTTTGTAGAACGATAAGAGACCTGTAAGGATAGAAATTAAAGATGCTGGGATCAGTTGTATCTATTAATACTTTAAATACCTAATACAAAAATTCAACTATTATAAACTTGTGACAATATGTAGTTTGTGACAAAATTAGCCAATGAGAATTGTATATTATAACCGTTCTGGAGTTAGCTATGATTAATGCCACCAGCCCGCAAACAACAACGCTGTCTTGATAGACTTGCCAGTAGCAGTGTGAATAATCAAATACTCTAACTTGATATGAAATATTTTGTGTTGTGTATTTATATCAAAGTCTCAATGAAGGATTTATATTCCATCAGAATTCTCAAGTATGTTAATTTTTCATGAAGGGTTTGCCTTTGATATGCATACACTGAGGTTAATCCAATTTACTTTCCACATGCTTGAATGCTAAACAGTAAATTAGGTTTGGCAATTTTGTCTTTAACTTACAGTTTCCACAAGGGTTGTGATCATAGACTTAATTTCTTACTTACCAGCGTGATCATAGCTAAAGTGGTCTACAGAATTTCCTTGCTTATTCTTGTTCATCAACTGTATTGTGTAGTTAATATCATCAAAAAAGGCCACAGAATTATCACAAGTACTGCTGTCTGCATACAGAACGTGCCAATAATCAATCATTTCCCATGGAACAAATCGGTGCTCTCCACTAATATTTGACATTGCAACTGAAAGAAAAAGAAATACAGTAGCTATATATCTGAATTTGAGTCCTAAAAAATTTGGCTTGCATTTCATTAAAAAAAATTTTGAAATTTACAAGAGAATTCAGCTGCTGCAATCTTCTCCTGACATGATGCAGACTCTTTGACAGTGTTCCATCTTTTTTCAGAGTAAAAATGCAGTTTTCCTTCAGGCACTTGTGATGTATCATGCCTGACAAAACCATCACCTATTAAAGGAAAGGAAAATAATAACAATGGTTAATGTAAAAAAAATGGTAAATTGACAAAATTGTGGATTAGTACAGGTTTACTCGTGTATTCATGATTTAGTAGTATATACAATTATACAAATCATGTGCAGTAAGACCTGTCTGTGTTCCATTTGTGCTAGAGTTGGGAAGAGTTGTATATGATTTGATATTTGAATTGTTTACCATCATTTACAATTCACAATGAACATTTAGTTAAATATTTTGATGTTTTTAAATTCTGCTTGTATAGAAAATAGCATGCTGCTTAAAAGACTGTCTGCCAAAAAAGCACTATGTTGGACAGAGAATATCAGCATATGATAGTGTTTTTTCTGGTATGCATATGCTATCAATAATTAATTCTTTTTTTTGCACCCCCTTTCTAAATTTTCAGCAAATGACAAGGTTATATCACAAGGCCATCTCAGTAGTTTCATTTTGTATTTTCTTACGGTACTTTTTTCTAAACTTTAAATTTGGTTTAAACTTCTAGAAAATTTGCTTCTTGCCTTCTTTTGTTGTACACCTGAGATCATTTTGAGATGTCTTGTGTGTTTTAGTAGAACAAGTTTACAACATGATGTTATTCATTCAGAAATCGGAATCGACAGGGCATTGCATCATTGCATCAGACTACTAATGACCTGATCTTAATAGTGATCTACAACAGTTCATAGTAATAGAGTTATTTACCATGTCCATGATGTGGCAACATATTTGAAGGCAAACATTAATTTAGCTTTCTATAGATATGAAAAATAAAAATCATCACACGTACCATAGAAGCAAAATGATGTAATATACTGTCCTTTGTTAAACCTTGCTTCTTGTGAACTTAGAACTCCTTTGACAGTCTTTCCAAGTGCAAATTGCAGAAAAACACCAGCCAAGACCAGAATTTTCAAGCAAGTTTTCATCGTCACGAGGATGTTGTTTCGTCTAGATTGTAAAAATTGGAGTATTGCGAAGCATTTTGATGTTATATGATGGATTTTGGAAATATTTTGAACGCCATATTGAAAGAGCTATTGTGCATACGTGGCATAACGCTACAAATGGATACAATTTCCTACTTTCGTCGGATGTACCAAATAGTTCCCCTATACCCCAAACCATCCAGCTGTATAAACTATAAAGCATGGTGTTGTATTCTATTTTAGTTATTTTATTTTTATCTTTACAAATCAACTAAATTCGAGCAGCTGATAGGAGATTTGGAACTTGTACAGTAAGAATGATTCTTTTTCATTGTCTTGATATTGAAAGTAACTCATTAACAAAAAATTTGATCTTGGAGAGAAAGTGACTGGTCACCTGTGAACTGTATATAATAAAATATAAAGTTGAAATTTTGCATGCATGCGCAGTAGTGGCCTGAGAACTTATGAATACGTGCCGTCGTGCTGGGGACATCTGCATTTTGGTTTGGACCTTGTGTTGATAACAATTATCGCTACATACTTGTTGATTAAAACTTGTGTTTGTTTTCATATTGAACTGATATACATTACAGCTTGGTATAAATTATTCTTGCCAAAACCAGTACTTGAGCCTTAAGCAACCAAAACTCAAACAGCTATCAGGGCATGCGCTAAAGTGCAGAGAAGTCAATTTAATTTCTAATAGTTTAGTGTTTTGTGTGGGCTCAAGACTCAATAGATCAGTGTTACGCTTTGTTAGTGTTTATAGGAGCACTATCCCTATATCATATGTGAAGTAAAAAAAAACATGTCAGGGCTGTGCAAAGGGGAGGAACTTAGGTAACACTACCTATTATTGAGTTGTGTGAAATATTTGGTGCCTTGGTGGGGAATATTATCTGTAATAGCAATTACGCAGTTGTTACATATGATGTGTCTGGTAAGTGGTAATGAACATCAGTGATATAATAGTTTTGCATTTTTGCTTGTCCGAAATTTAGAATGCTAAACTTTTGACCTATCTTTTTCTATGGTTTAAATTTTCCCTGTATTTCCTTCAAATTTTCATCAAATTTTCATCAATGTTTCATCAAGATATATTATGTTAAGAACCATATAGAATTATTGCTAAGTTAGTGACTTAGTTTACTAATTGGTCCATTCATAGGTACATAGCTGGTTAAAGAGTCGATTATGACTGACACATGTATCAATTCTCAAGAGATCCATAAATCTGGAGAACAATATTACACATGCGAAATTTGCAACCTATCCCTTGATAACGAGGAACAGTTGGTCGCACAACATAAAGCACTTCACGACGAAGGCGGTTTATATAAATGCGACGATTGTGACAAGACATTCCCTTCTGCTAATGCACTCGAGGCACACATGCAACGGAATGTCAAGCTGATGGAAAACTCTCATAAACTGCACAAATGCGACGATTGCAACAAGGCGTTCCACTCACTAAAGGGCTTGACCTGCCATAGAAAAACGCACACAGAGGCGATCTTCGAGTGCGCGTCTTGTAACAAGCTGTTTGCAAATGCAGCCGAGTTACGGGCCCACAGGAGAACGCACGCCTTGCAGGTATGCGATATTTGTGGCAAGTCGTTCGCTGGTTCGTCCGGGCTGATCCGTCACAAACGAACACACACGGGAGAAAAGCCGTTCAAATGTGACGTGTGCGAAAAGGGTTTCGCCCAGTCCATCCACCTCATAGGACATAAGAGAACGCATACGGGAGACAAACCGTACGCTTGCGACGTGTGCACAAAGACGTTCCGCCTTTCGGGCGATCTACTGCATCATAAAAGGATGCATACTGGAGAAAAGAGGTTCAAGTGCGACGAATGTGGCAAGGCGTACTACGTTGCGAACCAGTTGACTCGTCATAAGAGAACGCACACAGGAGACAAACCCTACAGTTGTGGTATCTGCGAGAAGACCTTCACCTATTCGAGTGCGGCTTCAAAACATCGCCGAACACATGAAAAGATTAAAGCTTTCAAGTGCGATGCTTGCGATAGGGCATTTCCAACCGCGGATGGCATGGAACTGCACAAAAAATCGCATGTTGACGCGAATTAGTTGTGAATCTATGCTCACAAACACTGGCATACAGCTAATTCAGTCAACTATAAAGGTTGCATCAACTTTTAACAACTGTTAGCATCATGGGGTTACAGAAGGTTGTAGATACAGGTTGTTTGCAGGTTTATCAAATTAAAGTTAAATGTTGGTTTTATTTGTTATACACTCTATGTATGACTGATATATGTGTACAGAAGCGTCCACCGATGCGTTGGCATTGCTGTTGATATTAATTTGGCTTTCTAAAGTTTTATTTTATGGTTTTGAAAGCGGTCATTTGGAAGGCGTTTGATTGCTTGATACTGATAGGTCAACTCTGCCGCAGGCTTTCCAAAAGAAGTGTTCTCTCAGAAGAAGCCACAGTTGTCTTGTGCTTCCAACCTTTCAGGAATTTAAAATGCTTCCAAACCAAACAGCAGAATTGAGCGAAATATACATGTCAAGTTAATGGTTTGCCTCGAGCGAAATAGGGGATATTAAACTAAAAAAATAAATGGAGCCGCTTTTTTGTGAACTCGCTTGCCTGCTTCGATGCTTGATCATTTGGACAATCGTGGAGTTATAAATTCTACTGCTAATATTACTGCTAATTTAGTTAATCACTTAATTTACAGGGGGTGAATTACGCAATATCAACAAAAAATGTTCTGGGACCCCCTGTAGCTACCTTGGCCCTGGCCTCTGCCGGCGTTTTACTTGGAGCGCTAATATGAAATGCAGTGCTAGTGCATGTATTTATTTAAATCTTTACGTCGGTTTAATTTTGAATATAAAATATGCCGTGTAATATAAACAATATATATTCACTTCATTGACCAATCAATTGACACGCAAAATTTCTGGATACGCCTACATTTTTAATAACCACATCAGTCGTTTCTTCAATCGTTGACCGTAAACGTTGATAGTAAACTGTTGCAGACTTGTAGTTATAAGGTATAATAAGGTTGTCTAAGATGTCACAAGAAATAGTGTTGATCACAGGCACTTCCTCCGGCCTTGGTATGTGTGCAGCTGCAATGCTCGTCAAACATCCAAGTCAGAAGTACAAAGTGTACGCCGCGATGAGAAATACAGCGAAGAAGGACGAGCTACTGAAGAAGGCGGGCGAATGCGGCGAAAAAAATCTTGTTGTCATTCAACTGGACGTATGTTCCGACGACTCAGTCCATGCTGCCGTAAAGGATATCCTCGACAAGGAAGGCAGAATCGATGTATTGGGTAGGTGTGCAGAACTTCTAGCTTTGGGCGAAATCTAGCGTGTTAATCTTGCATGTTTGCGTAATTGAAAAATGTTCGTTTGCTCACCACAATAATGCTGTAAGTACTCGTATTCAGAACTCCTATATATATAACCCAGTTGCAATTGTATCCATGCATCATTATACAAACTGCCATGCAGTAAAATTTACAATGTAAAACACAATGAGAAATGTGTTGGAAGTCAGGCACTGATGTGCCTTTCATCTGTGAGATTGTGATTGCATGTGTTTAAATAGGACGATCCGTCTGCAAACAACTAAGCCTTCTTTTTAAAATTGAAATACGGTTTAATTAAAATATCACTATTGGCTAAGCTATTCGCCGTATATCATCTCGTATGCGTGAGAATTTGACAATTTGTGGTGTGAATTTCATTGTTACAAAGTTCTGGCTATATTGCAAAACAATTATACAAATCGGTATTACCATTCGCTCTACTTGACCCACGTGTGTAAACTAGTGTAATTTGTCATTTGAGGTTCAAAAATTTATGGATATCAAACATTGCCTATCGAACTTCAGTTATAAAATAAATGGTTGAACCTGTGATGACCGCTGCAAAACGTTAGTCGAAAAACAAATAGTTTTACCATGGATAATAAAATCACATGGTTTAAATCACATTAACAATCATAACATAATCAAATCACATTAACTATCCATGGTTTTACGGATATAATTGCGAGAATGAACAATTTAATTAAGATATAATAAGTGTTATAACTTGTGTTAATTTGCCTGGATTTAGTAAACAACGCTGGTATTGGACTGTTAGGAGTACTTGAAGAGCAATCATGGGAAGCCATCATGAATACATTTAACACAAATGTGTTTGGTGTATTTCGAATGCTCCGTGCCATTGTTCCATCGATGAAAAAGAAGAAGAAAGGTCGTATCATTAACATCAGTTCTATTGGAGGATTACTTGGTCTTCCATTCAACACCGTTTATGGATCAACCAAGTATGCACTAGAAGGTATCACGGAATGCCTCGCCCCGCAACTTGCACAATTTAACATTCAGTAAGTAAAATTACTCATTAATACATGGATATAGACATTACATAGCAATGGCGACTGCAATTTAGGATCGCCAGGAGTGCATGTTTGCATTTTGGTTGTTAAGTATTATATCTAGGTTATATAATATACAATTGCCCTGTTGGCATAGCCGCTATATACGGGCTATGTTATTAGACTCATTGCTATTAGATCTGCAACTGATTAATGTATTCCCCTTTCCCTAGTGTTTCAGCCGTTGAACCCGGACCGATTTCCACGCAGTTTGCGCCTACAGCCTTTACGCACATGTCCGCATTTCAACCAAAAGACGAGCCAACCAAGGCTTTGTTTGACAAATTCGTCGAAGGTTTCAACACAACGTGGATGATCGAAGGAGTGTTACAAAGTGGCGATGAATGCGCAGAGTATGTCCTGAAAGCGATTGTGGACGAAAAGCCGCAAGTACATTATCTCACTAACAAGACCCTCGAAGAATCAGTGAAAGTGAAGTTCAACGATATGACTGGAGAAGAATGCCTTAAAAGAAGCATGAAATACATCTCTTAGCTATACTCCACGAACTATCGTAAACTTTCAGACCACTCCTTTTCCCCCTGTTATAGCCGCTTTCATGCAAACACCACTGTATAGAGAGAAAATAGATAAAATACGAACAGTCAGCTTCATACATATTGTTTATTTTATACTATATACCTTATATTGTCTCCTATATCCAAAATTGATTCTAAACTTAACATGCAGCTTTTACCCACTTCCATGCATGTACCGCGCCACATCGAAAATAATTGAATTTGAAAATAATGCTGCAAGAGTGCTTGATGAGAGTTCATTACGAAATTGCAGTGTTAAAAATTCCTTAACAGCTAGTAACTGCTATACTGCATGCATGCATGTGAATGACGTTGAACCTCCGGAAAACCACTATACCCATAGCAGCTGACAATAAAAGCATATAAAAATAATCGAAAGGCCTAGGTGAAATGTGAAAGTATGGTCAAAATAAGACGAAAATGAATTTGTGATAATTTCGAATGGCCCATTAGAGAATCGTCGTCATACAGACTATCTAGACGATAGTTTTGCGTTCCAAGAACTGCGCATCATATTTTATAGTTTATATTATAGTTTTAACTTTAATACAAACTAAAAATTTGTGTTATCGGAACAAATAATATCTTATATCTCTATAAAATATGATGAAGCTATTGAATAAGCTAAGAATTGTACGGAAGCTAAAATCTTCTAATATTTTTCGGCTAATAATTGTCTTCTAATCGTACGGAAAAATTTTGTTCTACCCGAACAGCTGGGAATTTGTTGCGCATGCCCCATGCAATTTGGCTTCATTGCGAGCTGCATGGGTACGAGATTGGATTTTGCCCAGGAAAGAGTTCTGATGATTTCGTCCGGCAAGGAATTGTGAGGGGAAGGTGTCCTTTTGTAGTCTAGTACAGACTGGATAGTTCCTTAACAGTAAATCGCAAGGAAAGTTGGATTTTAAAAAAGGGTTCCTTGATCCTTGATTTCGGATGTTCTGCAGATATCTCCCAGTCAAGTTTCAGTATATATAACTTAACCTAGCAGTGACTTCAAACTTTATTCTATTGAGGAAACCATATTAAGCTTCCTAAGATGAACCCGATATCTCATGATCGACAAAAGTATGATTACACCCCGTATATAGACGCAGGCATTTTAAAGTTCAGAGAAAACAAATATACCGAGGCCTTGATATCTAAATATGATATCAACGGAAAATGAATTCAACGATCGTTTGCTATATATTCAAGACGTACATTAAACCGAGGGTCGGTTGAAGGCGTTTTTGAGATAATGATACTTAGGCCGAAAACTGAAGAATATGATAATAAATAAAATTAATAAATTCAATTAAATTTAAAATTTTGGTGCCATCTTTTAAACATTTTGAAGTTGAAGATCAGTCATATTATTTTCACATTTTTTAATACTTTTATGTAAAGACTGTTTCACAGACTTTCTTGATCATGTGACATGAACACTCGAGTCCTCAAATAATCAATTTTTTCATCGGATAAGAATCATAAGATAATAAAAGTGGATAACTAGTTGGGTGACACATCCTCCTCAAAAAAACAAACTCAATCTATCTAACGACGCTTTTGTCATAGTTCCTAACGAAATTAGGCATGATACATATAGTGTTCTCGTCAATATCGCAAAGCTCCGATTGAATACGAATCATGAGGGAACTGAATTTGCTGTTGACCTGTTGTTGTTGCTGCAGTCTTTATATATAGTTTCTCAAATTGCGAGAAAACACTTTTTTTAAAATCCACAATATGATAATATTGCTGCTACACTCATGCATAGAAACGGCAATTAATAAAGATGTTATAAACTTCCATACTATTTCTAACTAGAATGCATACTATATTTCCAAAGAATATAATCATTTATGCATAGACAATTGCATGGCAATAAACTATGCACTCATGCCTATATTCATTGAGCCATCAATTCATACTCATATCAAGCCACCACTTCGCAGAAACGAAATTGTAACCAGACACAGTACTAAAATGCGGTGCCCGCAATGCTTGCCTAGAAATAAACGTCCGCTCATTTCTAACGACATCACCAACTTACATTCTCCTGTCGGCCGCAGCCTGGTTGGTTGGTACATTAAGGTCAAAATTGCGCCGTTTTAAAATCTTCAGAGATAAAATATTTAGGTTAAAAATACTATCTAAAAATACTATCAAAATGAAGAGAAACGTGAGACGAATGAACTGGTGTAGAGCCGGAAACTAGAAAGGCAACGATACAGAAGTCAAGGATTAAGCGTACTGCATTTTCAATTTGTTTAATAATTTTGAGCGATTTGTCATAAAGTTCGCTTATTGAAACTATACTTTAAAACCTTCGAAATAGAATATATTTGGCTCAAAGTACTATAAAATAAATCGTAATGTAAGACCGATCCACTTATTTGAGGACGAAAATTAAAAGAGAAAACCAACGATATGAAAAATATCAAAGACCAAACTTACTATTACTATATAGTAAAGTATAGCATAGTAATTTTGAGCGATTTGTCAACAATTCAATTTCGTTTGTCTTTCAAACGTCATAAATCGCTGCGAATACTCTTGTTTAGTAACATATTTAAGATCGGTAAGTATAATTTCTTACGCTAAATCGAATGGTGGTATTTTTGTTCTTCTTGGGTGCATAAAAGCAGAGATACACGCAATTATCAGAGTTTGAGATTGAAATTGAAAAAAGAGCGTTCCTTTAAAAAAGGAATTTGGCAAACGTACAACAAGATTAATAGTGATAATTAGGAAAAAATTCCAAGCATTCCAAGCATGTGCAAGGAATTTTTACTAGGCGATTAAGGAAACGTATTGATGCGAACAAACAAACTCACAGGCAGAATATAATGCGGTGCCAAACTTGGCGCGGGCACCGCAATTTATTATTTCTTATTTTTGTTGTTTTTACCTAAATAAAAAACTCGAAGTTCTTCAACTTTTAATAGGACACAATTGCAAAATCAGAACTCGATCACAGTGTAGTTCTCTTGTTCTTCGTGATCTTTAACTCATATTGTATCCCTAATATACCATTTGGTTTGGGCTATAGTGTTACGCAAAGGTTACTTCTAATAGAACGTCCCGCCCGCAACCTACATTAACGCTATATGCATGTGATCTAATGATTCTAATCTAGCCGACTCACAGTTAGCCTGGTTATGTCATTCTAACTTTAATCGTCTAGCCCCTGCCCTCGGTACGATCCTTTCTCTCACAATATACCACCGCATTATCTTTACCCTAGCTATATTAAATGATTTAAATCTGTGATTAAATAGCCCTAGCCGAGGAGCTTGCTGCTTGCATACAAAACAATGACGTTTCTAATAAGACCACTCAGGGGCTGATCCGTGGACCACCGGACAGACAATGTAGCAGTTTTCCTGTTGAGATTTTAAAACGTCGTTGTAATGAAAGGGAATCAATCGTCGATTTCGTCGTTTTAGAAAAAGAGAGGGATTTGAAGAACTCCCAATGCGTATATTTATTCTCATTATACCATTTAATGGTTTTTTAAGCAGGCCACAATCCTCTGCGGGGGAGAATGAAATGATGCTTAGTTTTCATCAGGTTCATTCACAGCTTCTTCTTTTTATCTGTTGAATGATGTTTGTTGCGCATAATTATGCTTTCTCCAAATGCTGCGAACCGGAACGCTATCAGACGTAATTCTGTCCAAGATCGCAAAGATGATAGACGGCGAACGATAACTTGTCAAATGCTATACGCTCCATTATTAACAGCAGCTAACAGGTCATCTGGTGCTGCGTCAGTATCGGATGTTTTCCCAGCGATAATTGATACCAGATCCTGATATGCTTCGAGTATTTCGCTTTTTAGTTTGCATATGCAATACAACGATCGATATAGCTTACCGTTTGCTCGCATGTATATGCAAAACAGCGTCTAAGTATGTGTCACGCACGTAGATTAATACATTAGCATGCCATAATAGGCCATAGAATCACTTTGAATGTCCATGCACGCGAACATCATGTCGGTGTGGGAAGTTATGACAGATGTCACACGCATTGTCGTGTATTGAAAAGCGATCTAATTGACGCACAATAATCAGTTATATACTCCGACGAATATTACATCGTAAGAGTGGCTGTGATTCGACTTCACGTGGTTTCTGGCGATGATTATCAACTCCTATATATTATATAGCGAAGCTGAATTGAAATAAACACGCTCGATAGTTCAAACGGGGCATATTATTCCCCGCGGGGCCTTGTATTGTTAAGCGTTTTTCGCGTATTTTTATCTTGTGCAGGTGAGATATGTGTTTGTATGTATGTGTGCGGTGACGTTCTCAGTGTGTTTTGTGTCAGTTAAGCTAGTATGTGTTCAAGATAGCAGTACAGACGCTATGAACGCGACCCGAAAAGGGCAATCCAAAAGTTTTACCGCTTCATCTTTCCTCTCTATTCTTTGCAGATGTGACAGATACTTCTTCGCCTCTCAAGTTCGTTATACATTGTCTGATTATATTTTCATTGAATTTGCAAGCGACGCCCCGTTATATTAATTACAACGTTGATCTCAAAGTCAGATTTGTTGCTGACCTATTTTATCATCTGGGTAAAATAACACAAGCTGCCGTTTGTTCGAAAGAGGGCATTCAATTTTCCGTACTCTTTTAGACGCTCGATACTTCATATTAGGAAGGGGCGCGTTGTTATGGGGGCTTTCAAGAGCTTACCTAAACGCGCTCGTCGGAGCGAGTGCGACGAAGACGAATCTCGTCAACAGATCGTGCTGTTCACGGGTTCCTCGGAGAAACTAGCCATATCATACGCGCTTCGACTCGCGTCGGATTCTCAAAAGCGCTTCAAAGTTCTGGTTGCCGTCTCATCACTGTCCAGCGGTGAGAACCTCAGCGACACGAAGATACTGAAGTACCTAAACACAACGTTGTTTATGCTTAAAATGGACATTTCGTCGCAGGAGGACGTACAAAAGGTTGTCGATCAGATTAAGGAGGAAGACGGATATATTGATGCTGTAGGTAAGGACGCTTATTAATATGTCTTAAATATATATTAGGAACTGCTGACAAATAAACAACGTTGTTTGCACCTGTTCATGTCAAAGAAGAAAGCATCGCAATTGATCGCATTATTTGTAAGTCGGTACATATAAACAAAAATATTATAACCAAACATCCGACAAAAAATCACTATTGATTTTCTGTGCGTCATTATAGTTGTGCAGCTATGTGTTGTGTAAAGAGTCGCGCTACCATTAACCTCCCCCCCCCTGCTTTTCCCCCACTCTACGGTCCTGTTTTTCCGAGCGTTGAAGTTTTGATTGATAGTGTCGGGCGGTGGAATGAAAATATCTGAAATGAATTTTGAAAATTTCTTCGGTTTATATATAAAAAGTATAAAACTGCTTTCTAAACGCGGTCACATCTGGTTTTTCAGAACAATTTCTTATTATTAGTCCTTCAAATTAAGCCAAATCCTTGCCAATATCTTTACACTTCTCACAATCTGTTTCACGAACATCGTGTGTAAATAGTGGGTATAAATTTTTGGTGGTTGGCCCTTGGTGTTGTGTAATCAAAGAAATGTAACAAAGATTGTCTGATGAACTCCCTTGGATATTACTGGAATAACGCCATACAGAGACATTTAATCCGGTCAATATGAGAATACATTGTTACTCAACTCAACGAATTTTTTGCTTTTTGCAGGCTGCAGCGCTGTTTCGTATATAAATACATGCAGTTAGTTTAAGTTTAATCATACATTAAGCTTCATCGACCATAATTGTAAAAAGTGAGCGCTAAAATAGTATTTTGAAAATCAGTTTACTCTCCACAATGGTATAGCTGCATGATATATTCATATTTTCCCACAAGGGTTCAGATGTCAAACTTAATTGAAATAGCTGATATCGACATTTGATTTGTGGGATTATTTAAAAGTTGGTTTGCCACGTTTAATGTCCCCCAAGGCCATAGAAATGCGATATTCCCATCATTCCCTTTGCGCTTACAATGCACAATTTAACGAGGTCAACAGAGGTAGCTGGATATATTGACAAAACGCACGCGGGTATTACAAACTTCTATCAACATGTCTTCGCGTCCAGACCTTCAGAACACGCAGGCCGGCATTTTTCGAGAACTCGGTGTTTTTCCAAAAATAAACTGTAAAAAATTCAGTAAAATCCACAAAGCTTGGTATTGCAACATCACTTTCCCACTTCAGTAATCAGTTATACTTTGGTGTCGTGCCAATATGAAGTGTTTTTGTTTATGCCTATATATATATATATCCAAAATCCTCCAGAGTGGTCTTCAAACTTGATTGATATTTGATACCATTGAGGATTTTCCTTCCACTGGTGTCGAAGAATACCAATTTTTTACTTCTACAAGTATATATAAAAATCCGCGTGAGCAAAACATGAAACAATGAGGGCTAAAATGCATGTCTACTGTATATAAGAAGTATGTAACATATGTTGACGTTTATAAAACATTTAGTTTTAGGCGCTTTTATGTGAAGATTGATTGTTGTTCTATAGTCATAGACATAGACGATTATCGCGCATGCATTACTGAATGTGGACTTATATTTACAACAATTTACTATACTCTATAGTTCATGAAAAATATATGACACGACGTATATAACTTTTGTCTATAACATAACCACAAAGAACAAATGAAACTCTCGATTCGTAAGCGGCATTACTTTTTTCCGGACAGCCTAATATCTAATCACACCGCGCTATCTATTTCTTTACCATAGAGCTGTTACTTAATGCTTATATAATCTTGTCTGGCGTGCATGATAAACACGACCGGCGTAAACCTCAAAGACAATGTGTTCATGATAAAAATATAACACTCCTCGAATCACGAGTTTCTTCGGTGATATTAACATATTTCTGTCGTTGTTTTTTTCAAATCTCGGAATGAGGAGTACTTTAACTCTTTAATTTTCTTGGTATCATATGACATACGTTGTGGAGTGCGCGCATAAATCATATATGCATGCCATACAGGTCAAATACAATTTGAAAACTGCATGCATGTCGCCTTTTTCTAGGTTTATACCTCGGCACGTCTGTACTAAACTTTGCGATCTCTTTTTTAAACGATACTATACTGAAATAAATTATTTGATTTCGAGAATTTTGATTTTTGTGCGAATTTTTTAAACGTATGTCTTTGTTAAAATATTTAATTTATATATATCATATATATGAAATTAAGGCAGACGAATAGGTCAAAAGACGGGTTACAACTACACTATACAGTTGATTCTTTTAATGAGAGAAAATACACATTTTCCTTATGCTATAAAGCAAGCTTTCCACCGTTCTACCTTGGCGACATTTCAGTGAAAACTGAATGAAAAATGTAGCAGCGGAATTGAATGTCAACGCATGCACATCTCTGTCATCTCATTGTAAGTTGAAAGGTATTCTCAGAAATGCTGAAGTTTATACTTGATGGAAAGACGCACAAAAAGACATGCACATGTTTATTTAGACATTTTAAAGGTTGTCAAATATAAGTATGATTTTGCAAAGATCTTTAAGACTCCTTTTACGTCAAGTGAAGATAACGCGAAGCTCAACTGACAATCGTCTTATAGGCTTTTAAAGCTTGAAGAAAATACAAGTATTGTCTTCTCGGCTTGTCGGTAAATAAATATCTACATGTGACTATAGATATGTCTTTTTTATATTTGTCTACCCGTCTTAAGTTACACTAATGAGCCCTTTAAACACTGAAAAAGTTTTTAATTAAGTTGGTGTATTTTTGTAGCTCTCGACAACACGACAACATGCGTAAACAGACAAGGATTTAATTACGAACGCCCGCGTTCATATTGATACGAGTACTGTAGAATATATTCTTTTTCATTGGCTGGATGGGAAAAATCGCTTGCTCAACAGCTGTTCTGCCACGGTTTTATGCACAGATTAAAAAATATAGACGTATAATGTCGGAATTATATACATAATTATGTACTTTCTCTTCGAACCCGTCCGCATGTGATTGGCTGTCCCAACAAACGTAAAATGTTTAGTTTTTTGGCAATGCATAGCTACATGTCGAATTGAGATATTCATATGACGTACATTATATGCAATATATTTATATGCAATACTTCATTTCCAACCACTGAACATCCGAACTTAATAATCCTCTTCCACAATCCACATATTCCACACTAAAAAAGAAACCGCGTGTGACAATGAGCTTACAGCAGCGAAGCCAGATTGATGATTTGTCATTTTTTGATAACTCGAAATTTGCATAACAGGACAAAATCGTCAGGCTGGTTACGCCACTGTCAGAGCTTAGCTTCCAGGCGAAATTTTCAGTGGTATTCTTTTTGCTCGAACATGCCAACACGATAAGGGGAGTTAATAACTTTTAGCGGTAGATGAAATTTTTTTCATTCGTTTTTTGACATTTACATTTTTTATGTCGAATGATTCGTTTTGTTTTCAGATCGGATTATATCACATTTGATGGCAGCGCATTCGATTTGCCTAAATTTGGTTTGCGTAAAAGCTTTGTCGCTAGTCAACAGAAATCTATTTCAAGCATTTAAATCTGGATTCTTCCTTTGATTTAAGATGATTCCAGAGGAATAAATCATGGGAAAGTATATTTTTCCTCTAAACGTTCGACGTTGTAGATTTCGGTCCTATATTTTCTGACGATTATGGAAAAGTTCGACATTTTACACATAGGTGTTTGTGTTCCTAGAAAAATTACAATTTCCTAAAACATGCAAATTTTATACAAAAAAGATTTTCGGAATCTACTAAAAGGCGAATTCCTCCCCGCTGCCACTGGTAAAATTGCATGTCGCGGGAATAATGCTATTTAGTTCCCAAGAATTTACACTAGCGCTGTGCAATCACTGCAATGAACTAAAATGAAAGAAGGTTCTACATTGTTGAACGTTCTAAAGGAAAAAAATAAGCTTTCCATAATTTATTCCTATCGAGCCACCTTAATAGGTTTGTTACATTACACTAAAATTCTGCAAAGAACGTGCATCACAGGCTCAAATTAACGTAGCCATGCATTCCCGTATCAGGAGTTCATACGGGACCGGACAACTGATTTAGGACCGATCGAATTCGCCTTGTTTCCACGTGCGAACACGTAGAACCGGTCGAATTTTCATTTGTTTTCACCGTGTGAACACCTGAACCGGACGAATTCGAGCACCGGTCCCGTGTGAACTCCTGATACGGGAATGCATGGCTACGTTGTCCGGTCCCATGTTAACTTGGATTTTTTTCCAGTCTTTCTGCCCCCGGGTGATTATCCCGCGACGCTGATGTATATTATTAATTATAAAATAGCTGCTCACTGTATATGAGGTATTCCGCAATCTGATTGCATGGTCGAGCTACCCACCATATATCAGCTCCTATACGGTGGGTTGCAAAACCAAAGAAAAAGCAAAATGGCTGACCGGTTTGCTGAGGTGAAAAAAAGAAGAAATTAAAACAATTATACCACTCGCTCTCGTCGTATATAGCTGATAGCTCGGTGCTGCGCACCTTGTCGGCTATCAGCTCATATACGACTCGAGCTCGTGGTATACTGATTGTTAATTATATGCCATCATTGAGTAGAGAAATTCGACTTTTGCTTTCCCTTATAACTGTGCATGCATATCTCATTATTTATAACTTTTTAACCATAAAATATAGTTAATATGACTTTTAAAAAATCACTTTTTGGACTAATGTATACCGCAACTCGTTTCAAGTATCTATCGTCAGGTCACTGGTTTTTCAATATGATATTATATTCTTAGTGATTGCTTCGGACATCCGCCTCGCTGGTCCTATTGAAGAGCACACCTCTGGTCAAATTGAATCGCTATTTGAAAGTAATGTATATTCTACAACCCGTATCATTCGTGCCGTGTTGCCAGTATTAAAGAAACAACACCATGGTAAAATTCTGGTAACAAACACCCAAGCTGGAATATTCGGGATGCCATTTCACTCGGCTTACAGTGCTACAAAATTCGCAGTCAATGGTCTTTTGGAGTCTCTAGCTCCAGAATGTTTGCGATTTAATATATAGTAAGTACATTATATTTTTGAAATGGCGATTGAGGCATTTTCCTGTAAAACGCTCAGTAAAGTATGTTTTATGCATCAGACCCTTTACCCAGAATTTGAACCATCCATATTTACCTTCACTCAGTGCTCGCGAATCGAATATTTACAAGTGCAGCCCTATATATACCCTAGAGAATACTGTTACGGAATGGCGTTTGAGTTTAAAAACATTGACCCAAACGTTGCCCTTTGTCTTATTCTTCCCCCCCCCCCAAATTATTTTTGGAGGAAGGCCCCAATCCACTAACCGTATTCTTTCTAGGAATGGACTTAATTGAGAGGTGAACTGATTTAGTTGTAGCTATATAAAATCGATCCTCCCTCAAAATGGGTAGACAGATTTGCGGAGATGTTTCAACAGATCCTAGACTATGAGATTGTTAGAGCAATGAGACATTTCAGTACCGATTTTACCAAAATTCTTCAAATGTTGGCTGAACGTTCGATTCATACGTCATTTTAATTCTTAACCTTTTCACACATTGCGCATGCGTAATACATTCTATTCATTTTTCACTATTATACTAGTATATCAATTTTGGAAACGAGTCTTTCAAACGAATCAGACAAAAACGCGAAGGCCATACGACTTGCAATGGAAAACGACACATCAGCGTTGGATGGCGATACTGTGGACTACTACGAAAACTTCAACAATCGTCTGAAGAAAAATAGATCTTCAGTGAAGAAACCAAACCCCATGAAGTTGGGGGACACCGTAAAAGACATATTACTGACTTCAAAGCCACATTTTCGCTATCAGATTAATCGTGTTTGCAAAGAAGCCGTAAGACAGAAGCTGACCGACGAAAGTGGCGATTCTTATATTGAAGAGGCGGCAGAAAAGTATCTGTGATTAACCTCTCTAGAAGTTGATAAACGAAGAATTAGAGCGAAGAAAATAAGAAGAGGGTGCTATCAAGCATGGCTTACCCCTTTGGGTTCCCTTCTCTCCGAAAATACAATTTATAAACTCTCTTTAAATCAAGTACCTAAGCTCCTGCTATACAAAAGGTTTACTCATCGATAAAGAACCTATCGCATTCCCTATAGCAAAAACAACATGCATGCCTGCAAATTAAAAAACCCAACCGTTCATAGAAAATCAGAAATATTGTAAAACTTAGATGGAGAACGGGTGAAAAGATGTCTTTCGGTTCTTTTTAGATTTCCTATGAGATCTCAAGAATATTTCCTTGCATGTCATAAATATTTTCGTCTATTAGTAAAATGCTGTCCCACTACAGCTTTAAGTGTAATTCCAAAGTATAATACTATTGAACACTTAGTATGATACTAGAACTTGGTTGACCGAGTACAAGGACTGGATCCGTATATTGACCAAGTCTATGTAGGGCTGGAACATTTATTGTCATGCATATACTAGCTATATCATGGGAAAGGATGAATTTTTCTCTTGAATTATCAGTATTCCTATTGGTAATAATAAATCTCTGGATTCATTTGCCCAATCTGTTTTTTCCATTCTCCGAATTCATTATATACACCAAAAGTATCTAAAGGCGCATATACACCACGCGCAATTTTAGGTTTGGTACGGATGAAATTTGGACCATCTATTAAGGTGGTCTAAATTTCACCATTCTCAATTTTATCCGTACCAAAAGGCTGAAACGGGTGAAATTTGACAATTTTTTCGGTACCGTACCAAAATATTGTGCGTGGTGTAAATGGGAGTCAAATGACGACCTGTTTGCTGTTGAACTTCTCTTACAGTAATTTTCGTAAATTGGAAGAAAATTGCCCGCAATGACGATATATGAAATGGCGAATGATTTCCACTACACTATATACATTATGACAAATATTAGTCATATTTCCTATTATTTAGGTGATTTGAGAAATCCTATTTGTGATTTGTCAACGGCGAATAAAATTGCATCATAGATAAAACGTTCGTATTTAAATCGGATAATTAAACATAACCGCAACGAGACGATTCCATTCAAATGTGGCTTTTTTCAGTCATCCAGAGACAACATTTGTAATAGTGGGTGAGTATGCAGGGCCGTAGTTAGACCTCTTAATCGACGTATATATTCATATATTCACGTTTATCTAACGCAGGAACAATAGCGTACAAAAGAAATCAGTCGGGCATAAGATAAATTTATGGATATACACCCTCCCCCCACAATTAAGATTCTAGCTACGGCCTGTGAATATGAGTGCATACATGACAAACATGTCTGTCATCTCTTTTCTATTAGCTGGGAGGATAGGTTTTTTATTTGAGAGAACGTCAAATCTTTTTATCTATTGATTGCTTTAGTTTGGAGCATTATGTCTACGAATTCCATTTCATTGCCTGCATGATTTTTTTTGTTTCTACACCGACGACCCACGCATGTAATTCCTTATTGGTCGGTGGTAAATTAATCACCGGAACTGATGAACAATTTCCTGATCGTGGTAATTGTCGTATTCGTTATTTTTGGATGTAGCTTTGAAGTTTTAACCGAGAATTGTTGGGCCTCCCAAATTTATTTCATATCGCATCTAGGCAATGTAAAACTAATGACTTTCTTTGCCACAAAATACTTTGCAACGTAAGGCTCTCGGGCACAGTTAAGATTGCTCTTTTGAGGTATACATAACACTGACTTATTTCAAATTGCGAAAAAAATGTTCGTCCGACCGAACACCGTTTGACTTTTTAGTTTGTATTGAAGTTTGTCAACGCTAATGTTATGTATTATGTATATTCAATTGCCCACTACTGGAAATAGTGGTTGAAGTTTTCTAGGTGCTAAGGTGTTCTAAATCTAACTTATAAAACAGAAACAACAGAAATTAGATGAATTTATATGCTGAATTATAGTAGAAGGTCAAAGGTGTTTTGCTACCTTGGAGTAGATAAATTATATAGCATCCATTTCTCAGACATTCTGACTCCGCAAATGACTTGCATTAAATCTCATGAAAAATTTTAATAGTCGTTGTATATTTTGAAATCTGGTTCTCATTATTCCGACAGTTGGCGATTGTTATTATAACTTTATTGGGAAACATTAACAATAACAATAAAAGTGTTACCCAAAAGGAAAAGTGCGGACTGGACAGGAAAAACCCATGCGAGGCACCCCCCCCCCATACAACATTACAATTACAATTTACATTACACTGTATAACTATTATTGAGCTAGGTAAAGCTTGATTTGCGCAATAACCACATGCAGAATCATTCAAATACGTTATTTGTGACATATATAGAAAAAATTGTTCAGAAAAGAAAAGTAACTTGGTTTCAAAGCATGCAATTGTATCGATGTCATGTTTGTGGCCGGTGGCGAAGAAAATTGATTAAAAAGGCACTTTATTTTCAGTGTCATGCAGTGATCACTGACAACAGCCATCGCCGCTGTCGCCTGTCGTGAGCAATAAGAATATATTACTTGAAATTAAAATATTCCAGCCTGGATAAATCAGGTCGATACGTTTTAAATTACTATAATGAGCAACCGGTTGACTTCCTACTACTCAGTTTTTCCCAGCGAATTTTCTTTAAAGAAAATCCGCGTATACCTTATGTCGAATACTCCAAATATTAGAGGATTTACCACGTATGAACCTGCTACTCTTTAAAAACTATATAGCGAAGTAACAAACCCAGTTATCAAAAGGATTGTCGCGCCAGCAACCTCCGAAGTCCAAAATGTACAGGGTGCATGTATAAAAAAATGGTAATGCAACTTAATTCAACCCGCTATTAATAATTCATGCATGAACTACTACCAATCGGAGTAAAATGCTGATAACCAGGCTGATAAAAGATGTTGGTGAGAATCGCATATTCAGTTCACTTCTGAGCGTAATTAAAGCATTACTAAAGGCCTTGTTACACGGTGCAATTTTTCTTGCAACTTGCAATGCATTTCGTCTTTTGAGAGATGTAAATTTGGCAACTACAGAATATTCGTTTCTTACACTTACACTTGGAACTCTTGACCAATTTATATCTCTTAAAAGTAGTATTGCATTGCAAGTTGCAAGAAAAATTGCACCGTGTAACATACATGGTCTTAACATTTTATTTTAGCCTCGTATTTACTCATTTTTATCTATTTGGTTATGAAATCATAACATTCAGTTGTTAAAAGCCTGATCTTTCCGAATGTGTAAAAAATTCGTTTATAGATTGAGTAGTTCACGTGCAATAGCGTGTTAAAGTTGGATTACGTTTTTTATACACCCGCCCTGCATGTAGAACCATGGACAATCCAGAAGACAGAATATCTTCTGGGTTGTCTATGGTAGAACACAGGCATAACAAAGTTTCCAATTCCATAGCAAACAAATAACGCTAGAGAGACAAACAAGATTTGTTCGTTGATTTTGGATAAATCTTAAGTCTTTTAAGGAGGAACTACAGGTGCTTCGTCGTACTGATGGTGAGCAAACGCATGCGCTCTTTGAATATTTTTATTAACAAATGACAAGCTTTTCTCGTGCCGTGAATGTTTGTGTGTGTTTGTTTGTTTGGAATTAAAATAGTATTCCCACTTTATAATTAAAGTCACATGCATGCCAGTTCAGGTTAATTCGCATTCATTTGGAAGTAATTTTTGGGGCTTTCCCGCATTTTAGCCTGAAAACTGTAAAAACACTCGTCGAAATATCACGAGCTTGGTCAAGATACTAAGGTTTTGTATTCATTCTTATTTGAAAACACTTTTGCCAGCAAGGACACAAAAGAAAATGAAGGGTGCTAGGTCCGGGCCGAATGTTGTCTTAATCATGCATTCGAGGTAATTTTGAGATCTTCAGAAACCCCTTTTTCCTCGAATATTTTTGTTTTGGTTACGTTTCGAAAACAACTAAGAATAAATGTAAATATGTGCGCAGGTACGTCTTGATAGCATGTTACCAAAAGTTTGCTCGTAACACCGACGTTTCTATGTCAATGTTTCGTCCCAATACGGACAGTAGCGTAGCCAGCCTGTCGATTTTTCCCGCTATGCTAATATTTTAGTGTTCACTGACAATGAAAACAATAGATTTCTAAAGACATGAATAATTATAATAACTCGAAATTTACATAGTGGGACAAAATCGTCAGGCTGGCTACGCCACTGAATACGGATAAAAAGGAAAATAGCTACAGCGGCGACGCTTTTTTTCCTACTGCGGACGTGGGTGTTTATTGTTTGTTAGGGATTACACTTCAATCAGTATTAATTCCCAAATAGATTTGCAATTAAAGTCACATGCATGTCAGACCAATAATACGCATTAATTTGCAAGTCAAAGTCAGTGTTTTTTTCCGCCGGCATTGTAGCCTGATCGTGCTTGGTCATGCATGCAGCTCAAGTTGTGGCAATTTTTTATTGAATATTTTTTAAAAGAATAAATGTTGTATGCTAGTATACAGAAAAACATGATTTTAAATCATGACAAGAGTATAATTAAAAAAGAGTGTGTCCTTCTTTCTAAATATATTTCACACAATCACATTAAGTTGCACACCACTACTGCGTGCTGTGGAACTTGTATACTGAGTGATCGTGATACATCTGTAAGTTCCCGCCATTTTTTTCTTGATTTGTTTCAATGTCAGCACCATTTGAACTCTGTTATTGTCATCGGTTGGCAGATATCTCGTATTCTTGGTGAGAATCTTTCCATGTGGATTCCTCCAGAAATATGACTGGCTTGCTGTGCAGTTCTTACTTAACTGTACGGTGCAAGTTAAATTGGCATTTTCTCCTTCTCTTACTGTCACAGCTGTTTTAGGGCTGGATACCTCTAAGGATTGACACACTGGGACTGAAATAAAATAAAGATTGATCTCAAAAGGCGTAAAGTACTGTGTCCATGGCGCAATTAAAACGAGACGATGAATAAAGCTAGGCCATTAAAAGCTGCCCAATGGGATGGCTTTCAGATTCTACATATAATAGGACCATTTACGGCAATCTAAATCTATATAGAGGTTTCAAATTTACCATATACTTCCTCACTCAGACTGATATGGTTAATTCATTTATAATTGTTATATCATACGCAAAAAAATCAATATTATTGTCTTACGATGCATAATAACAGTAATGTTCCATGATTGTCTGTCGTGTTTATTCGAGCCTTCGCAACGGTATACGCCTTCATCAAACTTACAACCGTTGGCAATTGTAAGAACTTGATTATTTTCAGCCAGTTTGTACCTCGCTCCAGCCGACAAAGGAATATTATTCTTGTACCATTTTACTTGAAATGGTTGTTTAGTTTGAAAACAACAATACAGAAATATTTCCTCATTGACGAAGAAATCTTCACTCGAACTTGAGCCGTATACGAGGACAGGCGCAGGCGATGCTGTAATAAAAATGAAAACAAAAAATGCTTGAATAGTTAGCCTAATTATAGTAATAATTATAAGAATATAAATTATTTTTAAAAAAAATTCGCTTATAGTAGTAATTCAACAGCTTACTCCTTGAAGAAGCTATTTAGGAAACTAATTTTTTCCTTGCTTTGAGGAGAAAGAATTGCATGTCTTTGTGGGTTAGTTGGTAAATTCCCAAGTTTGTTTTTCTTATACATGCACCGCACCCTGCTGTTATAAGATTTCGTTGTATATTATATTACATTACCCGGGAAGTCCGGGAGTAATATAATACATTTTCGCTATCAATGAAGACGAAAAATGGGCCTTTTTGGCCAATAAGTTATGGTTTTAGGAATTTTCGAAAGTCTTGTTCCACTCACCTGTTGAGTTATCATTAGTATCAAAGCACATCTGATCATCACAAAAAATCAAGGCTGAAAAGAGGACAACTATGAAAGGCAACAAAAGCAGGCTTATTTTTCCCATCTTTATATAGCGTTCCTTTGTGATAAAACTGTAAAATATTTTGTCGCTGGCTGATTCACAACAATTAGAGGACACCAATTCTGATGATCAACTGCAGGTTCCTCCTTTTATATCACTGGTAACAAATATGGAACTGAAAATTACGAGGAAGTCGATGAGATGTCACTAGTTAAAATTAGCCCAATTTTATATACTCATCATGAGGTCTCGCAGCTCCCACGCAGTTGTCAAGAATGTGCTAGACTCGGCTTTTTCAGTGCTTTCGGAAATATATTTCATGCATACTCAGCATGTATTCTTTAAACAAAACTGCCTGTGGTATTATCAGTTTCATATTTTACATTCAGTATATTTATACGAATGAATAACATTAAGTTCTATTATATTATCTATAAATTTAACACTGATAAAGTAAAATTGCTATCGTATATATATGTGAGTAGTTGATCCTATAATCATAAATGTCCGATTCGTTTTTAGTGATCACGGCGGAGGTAGTCAATGTGGATTTATGCAAGATATGCAAGACTAAGATTGTGCAGGAGACGCGGAGTTCTGCTTAGGTACGCTTTATTTCAGAGACGGAGCGGTTAGGTCAGGTGAGCACGCCCACGATGGGTGGGGTAACCTATGTCACGTGTCATGCAAATGTATTATATAGTAGTGACAACTACATTAACTCTAATAAAGCTGAATAGTGAACGAACATTTTTAGTGTACTTTGTCGTTTTACTTTGGATATATATATATCACATGCATGAATACCATTCAAACAACACGACTGCAATATGTACACAGCATTCAAACAACACGATAGCTACCCGGAGAAATAACGCGAGATATTGTCCTCGAGGAAATTTAGGCAGTTTTTTTCAGGACCAGGTACGGTTTCGAACTTAAGAAAGCGCTAGCATATACCGCAGTAGCCCAAGTATTTGTAGAAAAATAAAATCGAAAATCGTATTATTTCCGGTGTTACATTTTGGTGGGGAAATACCGCGGTTTTAAGAATATTCTTTTCCCTATGGAAATATGTCGCGTATGCTTATGTAACGTCTGCATGAGGAGTTATTGCTTTAGAGTGTTTACAAGAAAACACCTCGCAACACCAAGAATAAAGCATGGTCTTGTCTGATTTTTTACTATTTTTGGCTCGTGAAAGAATATTATACCGGATGCTATATTTGATATTGCCGAAGCGAATCGAATTTTGTAGGTAAATGAAAGACTGCGCATGTGATGATTTTTAAAGGCAGTAGCCAATATCTATACCAAATGTTACCAGTCTATATAGAACATTCTTTACGCGAAATGTAATGGGCGCACGTAAGATAGGAATGAATAGTTAATGATAGGAAATCATGCATGTTATAATGTCGCATGTCTTGAAAACAACTGTTTTCAAAAATAATCGTATGATCGGACATGAGATTGAGACGAGTATATTGATATGCTTTTTCTCTAATCTTTCGCCTTGTTCACGACAATTATGAGCCCGTTTTGAACTCAGTTTGACGACGACAACAATGGTCATTTTTAAGACTACACTATTAACCTGGACATTCGACTTCCACAAACACTTACATTATGGTATACAAAGCGACTAATATTTTAATTGCACTTCACTTAATCTGCCAAAAAAGGACTTCAGTGTGTGCGGGCGAGACAATTGAGACTTATATAGACGTGAATTAGCGTGAATATATAATATTGAAATAATATTTGAGTGCGGAACTTGAACCCAATTCATAAAGATATTGCTGACATATAAATATCACAAAATTTCCTCCATAATAGATGATAGACTGCAGGTAGTGGTAATTACCACTGTTTAAAAAGTATGCATGAAGTCTTGAAGACAATTCTTTAAATGTCGTCAATGGAATTTTTGGAAACGCGCCATACGTGGGTAAAATAAGGGTATTTCTCCCCACATTAACATAAACATTCTCCAAACATAAATGGCACGCCTTACCCTTTCTTCACACAAATACAAAACGCAGCATATATCAAAGATCTTAGACCTTCATGCCAATTCCTATTCAATTCCTGGTTATATTTGGAAATATCATGCTCAGCGGTTACTGTCGTATCCTGATAGATTTTGTGGCATAATTGCGAATTGAGGGTATTAGATTAAATAGGGTTAAATTAAACGAGGCATAGTTGAGAAAATGTGTCAACTATTGGTCCACCAGCAGGAATCGAATCTACGCCTTTGCTATGCCCCCACATTTCTCTTACCATGTCCGGTTACTGACAAGAGCGAGCGTGGTTAGACAGGTTAGTTCGCATTTTGGATGGTAATGCCCAAAAAAGGAAGCAATAGTTTGTCAACTGTGTGCATGTCAAAAACATTTATCCGCAAATCTGGAAACAATCTGAAAAACTCAGACTCTCCGCGTTCTCTCTGCGTCAATTCCGTAAGTTTCGCTTTTAGAGTGCACTGCAGTCTCACCCTCTCGAGTCTCGCCATAATACGTTTACGTAAGTGATCCTGCCCAATTTTGCCTAAATTAGTCACAATAATTAGTCACTGGCCCAAATTCGTTCCCAGTCGCTTGCTTGACTGTCAGCAAGCGAAAATTAAAATCAACACATTCAATATTCATGGCTGACCATGACGACTGGGATAACGAAGGAAATAAGGTATATTTTGTAGCATTTTGTTATATTTCAACGTTTTCCTATAGTTGTTCTGTTATACGAAGACTTGATTTGTACCAAAACGGTTTCTAAATCATAGTTCGCATGATTTGAGTCACCATGGCGTGCGAGTTGGCTCGTTGAATATGCCTTATACGTGTAGTGTGTGTTTAATATAGTTTTGAGACATTTGACGCTATTCACGATGTGATATTTATTTTTAGTTCTGTTTAATTTTAAAACATAAATCATGTGGACTGTTAATACTAGACAACAGGAACAGGCATATTTATTTCTTGCGTTTTCTAAATGATGAAACGGAGTTTAACTTTCGGAATTATTTTCAACTCTAGTAAATGTTGCAAATATTCATGTTGTGCACGCCATTGTTTACCTGTTGGCTGCTGCTTGGTAACAGTCGCTTTAGTGTCACATTTCGACTTTTGCTTTACATTATAAATACTGTAGAAGTTTACATAATTGCAAACAGTAGTGAAAACATTTTAGAACAAAAGCAAACACTATAATAAAATTGTTTGTTATTGCTGTAGTTAACCCATGTTCATTGTTAAAACTTTGAAATTGTTCTCAGTCAAGCTTCTGTGGAAATTCTCTCTTTAGATATTTATACATTTATAGTATAAATACCATTCTATTGTGAACGTTTCCCAGAAATGGTAGCCCTTCCCGTTAAACTAATGCTGCAGACTGCTTCTAAACAGTAAATAACCCTCAGAATGAGCTGTTCCTAAATAGTGAAGCCTACAAGGATTGTACACCACATTCAACTAACATTGGTTGTGCAGTATTTTTATTTGACAAAGCAACAGAAAATATAGAATCACTAAATATTTATAGGCAAAATGTGTCGTGAATCAGCCATATGATGAAACACTAGATGTCAACGAAGAAGAGGAGGTAGCAAGCACATTTACACCAAGTCCAAGGCCTGCTCTGAGTCGAGGAGGTGGTATGTAGGAAATATCAATTAGAAATTGTAGCAAAACTGAAATTATAAATGACATTTGTAATTAGACTCTTTCTAGATGATCTGAAATGGTAGGAAAGGACTAAGACTAGATGTAAAGGACTAAGACTCTAGACTAGTTTCATAAAAAATAAGAAAAATATATAATTGAGTAAATACTGCAAAGTGGATTTCTATTTCAACAACCCATCTGTGTGCTGATTGGCTAACATATGAGTGTAAGAGCGCCTAGTTGTTAGGGATTTTCCCTACCTTTGAAAAGTTTGAGGGATGCCTCCCTGTGTGGAATCTATATTTGTTTATATCACATTTATATGAAACTTAATTCATTCTTAGTAGTTCGAGGATCAATGACAGATCAGAGTGAAGACGAGTTTAATCATGATGAAGACTTGGTAGAAAGTAAGGTGAGTTTACAAGTATTATATATTATTGGTTGTCAAAATCTGGGTCAAATATAGCTCAGTAATTGTATACTACAAAATGGAGTCATATATCAGCCACATATACTGCTAGAATGAGATCATTGTACACTAGGTATTAAGATTAATTTTTTTAATTCAAACAATTTCCTTTGACAACCAAAATAAATCATCTTCACATTCTTATGGCATGATGAAATACAGCTTATACACACATACATGTGGGCATTGGCATATTTTTCTATGTTTTAGCCTGTTGGTGGTGGTGGTGCAGAGAAGCTTCAAAATAAAGGTGGTCAACTGAAAGGCAAAATACCAAGTGATGAAGAAGGAGATGATCAAAGTGATAGTTCTGATGATGAAGATGATGAAGATGGACAAAGAGGAACTTTGGAAGGGTAACTGATTAGTGCCAAATACTATATTTACTTGTTAACTTGTAGTACCCTTGAAATTATATGCAAATGCTATATTATATTACAACAAATCCACATTTATTTATATATAGACATTTATATATAAATGTATTTGCCGTTTTATTTTAGAGCATATGACCCTGCTGAGTATGAACATTTGCCTGTTGGACAAGATATAAAAGAACTATTCCAATATATAACAAGGTATAGAAACTTTGAAGCTAGTGTAACAGTTGCAAATATAATGTCAGGAAGTGTACATGTGGTGTGCATATCATTGCTTTTTATGATTATGTCTTATTTTTCTTGTGTAAATTCTGCTCATCATTTCTTTACCAAATCCCCACATATTCATTATGCGATGTTTTATTGTGTCGATCAATGTAGCATTTCTTACTAAAATTTAAAAGCCCACATGAAAACTACAGTTTTTTGAGGTATTCATTTTGTAAAACATGTGTCATTAAGTACTATGTGTCTAAATTTTTTCAGATATACACCACAGTCAATTGATTTAGAGTTCAAGCTAAAACCATTTATTCCAGACTTTATCCCAGCAGTTGGGGATATCGATGCCTTTTTGAAGGTAAATAGAGGAGTTTATACAGTAAATGAAGCAAGGAGAGCAAGCTAGACATGTTATTGCTTTTAAATAATTAACAGGTATTAAATTTGATTTTCACATGTACATGATATATAACCATAAAGAATAATCAAGTCAAAACTTTGTTAAATGAGTTCTGACCTCATTTTTTGGACATTATATGATTTTACGTACATTCTTGGTAATAATTTACAGTATGAAGGTTGCTCTTATTTTTCCTTCATACATATGATCCTGAGATTAAATATTGAATTTCCAAGGTTTCAAAACCAGATGGTAAACCAGAAGCACTAGGCCTTACAGTTTTGGATGAACCCTGTGCCAAGCAGTCAGATCCCACAGGTAAAATTAAAAAAATATATAAATGATCCTAAGTTATGTTTAGTGAATATTTTTAACACAAATGAATATCAGGATTCTGCTGTCAAATCTGACATATTTGTTTTTTAAATGCAGTTTTAGGATTGCAATTGATCACAGTTTCAAAGCAAACCAGCAAGAAATCCGTGGTAAGATATTGTTGTACAGTACATTCTACAGTTTTACCGAATGGATGTACATCTGTTAACCTGTATGCTTAAGGCTGTCAAATCGATTGATGATCCAGAGAAGAACCCTAAAGCTATTTCCAATTGGATAGAAAGTATAGGGTAAGGGATACGCATGTAGTGAATATAAAGTGTGTAAATTATTTATTAATTACAACACCTGACATGCAGACTTGTCACTTTAGGGAGCTTCATCGTCAGAAACCACCACCCACTGTACACTACCAACGGTAAGTTATTCTCCGGGTGTTTTTGTAATTTTTCATTTTGTTGTTGTACCTTCTTAATGTGCAATACGAAAGGATTTAGAAGAAAAATAATAAGAAAGCGACCACCTATGTTGAGTTGGGCTGGTATATAGCTCATATATGTACGGTACTGAGTTGTGAAAATATATGCAGTGAAAATTTGTGATCAACATTTAAATCACTTTTAGTCTTTTACATTGTTTTGTTAAAAAGTTATGGGTATATTATAAAACATTTAGCTACGGCATTCCCTCTAATCGTACGACTCTATAGCTCATGGTAAAATTGATAATTTTTGAAATATTCTTTCATTTCTTGTTTCTACGTCATACAGTTTACTCACGTGTGAATTGCGTCACTAATTTTCTTGTTGCACAGAAATATGCCAGATATTGACACTCTTATGCAAGAATGGCCGCCGGAATTTGAAGAACTTTTAAATCAGGTAGAATTGCTTAAAAATTGAAGTGAAATTGTACTTAAACATATATACGTTCATTGAACATTTCAGCACATTAATACCAATATACCAAATCTGTGGCCTGCTCTTTATAGAACTCATAATTATATTTTTGGAAGTCGTAAACATTTATAAACTGTAAAATAATCGATTCTGATTGGCCAATTCTGGCACCAACTATAGTTACGAGTTAATTCTATATTAGGTTGGACTGCCCACAGCTGAACTGGATGTTGATCTTCCTCAATATGTTGACCTCGTTTGCGGTAAGCGTTTTGTGTCACATACACTGTACATCGGCATATATGTGTGGATTTATTTGTATTTCTTAATTGTGTAGGGATGCTTGATATTCCAGTGCAAAAGAACCGAATACATTCTCTTCACGTTCTTTTCACCTTGTATTCAGAATTCAAAAACTCGCAGGTAGTTTTATGTTTAATATTTCTATTATTGTTAAACGTAAGTGTTTAAGAACATGTCAATCCTGCTTGTCAGCAAACTGTGAGAAGAATCTAAATCGTGTAAAATATAATAAAAATTTTTAGTATTTCTTGAATAAATTTACCTAAGTTTGCATAAATATCCAACTGCCATATCTGACTATATTGCATTCTCGGTGTCTTTTTTTCGCATATTCGTATTAACATGTTATTCTTTTGTGTATCTTTACCTATACAGCATTTCAACCAGTTAGCTAAAGACAATAATTTGGACAATGCTTTGAAGACGAACGGCGCGGAGGTCGAAAGTAATACAATGACTTTCGAGTAAGAATAGCACTGCTCGTGTATATAATGATAACACATTAATCCTTTAGTGCAGCTTATTTATGTTTCATGTACAAAATGTTTAAAAATTAGGTATTGTACATACTATATTTGGCATGAAAATTACATACCACACCTAAAACGAAAATGTTATTTGTTATGAAATATTGCAAAAACGTCGCTCTCTTGTTATCTTGCAAAACATTTATCACAAAACCGGTTAGCGATCTTATGGCGACTCTCCTGAAATCACAAATAATCTTATAAGCCACAGTGGTATACAATCTAACATGCAATATAGGTTATGCGTTAAAATACTTTATCAGTTACCGTTCACCAAAAAAAAACTATTGCGCGCGTGCATGGTCATGCATTTGCTACAGCCAGGGCGCTTATATATAAGCACCCTGATTTGCTAGCTCAACTAGCGCCCTGGTTCAGGCAGTTCCCTAATTTATTCCCCCGGAGCGATTAAACAAAGCATGCATGATATGACTTTGATGTATTGAATTAAAATACTATGTTTTGGGGGGCGTCAGTGAGTCGAATGAATTTATCTATTGTTTCTATATATGTATCTGCCTTAGAAAAACGACGTTCGGAACGTTCTGTTCTGGAGAAAAATTAATCATATCATATAAAATATAAGATTATCCAATCAGAAGCATTGTTCAGCTGTCAGTATGGATGTGCTTAGCCAATAGCATGCCTTTTTTCCACGCTGAAGAGCAAGTAAATTATTTATCTTGTGCTGATTCAAATTTGAGGCATCATTTGGGCGCCGGTTTCGTCTAAGGACAAGTCGCTCTACGCTCGATAATTTTCGTCTGAAATTGCTGTCAATATTCCCGTCCTTCTACATACCGGCAGAAAAGAAGTTCAGTATCGTTGCCAAGCAGTCGTTGATTTCAAAACAGGTAATATGCTTTTTGCTTTACGACGATCTGCTTGCTTTATCAAAGAATTTGGGCAAATGTTTGCCACATGCCTCAATTTCACCTCGTGTAAAGGTGTGTTCGCCTTGTGTTCGCTTTGAAGAATTTCTCTTATTAAATATTAACGTTGTTGTTTTTTTACTTATTTTACGCAGAATTCTGACGACATAAAGCCAAGCTGGGCGTTGAAATTCGTTATAACACTGGACTGTATAGTCTAATGGTCGATAGATAAATTGTGGCTCTATGAATTAGCTCAAGATAACTCGCTTAGAAAGGAGAGCACGACTAGTTTTTTCTCGGAACTTACTGCATGGTGAAATGAAAAAGGTCATATACTATAAATGTTTTGTGACTCTACAGACGTTTTTTAAAATGTCCGATTGGTCGAGCAGTTTGACCGCATTCTAGCCGTTAAGTTTCGAACAAATATCTTTGAGTTCTGAAGAGAGACCTAAAAGTTAGAGACTTACAGCCATGCATTGACTTTTTATCACACCTACGCAAGAAACAACAGAGATGACTTTCTGATACGGGTTTATTCTGTGTCGGCAGACGGCAGTATCGAAACTATGGTATCGGTATCGGCCCATTCGGACGGAAGAAAGTACTTGTTTTTACAGAGAAGGCGCGCATTTTCACGGAGAAGAGGTATCTTCGTGTCTCCAAGGATAAACGGTGTGTTTCTGTGTAGCAGTCGCATATTTCTACGAAAAAAAGGCACAATTGTGTGAAGAATTCTGAATTCTACGGAGCAGAAACACATTTTGACCGAGATGACGCGTGTTTCAAACAACTCTTGATCCATGTGGCCTACTGTATATTGTCGGCATGACTACACCTTTGCCAGGGTCATATGTTATATTATCACTTAACAAAGTCTCTTTCCTCCGCAGAGGCTTCAAATGCAAATGCGCTAAATTTTCAAAGATGAACGCTGCTGAAATTAGAAACGCAGGCGAGGGTTAGGGAGAGAGAAAATTGAGGCCATGCTGGAAAGCAAATCTGGCAGAGGCTTCCTCAATTTTCTCTCTCCCTAACCCTCGCCCGCGTTTCTAATTTTAGCAGCGGCGGTCATCTTTAAAAATCTAGTGTATTTGCATTCGAAGCCTCTCCGGAGGATGATCATTTTACACTTGGTATAATATCTCACGGGCAAAGCGGGATCATGTGACCCCGCCTGTAGCCGATGTCAAGCGAAATTTATGACCATTGCGAAAAACATGACCACAAGCCTCGAGCGAAAAACATGACGATTGCGATTTGCGAAATCTATTATTTCGGCGGCCGAGTGCGACTCAGTTGGTTTTTGCTAATTTTGATCAAAATTTTAGTAAGTTTCGGTAGTTAATCGAGAATAAGTGTAAAGCAAAGATTTACTAGGACAGATAAAACATTATGAACAGAATGTAATTTATGCGCGCATTTGCGCATGCCCAGAACTGCGACACTCATATATTTCGCATTTCGCAAGTCATAAATTTCGCGTGACACCGGGCTTACGTAAAAACACTTCGTAAAATCTCGGCAACACGTAAACAGACTCTAAGCCAGGCTATAGTTTCAGCTTAGCATGGCTTGCCAAAAGAATAACAACAACGCACCGTTGTTCTATCAGAGCGTTGAAGAACTTTCAGAGGCGATCGAAACGAAGATTACCGGCAATTTCCCGAGATGGATCAAAGGCACGCTGCTCCGAAATGGCCCTGGAAAATTTGAAATTGGAAGCAGTTCCTACCGTCATCTTTTTGACGGCTTAGCCATGTTACAGCAGTTTGTGATTGACAATGGAAATGTTACCTATTTCAATAAATTTCTACGCAGTCAGACATACAAGAAGAACATGAAAGCCGGAATGATCGTCGACTCGGAATTCGGAACTCTCGGTGTTCCTGATCCTTGCAAGAACATCTTTGCGCGATGGTTTACCTATTTCCTTCGTGGCGAAGAATCCAGCGACAACGCTTTAATCAATTTTTGTTGCATCAAAGGGAAGATTTATGCAATATCAGAATTCCCAGTCGTCACAGAAATCGATTCCAGTAATCTTGAATGTCTTGACAGAGTAAACCTATCTGATGCATTTGAAGGTAACCTTTACACATAACAATCGAATTCTGAACCATTAGATATTAGAATGTTTAGCTATTACAGTACAGTTGAGACATTTATTCGTTTTGTATATTTGACCAGCCGCTCTCAAAGTTGTTTTCGTATCAGCGTTGCCAGATTAATGAAAGGGCAAACTCTTTTGGAGGGCAAACTCTGTCACAATGCCTCAGCTTTTTTGGCCGGTCTTAGCCTTTTGCCTTTCTTTGGCCCGCATTAAACTTTTACAAATCTGGCAACCCTGTTTCGTAATAATCGATATGATATAGCAAGGAAATATAAGTAGCAATTATATTAGCCAAAGTGAGACGCCAGGCAGTTTTCCATTGCGTTCGCCTTGTCCGGGTGGCTTCAAAGCAAAGCGCTCTTTCGGCGGCCTTCGCCCGCAAGGCCAAAACTCAAAGGGGCAGCGTTGTTTTGGAGTTTATTTAGGCATAGCTATAGAGGGCCACACATTGATTCCACTGTGTTACATCAATCGTAAAATTTTTGTAATTTGAGTGTAGCTAATGCAACTATGCAGGCAAGTTCAAGGCTTATGATATTAGGCCTTTTGGATTTGAAAGTGTTATATCACTCAATCGTAAAATTTTTAATTTAAGTCTAATGGCGTAATGCAAGCAAGTTCAAAGCTTATGACATTTAAAAACCTTTCAGATGTAAGATTTTAAAGTGTTGCCGCACACTAATCACTCAATCGTAAAATTTTTGTAATTTGAGCCTCCTAATGGAAGCAAGTTCGAAGCTTATGTTATTAAGCGGATAAGCCAATACTGCTGAATGCTGACCTGTCTGATGTTCTACAAAAAATATTTTGCATGTAATTATATCTTCAGTGTAGGCTGTGTAGTTAAAGCATTTAATTTACCTTTCGGCCTTTCCGGCCAGTTGTTAAGGCTTGTTGATATCGTTTGGGAAACCCTTAAGTGAAAAGCCATAAGTTAATGCTGTGACGAAAGTCGCGTGCGTTTCATGGCAAGAAATTGCGGCAAGAATATGCATGTTTCCACAAATAACTTGCATATTTTTTGAAATATCTTTCAGTTACTGCATTTTAAATTATATTGCGCATTCTTGAATTCAGCAAAATTTGAGTAAATGATTTGCCTTGGTTGTTTATTTTGATTAAATTAAGCATATATATCGAAGTTCCTGCATGGGCCCTGGGGTAATGTTTTCCTGCATTTTTAGTTGTATTTTTTTATGGTATTCAACCTGATAAATATCCGTAAAACTTTGGCTTGGAAATGGAGGAAGAATACTGATCTGACTAGTTCTGCAACTAGCAATCGGGGCAAATTATAACCGACCAACCAGTCTTTTCGCTTGAATAAGAACTTGATTTTCAGTTTTTTACCTTTTATCATTAATTAAGAAAAAAATTTCTCATTGATCAATATTAACCGATTCATTAATGTTACACTAGATGTCGTAGATGAGTGTGAGTGAGCCCTTTTTGAATATGATAGGCGTGAGTTTTTTACTCAGTATGTATCATATCACTGTCTTTACTTCACAGGTACGATTAAACGATATATCAATGCGACCGCTCACCCACAGGAAGATGCTGACGGTTCTGTCTATAACCTGGGACTTGGGTATGACAAAGAGAAAGGCCTCGTATACGTGATAACAGTTTTACCAGCAAATACTGAAGATACGAAGAGCGAGCAATCCCCTAGCGAAGGAAGAATAGTCACAAGAATACCAGCATCACTCAAGTACTCGTACAGCCACAGTTTTGGTATGACTCAGAAATACTTCATCGTCATTCAACAACCTTTGACTGTGAATGTGTTAAAGATTGCAGTCTCGCGTTTCGTCGGATGGAACATTCTCGATACTTTTTCGTGGAATACAGATGTTAGAGTGAAGTTTTTTGTAATATCTCGCGAGAGTGGCGAAGTCGTTCTTACCATCGAATCGGAGCCTTTTTTCTTCTTTCATGTCGTAAATGCGTATGATGATGGTAACGAGATTGCCCTTGATATTTGCTGTTACACAGATGCTAATTTATTTGATCAATTGTATCTGCACGAAATTCGAAAAAAAACTGTTTCCTCAGGGAAAGGTTCCCCCTTGGCTCAATTACGGAGATATCGCTTGCCCACAGATTTAGAAGCATCGGAAGCTACACTACAGAAACAACCGTCGGGATTGGATTACGAGATCTTGTCTGACATCTGCCTTGATTTACCACGCATTAACGAGAAGTACGCGAGAGTACGTCATCGCTATGTATACGGTGCGTGTGGTTCAGACGACAGCGTAGATGATGTGTCGATATACAAGCTTGTTAAAGTTGATGTTGAAACCAAAGAAAGTCTGATTTGGAGTGAAGACCAATGTATGGTATCAGAACCCGTGTTTATTCCAGCCCCAGATAGTCAAGAAGAAGATGATGGTGTGGTGATGTCTTCTGTTTACGATCCTGTCAAAGATAACTCATTTTTGTTAGTTCTTGATGCCCGTTCGTTTACAGAGCTCGCTAGAGCAGTGGTACCATTACGATTTGCACCTTCCATTCACGGACGTTTCTTTTCATGAACCGATCGTTTCTTTTCATAAACCGAGGACAAAATCTGTGTGAAGTTGTGTCTACAAATGAATACTGGTTTTAATAAGGAATCAAGTGCCTTCCTGAATTTTTTCTTTAATTACTAGTTTATCTTAGCTGCATGTAGGTTCCTCAAGTGAAAAGATTCATGCAGTAACGGTGGTCCCAATTGTTACAAAAATTGATCCCAATAGTCTTGAATGCCTTAGTGAGCAAACCACTTGCTTTCCAAGATAATTCCACGATAACCACAATTTCTATTGTTCCACTTAGTTGTATTAAATAACTGATATATAATTTACATAATGATTAGAAATTGGCCAATTCAAATCTAAGAATTAGAAAATTAAACGAGACTTACCTGGAAGTTGAAGTTTGATTGAAATTCTACGAGTCATTGGTCAGGAGCGAAGAAGTCACGTGAGAGATAGCGATATTATCAGGTAGAACTAATATGACCTTGCATGACGCCAGCACAGGTAGCTAGTATTCGTATAATTCACGATCGAGAATTTTTAGCTGGAAACTAAGCAAAATCACAACAAAATAAGTGCAAAAACACACAAACATTTAATTCACTAAAATTCGAATAAAATTACGCAATCATAGGCTCACAAAGTAATATAGCATGGTAGTGAGGTTAATTAGTGATTAAAATTTACCTGCAAACCTCGGAAGATTTAGTAGACTAATAATTGTAAGAAAAAAATTAATGATGCGCGGCCAGGATTAAATATAATGGATAACAAAAAAGCTCTCTGACCAAAAATATTCTTATTACGAGATTTTGGCTGTCAGAATGCAAAGTGTATATCAAATTATCAATTAATTAATATCTGTGAAATATATATAAGATATTACACGGTGGAGTCTTTTAAGTGTTTCATTTGTATTTTCAACGTTCGTTTTATACACGAACCAAAGACAGCAAAGACCATTTGTATTTTCACAACAAATACAATGAAAATAGCGGGAAGATTTTGAAACTCGTTATGTCACCCCCAAACGTAACATACGGAAAATATCCGCACTGTATCTCGGATGTAGTGGCATATGAGTTCTACGAGTATTTTAATTTTCAGTAAAGTACCCCCATCCATATAATAAGATATGTTATATGAGTGTGAAGTTGTTAATTCGTGTAAAAGTAATAACTATGATTCAGGTAACGACTTGAAATTGTTATCTGCGTCTTTAGTGTTCGCTGAGTCCCACGATCCTAGCTAATGTTTTTCTTTTTCTGTAATTTAATTGGATTACAGGGTGGTGATGCATGGCGGTTCTTAGTTAGTGGAGTGATTTGTCTGGTTAATTCAGTTATCAACGAACCAGACTTTGACCTGCTAAATAGACAGACGATTCGCGAATCGCTCTCGACTTTTCAGAGGGACTTGGAAAAAGGAAAAAAGAAAATCAGATGCCCTAATTATTTTTTAAGCTATTTATTTAAAAAAATGGACGGAGATTGCAAAACAAGAAATATGTTTGCGTCGTTCAAAGTGATATATTGCTCATATACAGCCAATACAGGGTGTCCAAAAAAAAAAGCAACCACTTAAATATGCAGAACATTAATACAGCTCTAAAGCGCAATAGATAAGCACCTCTGGGAATTGAAAATGGCTCTTCATCCTTCATTTACAATGCTAAAAGTCATTTTAGCTGAACTATGGTGCAAACCCGAACAATATTAATATTCTTGCATATTTAAGTGGTTGCGTTTTTTTTGGGACACCCTGTATATATAATACAATAACAATAGAAAAAAACAAACAATGGAAAAAGTAAATGTTCTTCAATGGCATCGCTTAATGTTTTCAAAAGAGATTGCCTAAAAAGTTTGATCAAAGTCAAATGTTAGTTATTTTTTGCCTGGAATTTTACGTGGCACCCGTAAGTCACGACTCACGCCTGGGATTAGATTGCAACATACATATAAATCAGGCTACAAAGCAGTGGTGATTGATGATTGATCATAGGATTAAATTAAATATAGGATTTCACGCGAGTCGATTCAGCCTGTATACATTGGCTACGGTCGTGTCAGTTTAGCATGGCTTGTCAAGAGAATAAAAACATCCAGGCGTTGTACTATCAGAGCGTCGAAGAACTTTCTGAACCGATCGAAACGAAGATTACAGGCAATATCCCGACATGGATCAAAGGCACGCTACTTCGAAATGGTCCTGGAAAATTTGAGATTGGAAGCAGCTCTTACCGTCATATTTTCGACGGCTTAGCTTTGTTACAACAGTTTGTGATTGACAATGGAAATGTTACTTATTTCAATAGATTTCTACGCAGTCAAACATACAAGAAGAACATGAAAGCCGGAATGATCGTCGAGTCGGAATTCGGAACGCTCGGTGTTCCTGATCCTTGCAAGAACATCTTTGCGCGATGGTTTTCCTATTTCTTTCCTGGTGGAGATTTCAGCGACAACGCCTCCGTTAATTTTTACTGTATCAAAGGAAAGGTTTATGCAACAACAGAAAGCCCGGTCATCACAGAAATTGATCCCAGTAATCTTGAATGTCTTGACAGAGTAAATCTATCTGATGTTTTTCAGGGTAATTAACATATACTTCATATGCATGCAACGCTGCTAACGCATAGTTCCACTGTGCCACGACCTAAACAACAAATACAGGGTGGCCCAAACTGTTGAAATCACCCTATTCTTGGGATTTGAATGGTTGTGTACTCGTCGTACGTCTTGCTCTTAGGAATTTACGATGCTAAATTCTAAACTAAGCAAATAAAACTTGATTGCATTTTGAATTTGCACTCGTGAACTCGAGCGAACTCGTCGGTTCGTATTTCAAAACATGATGCTATGTGATATATGAACGGCTTATTCCAAGAAAGTAAGCAATCTTATTATCTTAATATATACTATTTAGTATGTGGATTAGTACAAAAAGAGTAATTGTCGATATGCGTAAATTCTCGACTCGTTCGAATTCCTTATCGAATATCACAGGCTAACAAAGGCCAATTCGACAGACGTTCATATGTAAAACAAGGCTTGAGAAACAGAGAACTTAAGAAAAGATTCAATCAGTCCTCGTTCTGGTTGGTATATGGTTGTACCTCAACATTGTACAGTCATGAATTTCTGAAACAGTTTGATAAATGATTATTTCACAGAATTTTAATGTGTATAGTATAGGATATTAGAGAAAGGAAGGCTGGTTTCAATCAGGAAGCATTGCAAATGGCTTATTAGCCATATTGTATAGTTCTGTCGAAATTAATCCTATAATGCAATAAATGCATGCCTCCCCGATTTATAGCTAGGGCTTGTACCCGAGTTCTGAACAAACAACTTGGCTCTTGGTAGGGTTGTGTGGTTTGGAGAATTTGCTTGGTCTGAGTCCGGGCGGTCTATATATAGTATTTAAAACACGACCCCTTTCCTTGCAAACATTCTCTAGTATGCGCAGCTATAGAGCCGGTGCCCTTTAACGAAAATCTGCTCCCCTTTGCCTCCACTTTTTTCTTTTAATTTGGATGACGGTAGGATCTATTGTTTCCACATACTATAAGCAAGTTATTCTGAGTAAAAAAGAGTTGTATTAATGCGAATTCACCATAGTTATAAGTTACGAACACCATGCAGGTACACCCAATGATGAAAAATGGCAAAATTTCATGATCACGATAACTAACTATTCAAAGTTCTAACACTGTAATGATGAAATTTCTTTTATTTAACTCTAAAATGAAGAGTATAGATGTGGAGGCATAGTGTTCTATAGTTGATCTCATCAGCGAGTTCACAGGACAATGATGAGTGGAGCACACAATGCACACGTCATCTTTTCGTTAATTTAGACCCGATTTTCTGGTTAATTATACGCCACTTTTAGTGCGGAAACGGCACTTACGTGTGCATTGGGGATAGATATATGTAGGTTTTTTTACCGAGGACTTAAATTACATTCTTCTGTCAGCGTCTCTTTAATCATACATTTTCTTTCTATACAGGTGCGATTAAAAAATATTTGCTCGCGACTGCTCATCCGTATGAAGATGATGACGGTTCTGTCTATAACCTGGGACTTGGTTATGACAAGGAGAAAGGCCTCGCGCACCTGATTACATTATTACCAGCAAGTACTGAAGATACGAGGAGCGAGCAAGCCCCGAGCGAAGGAAAAATAGTCGCGAAAATACCAGCATCATTCCAGTACTCGTACAGCCACAGTTTTGGTATGACTCAGAAATATTTTATCGTCATTCAACAACCTATGACTGTGAATGTGTGGAAACTTGCAGTCTCACGTTTCGTCGGTTGGAACATCATCGATGCCTTTTCGTGGAATGATCAGATGGGAGTAGAATTCGTGGTAATATCTCGTGAGAGTGGCGAAGTTGTTCTCACCATAAAGTCGGAGCCGTTTTTCTTCCTTCATACCGTAAATGCGTATGATGATGGTAACGAGATTGTTTTTGATGTTTGCTGTTACTCCGATGCTGATTTCTTTCATGAATTGTATCTAGAAGAAATTCGAGAAATTGTCTCATCCAAAAAGGCTTCTTCCATGGCTCAATTACGAAGATATCGCTTGCCCACTGATTTAGAAGCATCAGAAGCTACACTACAGAAAAAGCCATCAGGATTAGATTACGAGGTCTTATCTGACATTTGTCTTGAATTACCACGTATTAACGAAAAGTACACCAGATTAAGACATCGCTATGTATACGGTGCATGCACTGGAGACGACTACATAGAGCATTTAATGATACACAACCTTGTTAAAGTTGATGTTGAAACCAAAGAAAGTCTGATTTGGAGTGAAGACCAATGTCTGGTATCAGAACCCGTGTTTATTCCAGCCCCAGATGGTCAAGAAGAAGATGATGGTGTGGTGATGTCTTCTGTTTATGATCCTGTCAAAGATAACTCATTCTTGTTAGTTCTTGATGCCCGTTCGTTTACGGAGCTCGCCAGAGCAGTGGTACCGTTACGATTTGCACCTTCCTTTCACGGACGATTTTTTTAAAAAACGGTTCACTTAATTTTACGTTAAAAGTATCATTAATCACCCCATTAAATTTGAAAAGTTTGCCTCCTATACATAAAGAATGTTAGTTAAGAAAGGATGGTTTTTGTTCTGTTGTTTTTCTATTCAACATAAAATAATTCAGTTCAATTCAAATATATTTGCCGCATGAATATAATGTTACAGTACATGCACATGAGCAATAATATAAATTTATAGAATGAATAATTAAACAATAAAACAATGAATAACACAATAAATAAATTAGTTGACAATACGTCTATGTACTTAACACACACTACATTACAAGTTATAAAAAAGTGGCGAGGAGGCATCCAGAAACCGAAAGGCTTGTACGAGAGATGCCTCCCTCCAATAGATTACAAAGTGGTCAGCACTAAAATAATTTTTTGTATTTGTAACTTAAGTAATTTTAACGGAGATTATGGACTCATTAAGACGCGGATGATATCAATATTTTTTGTAGAATTAAGACTGCAGTAGATGTTTTAACATTCTGCTCCTGAAGCAATTGTAAAACTTTATATTTTTGATATCTTCAGGAAGAGAATTCCAACTGATTTTTGGACCTTGATACAGGACAGTAAACTGCCTGACATTAGTTTTACACGCATGGGAACGATATGAATTTGCATTTCTCATGCATATGAAGTGTTGTAATTACGTATTTGGTGAGAAGATACAAGGAAGCAGATGATTGTGAAACAAAAACATGAATTTTGCGGTATGGAAAGAATTTAAATTATAAATATCGAGAAATTTTAGTTCACTGAATAAAGGCGCTGAATAGATGACTTATGAGTTCTCCATGTAAGGTTTTCGCCTATATATACACCAAGGAACGTTACGGTATTCTTTCAGTGTATTACTGGGTTCCCATCAAATAGTAGTGGTCCATCAAAATGAAACTTTTTTTTCGACAGTATCAAACGATTTGATCGACAGTATCAAACGCTTTAGACAAATCTAGAAAAACACCGGCAGGGACTTTGTTCTGGTCCATATATGGACGAGGTAATTTTATTGACGAGGTGGATGAGTGCTAGATATCTGTTGAATGACTTTTGCGAAAACCAAATTGATAACAATATAAAATTTCGAATCGCTGAGCAAATTCAGATAAGCGGTTAAGCATTACTCTCAAAAATTTTTGAAACATTTTATAGGAGAGATATATAGGTCTATAATTTTCAAAAAATTCTGGTTTTAATTTCTCAGGTAACCCCATTTTAAGAGATAAATTTATAATTTTTATTACTGGTGCACTGATAAATTCAAATGAATTTTTAAGGCGATGCATATAGGAATATCACAGCCAGGTGCTTTTCTGGTGCTAAATGAGCTACAAACTTCCTTTAATTCTGTGACTGAAGTTGAACTAAGAAATGTAGTTTGGTCATTTGCAGTACCAAGGAAACTATGAAAAGCAGCGTTAGTTGATTGAAAAGGTCGATTAAGTTTGATTAGGAATGAATCGTTTCGATTAAATTTGTCAAACGACTAAGACTATATGTAGTTATCTGAAGAGTGGATCCGGCTCTACAGCTATCTCTGACGTACAAATAATTCGGCTGATATAGACAATTGCTATACCCCTCTCTAACTGACAACTACCGTACGTGCGTTTTTTATTACTTGTAATTGGAACTGACATCCTGTTCATACTATCGTCAATCAAATCGTGAAATTATCTTTCAGTTCGACATGATTTATTATTATTTAGTGATTTACATTGGTATTTTGAACATCCCTAATTGTGCGCTCACGCATGTTAATATTGTCCACAATTCATCTTAATCTCTATATTTGTAAGTTGCTCGAATGTTTTATCGTGTGTGATAATTTCGTGATAAAATATACAAACCATATATCTAAGCAACGTTATAAGATCTGTCATCGTAGAATCGTTGTAAATAAAAAACTCGCTTTCACCGAGGCTTTGTTATGCAAGGACACACGAGAAATTTCAGCAATGCGAATAATTGGCAAAAAAAAAACTGGTATAAATATTCATTTTCTTTAGTGTGCTACATTGCTAAATTTGTTTTAACTTTTACGAAACGGATGGCAGACATGCAGGCAGCGCGATTTTGTAGTTCTTGAGGTCTATATCGGCGATAGATTTAGCTACTGCAATCCTCACATATACATATGGGTTGAAATAAGTGTATAAGATCATGCGACAACAATGATGAAGGACAAGGGATCTATCTACTAACCTTCAGCAGTTTCCTAGGCAACTTTCCCTTATCCCACATCAGTATGAAGAGACTACATCGTAATTGCAAGGGGTTTCATAAGAGCCCCGAGGGTAGGAAAAAATTAAAGTTAAATTGGTAATTTTTGCACCACTCTTCCCCTGTATTCTTTGTTAAAATTAACACCCATCCCACTAAACATTTGAAAACAATTTTGTTAACCCATCATGCCCTGAGAAAATAAAGAGCTGATTTTTCGAAAATTTTCAATTAGAAAAATATTGTCCTGGTTGGTTTTCAAAGTTGTTTTAATTGTTGCTCGTGAAAACCGCACAAATACAAATGCCTCACTAAAATGTTGTATCGCTGAAGACCCGATATGGAAAATTCTTTATTGTACTTTTTTTAAACTGGCGCGAGTTAAATCGGATTTAGATCGTCGTGTTGACAAATAGGAAATTATTTTCCTCAGCTTTGTGAGCATTTTTTCGCCAAATTAGGATAAATTGGTGTAAAAGGAAAACTTTTTAAATCAAACTGTAAATTGAGATGTTTGCTCATCCGTCTGTGCCAATTTTTTGACTGTTTATTGCTTCTAAACAGATTTCTCGAGGGGCTCCAGTCACGAGGGTGTAGATAAAAGGCGGGCGCCGACTGGCGGACGTGGACTGGCGGACGCGGACTGGCGGACGCTCACTGGCGGACGCTGACTGGCGGACCGAAAACGGTTATATTATATTATTATATACACAAGCGCCAGATATGAGGTATGCTGCAAATTCATTGGTTGACTGCTAGACAGATATTAGCTCATATCTGTCTAGTAGAGAAAGTAAACAAAATGGCTGAAAGATTTGGGGAGTTGAGTGAAATAGAAATCCAAGCTTTAGTTGGTAATAGCACACCAAAATGCATCGAAAGGGCGACAAAGTTTGTGTATATAATCAGCTCATATAAGTTCGCAGAATAACTGTTAAATATTATTAATTATAGTGTTATTAACTAGCATTAGCTTTAATGGTTTTTAAACTTATGTTCAACTCAAATTTTTAAATTTTTTGAACCAATTTCCTCTTGATTGTCTCTTCAATTCTGACCGCGCGGTTAAGTGATTTCGCTACGAAACAAAATCAGGCAAATAAATTTGTTAGATCGAAAATTTCTGCCATTTTAAAGGCGTCCTAACTGGAATTTGACCGGTCTGATCTATTATTTAATGCTTATCCAGTTTTACATAATTTTAGAAAGGCATAAAAACCTTTTACAAACGTTAGTATACACGCGCCGACGCACATGTAATAAGCCACAGAGAACACAAAACATGCAAAGAGCGATAGTTACATCACGTTTGTTCACCGTTTTCCAATTCCGGCGATATTCATCCTTGCTTTCTGAGCCTGAAACAACTTCAGAATACAAACGTTTCGCCATTTAAAGATTTTATCAAAGTTATAAAACTAAATTCTCGACAAGACGTTAGGAGCTCTACTTGTTGTAAAAGTAATATAGGAAAATGTGTTGTGTGTAATATGAACCATCTATATGCATCGTTTTTTCAACAAAAACGGATGCTAACTAAGCGACAGACGTGGGATATTAGTCATATTACAAAAGAAACTCGTTAACTGGCGTTCGGGTGAGAAGAGCTGCTTTGTCGCCTTTGTGAATTTAATTTCCTTGATGCGTACAGCGCCCCATCAAAATATACTGTAAACCGGTATAGTGTTTCGTCTGAAGCGGTCAAGATTTAAAGGTCAATTTTTCTTAATTGTAACTATTAAACATCCCTCAATGAATTAACAAAATTTGTTTTACATGACTTTACATGTTATCGTAAGATTAGCGTAAAATTTTGGCGCACTCAAAGACCCCGTGGGATATTTCTCGATCAAATTGGGACCTTGGGATTTAGTGATTGTGTCTTATGCGAATAAACCTTATTATGATGGAACCCGGGAGTTAAAGGAAACTCCCGGGAATGCTTAAAGAAAAGACAGAAGTTTGCATTATTTGCTGAGGCGAATAATAATGATGGCATTAGTAATGCATAATAAAATTATATAACCGTTTTCGGTCCGCCGTTTCCAGCCGTTTTCGGTCCGCGTCCACCAGTCCGCGTCCGCCAGTCCGCGTCCGCCAGTCCGCACCCGCCTTTTATCTACACCCCAATCACAAGCCCTGAATTGATTGATCATAAGTTAAAAATTTGTTCCATACATTTCACTCGAGTCGATTTAACCTAAATCCATCGGCTACGGTATTGTCAGTTTAGCATGGCTTGCCAAGAGAATTACAACATCCGGGCGTTGTACTGTCAGAGCGTTGAAGAACTTTCTGAACCGATCGAAACGAAGATTACAGGCAATATTCCGAAATGGATCAAAGGCACACTACTTCGAAATGGTCCTGGAAAATTTGAGATTGGAAGCAGCTCTTATCGTCATATTTTCGACGGCTTAGCTTTGTTACAACAGTTTGTGATTGACAATGGAAATGTTACCTATTTCAATAAATTTCTACGCAGTCAAACATACAAGAAGAACATGAAATGCGGAACAATCGTCGAGTCAGAATTCGGAACTCTCGGTGTTCCTGATCCTTGCAAGAACATCTTTGCCCGATGGTTTTCCTATTTCTTTCGTGGAGGAGAATCCAGCGACAACGCCACCGTTAATTTTTCCTGTATCAAAGGAAAGATTTATGCAACAACAGAAGGCCCGGTTATCACAGAAATTGATCCCAGTAATCTTGAATGTCTTGACAGAGTAAATCTATCTGATGCTTTTCAAGGTAAACAACATAAATACACGCCATATTCTCGGAATCTAAACAATAATTACTGGGTATCATCCCATTGTTGGGCTTTGAATGTCCGCGTACCTTTTGCTCCTGGCACGCCTTTTTCATTATAGAAATTTACGGATGCTTCTTAAATTCAAAAGTCAACAAAATTTGTGCATTTTGAAATCCATAGGCGTTCAAAGCTATTTGTATTTCCAGAAGTGATGCCATGCATGCAGCTATATATATGAACAGCAATATTCCGGATAATATAAGCAATCTTAATATTTAGAATCTCCACTCGTACATTAACTCAAGATGAAATTTTATTCACATAATGAATTCGAATTTCGTATCGGACATCGCAGGCTAACAAAGGTCAATTCAACAGGGGCTGGTTGTATAAAACTCTTAACTACATTTTAAGTAGTGTAGTTAACAAGAAAATACACGATTCTGATAGGCCAATTCTGCCCCTAACTATAGTTATATACCAGATTATAGCACATTTATTGAGCATAAACCTACCTAGAACGAACTGGCTTGCAATGTATGGCGGTTTTCACTGTATATAATTTTATACAAACAAAGAGCTAAGCTATATTATTACATAAATGTATAATAACATAGCGTTATTTACTTTTAGCCTAAATCGCGTGGCCTTTGCATTTGCCACTGTGCAAAACCAGCGCTGCGGTTAGCAGAAATTTTCATTTCTGAATTCAAAGGGTCATTGTCGATTTCACGCTCATCGGCCATCTTTGCATGTTCTCGACACTTCAATAGGAAAATAAAAAAGCAGACATTCCTGAGTACAGTGAAGTTGTTTGACATATGACTGACGTCAGGAGGTGGTTGTATAAAACAGTTGTACTTAACTCGAGCAAAGCGGAAAAGTCGATTAGCTCTCTGGATTGAGCTCTCTGGCTCTACTACGCTTTGCGCATGTCTATGTGTAAGCCGCATTATTAGCCAGACTCGGTGAGACTGTAACCGAACGGACAGGTGTCAGATAATATACACAGGTGTGTGAAGAAAGAAGTGAGTCGAAGTCAGATACTATAGGAGTGTAGATCACTAACATATTGTTGAGATAATAAAAGTAAAGAATTGAAGTCAAATCGTGAGTAATACTGGTGTGTGCAACGATATTTAAAGAACCTGTGGCCGCAAGGCTAACATATGCACGTTGATGAATCCATATCTTTCATCTTTTCTATATATCGCATTTCACGCAGCATTTTACTCAGGCATTTTGAATGGTTTTTCACACGAAAAAAGCAAATCAATTGTTTTGTTGATGAATTACATACAAGCACAAGAACAAAATATATCATTGTTATCATTTTATATTAAGTCCGTAGTGGCACAAAATATCATTGATTCACCTATCGTGGGAAACATGTTGAGGTACAAAGCATCATAATCCCACAGTAAAAAAATCTGTCATCTCTCCATATTTTTTTTGCTTTTCCTCTCCGACTTGCCAGGTTTGAATCCCTGTGAGGAATAATTTCTTATGTATTGTAACTCTGAAACAGTCCTAAAATGAAGAAAAAGTTGAAAATGAAGAGTGTGGATTTACTGGCCTCGTGTTCTATAGTTCATCTACAAAAGACAATGACGAGTTAGCACGCTATGCATTCTCGTTTTTAAGCCAGATATCTGGCTTACGTCACTTGCGAAAAACGCTGCTCAGTAAGAATGGAGTAGATGCATGGGTTTCCTTACCGAGGACCTAAATTGCATTCTTCTGTTAGCGTCTCTTTAATCATACATTTTCTTTCTAAACAGGGGCGATTAAAAAATATGTGCTCGCGACTGCTCATCCGTATGAAGATGATGACGGTTCTGTCTATAACCTGGGAGTTGGTTATGACAAAGAGAAAGGCCTCGCGCACCTGATTACATTATTACCAGCAAGTACTGAAGATACGAAGAGCGAGCAATCCCCGAAGGAAGGAAAAATAGTCGCGAAAATACCAGCATCATTTCAGTACTCGTACAGCCACAGTTTTGGTATGACTCAGAAATACTTCATCGTCATTCAACAACCTATGACTGTGAATGTGTGGAAGATTGCAGTCTCACGTTTTGTCGGTTGGAACATCGCCGATGCTTTTTCGTGGAATGATCAGATGGGAGTAGAATTCGTGGTAATATCTCGTGAGAGTGGCGAAGTTGTCCTCACCATAAAGTCGGAGCCGTTTTTCTTCTTCCATACCGTAAATGCGTATGATGATGGTAACGAGATTGTTTTTGATGTTTGTTGTTACTCCGATGCTGATTTCTTTCATACTTTTTATCTGCAAGAAGTTCGAGAAAGTGTCTCCTCAAAAAAGGGTTCCATGGCTCAGTTACGGAGATATCGCTTGCCCATTGATTTAGAAGCATCGGAGGCTACACTGCAGAAAAAGCCATCAGGATTAGATTACGAGGTCTTATCTGACATTTGTCTTGAGTTACCACGCATTAACGAAAAGTACACCAGATTATGTCATCGCTATGTATACGGTGCATGCACTGGAGACGACTACACGGATAATATAATAATACACAAGCTTGTTAAAGTTGATGTTGAAACCAAAGAAAGTCGGGTTTGGAGTGAAGACCAATGTCTGGTATCAGAGCCCGTGTTTATTCCAGCCCCAGATGGTCAAGAAGAAGATGATGGTGTGGTGATGTCTTCCGTTTATGATCCTGTCAAAGATAATTCATTCTTGTTAGTTCTTGATGCCCGTTCGTTTACGGAGCTCGCCAGAGCAGTGGTACCGTTACGATTTGCACCTTCCTTTCACGGACGATATTTTTCGTGAACAGTTGACTTGTACGTTACGGGTATTACCAATAGTAAAGGCAATACCTCTAAGATTTAAAAAGATAGCTTCCTATATAAAGGATTGTAGTTAGAAAAGACTGTTTTTGTTCTTTGTTTTTCTATTCAGCATAAAATAATAGTATACTGCAGGCATGCATAAGTTGAATTTAAAGCCTGTTTACGTGGAGCTTGTTATGCCGGCTAGGCGAGGTATAAAGCACATCACATAATCGATCTTTGTCCGGTGTGGAATAATTATAATTTGGTGGGTAATCATGCAGGTGTTGACGAAGAAAAATGACATAATTTTTGTAAATTAAATGAATTTTCTGAATAATTCTTGAAACCCTGTTGATCATAATAATGGTAATGCAGTATATCACTGCATGATCATGCAACAGGGCCGTAGCGCTAGACTGCTTAATTATAGGAGGGGGTGTGTGTGTGTAGGTTTCATTGATCTGAGATCAGTGGTATGTTTACATATCATAGGAACAGTAGCGTACAAAAGAAATCGATCGGAAGAAGGGCCATTGGCTCTCCTCCAATTGGCTACGGCCCTGATTGATCAATACCACCACAGTGACAAAACTAATATACTATAACACCGCGGAAAACGTCTGTGCGTGCATGCGTCAAACATGCGTAAATATTGTTTTAAGATTAATATTGAATAAAAGTGTAATTTCATAAAATAATCAGTATATTAGAACTCAGATTAGAGCTGTGAACAATTAGAAATAAATTCAGATGATAAATATCGATATATAGAAATACCAGTATTGGGTAATCAAGGAAATATCAAGGAAATTAAACTTTGTTTCAAGGAAATTTAAGGATATTACTAGAAATACATGCACGCGCCATGCAACAACCCCTCGGCTCGCCATTTCAAACGAAGCAAAATATTTCTTGAGCTAGCCAGACCTAACCATCAATATTTTGAAATCACCCATTTTCCTGCTGCATTACGTTGCATGAAGTTATAAACTTCACAGTTTAAGTGAGAGTTAATACTTCACTATGGCTAAACCTTCAAAACAGCACAAATAATATGAATAACCAAGCAGTAACGTCGAATGTTGTTTTTCGATTTTTGACATAGGCCGCCCAATGGCACATGTTTTTATTTTTTATTTGAAATAAAAATGCACACTTTGATGAAAAAGACTCATTAAGTCATTATGTCGTTTATTTACATGCTGATCTATTTGTCTTTCGTAATCTCATTGGCTGTCACTACAGCGAGAACAAAAACCAGCTAATGAGAATACGTGTGATTACATCTCGCTCGTTTCAGGATCGCTCGCTGCGGCAGCAACAGGAGACGAATAAAATATTCTTTAATTACTTGTACCTGTCGTGGAATGCTATTGTCTGTATGCAAATTATATAGTCTTTACATGCAGTGAATTTTTTTCAAGTTGTGTTTCACGATTCTGTGAGGTACATGGCTTCATCCTGTGTATTAACTTTCCTCTGATAAACTTCATGCACGTACTAGTAAGTACACTGCTATTAATGTTAGTTCAATGAATCACCGTCTAGACAAAGCTATAAAGTTCGTCTGGCAATCCGTCATTTCGTCTGAGTTCATCAACAGACGTCTGAATTTTCTATAGGAACACATGCATGTAGGAATTTGGGTCATGAAGCCTGAAGGACCGAAAACACAAGACATGTGAGCATGATTATTCTTCGGAATTTGCAAACGATAGCCTGAGATATCAGCCTTAGATTCGGGTCCATAGTAATCTACAACTGTAATTGTCGTGGTATCGTAATTCGCTGTTATGCTGTAATTCATTGTTATGCGAAATTCGCCATATGAAAACCGAATTATGACAAAATTATTACAGGGGAATCACAACGAATTATGACAAATTATGACATTTAAAAACCAGCCTTTTCCTGTTACCCCAGGTAGTCGGTAATCAGGCTAGCGAAATTAACCAGGTTAGCGAAATTAACCAGGTTAGCGAAATTAACCAGGCTAGCGAAATTAACCAGGCTAGCGAAATTAACCAGGTTAGCGAGGTGGTATGATATAAATACTTTGAAATAGCTGCTTTTCGAATTCCTCCTCCGACTCGTTGCAGGGATTGGACTGAGACATATTGGCGAATTTTAACGAGCATTCCGATCATTCGCTGCTTCTTTTTATATAATTAGACAGATACAGGAAGATGTCGACATTTCGCAATCGGTACAAAAGGTAGCTACTAGTACTCGGATTATGTTTTTCGCCTTTACGTTTTTCGCTATACGTTAATCTCGTGGGTTGCGTTATTCGAGAACAATTAAGCCATTCAAATTTAACAATAGGTAATTTCAAGAGTAGGGGTTTTTGGGGACACCCTGTGTATTAAAAATTGAATGACTTGTTTGCGAATTTTTGCCGGTGAAAATTAATGCAACTTACAAAATGCTAAATACAGAAGTTTAAAATTTGCGGAGGGGCATGTCGCCTTAGGCCACGGTGCTTGAGTTGTAAATTTATAACTACGACAAATTCATCATAAAACGGCTCTTAGCTGCATACATGTGCACTTTACCACATAAGTAATTGGCCGTATTTATCCAACCCGTGCACTTTCTAAATGCGCGATTCTGTTTCGTTTCACATATTCGTTTACGTAGTTCGTTGTTTATACTCAGACGATTGTTCTGTCAGACGGATCATTCGTCCAGACGGATAATCCGTCTCTTGTATAAATCGGGCGATTGTTAATAAAAATCATTTTCATGTTATACATAAAATGCTTATATCAGACATATCAAACAGGGTGTTTGTATAGGCGAACTATTAAATTGTTATAGGTGATGCAAACTATTACACTGTTATAGGTGATTTTTGTGTTTTGGGGACACCCTGTAGATGCATTATCCCTCATCGGATTTTCACTCTGTCTTTGTAAACATATTTAGAGCATGGGTAAAAGCAAAAGATAAAAGGTTGAAGAAACCGAAGCTATAAATTCCATAGAAGACGACGATGGCTATCATGCGGATAAAAGTGAATCTGAGGAAGCAGGTATGTAAATCCCATGCAATTCAGCGTTTCATAAACAATTGGGTTATTCGATCAGCTGAATGAAACAATAATTATGTTTTTTGATCAGATATATTACATATTCTGTATATTGTATGAACTTGAATTATTAATTATAAAAGATTAAATTAGATAACATCAAATGATTAATTAAATTTAATTAATATAATTCTAATTACAATAATTATATTAATATTATTAATATTCATTTTTTGTAATCTTACGTTTTGATTGGTGGATTTTTACCACGTTAGTGAATTTTATATTGCTATATATTCCATAATGCCATGGCACGGCAGTGCCGATATTAAAATTTACTGCACTGTCAAAATGCCGGCAATGAATACGTAAACAAATAGAAAAATTGCCGAGCTTAGCGAGGGCGAAATGGAGAAAAATATAGATGAATCCGCACCTGAAAATACGAAACGAGCAACGCAAGTGTTTTTTATTTAATTATTTGTAATTATAAATGTCTGGATTGACTGGTCAGCTGGTGCTTCGTGATCAACCACAGAGGAAGAGACTCGTCAGCCAAGATGATTTGCACTCTGAACGATGCATTGAACAAGGTAAAGGACGGTTTCTATTTAGTCGTAATGGTCATACTAATTAGTAATGAATAGTCATAATCCATGAATGTCTAATGTCTAGTCGGTGCCTATTTCGGGGACCGATTGTGTAAAGTAATATACAAGGTTAGTAAGAAGAGTGAGTATATTCATTCATTCGGACCAAGGTTATTAAACAATGATAGTAATATAACACTCGAGAATAAAATTAAAAAAATGCAATTTTCATATATAATAAATATATAAGTAAATGTTCGTCAGTGGCATCGCTTAACGTTTTCAAAAGAGATTGCCTAAAAAGTTTTATCAAAGTCAAATGTTAGTTGTTTTTGGCCTGGATTTTTACATAGCACCCGCAGGTCACGACTCACGCCTGGGATTAGATTGCAACATACATATAAATCAGGCTACAAGGCAGTGGTGATTGATGATTGATCATAGGATTAAATTAAGGGGGTCCTCTACTAAAATTTTCACTTGACTTCGAAATTTTTGAATTTTCAAAGACAGTCATTATATGTACTTTCAACCTTCCTCTATGGCCTCAGAAATTTTCAGTGCGCATAGAATACTACAAGACACTAAAAAAAAGCAAATTCCTGAACCTTTGGCTATTTTATGCCTTAGCAACACCCTTAGCAACAGCTGTTTTTGTTTGAAAATCCCGCCTGAAAGCCCTTCTTTTTATCCAATGAGATCGATTTTCTGTATATTATATGAAGTAGTCCTTCTGCTTTCTTAACACACCCGCTGAAAGCTCTTTTAACGATCTGAAGGCGTCTTTTGAGCTTAATAAACTCATTGTGTTGTTCTCGTGTTCTCAACTCTCAAGCGTTCGTCAAGCGTATTAAATTTGCGTTATTTGCATATTCCGATATTATATATTCATATATTCACGATGCTAAGGAAAGGTTCAAGAGTAAGGAAATGGAAATTTCATGGCAATAGATTCACGGACTCTGTAAGGAAAGCGCGTCTTGAGAATGATTCTGTTGTGCGATCAACTTCAACTAATGATCGAAGGCAATTCGTCTTCAAATATTTCTGCTTCCGCTCGTAAGATTGGCAATCCATGTCCACGAAATGCTCCCCCAGTTTCAGCTACCGTGGCAGGGTATCGATTTATTGATATGGAGATCCTGAACTATGTTTTTAAGCAAATGATTTGCAGTGAATGTGGTTCATCGTCTGGTCTTGTTTTGGAAGAAGACCCACGTGAACGAAAAGGCAGTGCGTCTCATCTTCGTGTTCGTTGCCAAACATGTGGTTGGGTGTATACCTTTTATACATGAAATAAAGTTCAGCACTCGTTTTATATCAACAAGCGATTTGTGTATGCTATGCGAAGTATGGGACAAGGACACTCATCACTGAAACGTTTCTGTGGCTTGATGAACATGCCACTCCATTCCATTCAAATGCCTACAGTGCCAGTAATTCTGCACAAGATAAAGCAAACAATACAAAGCTGTACAAACCCGGTGAAGGTCTTCCTGATGATATTATTGCATTGCTCAAATCTATTTATACCAGGCTTAGCAATGATGAACTATTGAGCAAGTGCTTAGATGGAAAAACCCAAAACCAGAATGAGTCACTAAATGGCATGATTTGGAACAGGTTGCCGAAAAACATTTTTGTTGGAGCGGATGTCCTGAATTTTGGAACATATGATGCTGTAGCTCATTTGAATCTTGACAATAAAGCAGCTGTGAACATTTTGAAGAGATGGACTTAGTTCCAGGACATTTCTTTGAAGAAGGAATAGAAAAAGGTGATCGTTTGCGAGTAAGGAAGGCTGAACATAGGAATACTCCTGAAGTAAGGAAACGACGAAAAATCCTCCGCTGGCAGAAAAAGGAAGAAAGAAGATAAAAATAAAGGAAGAGAGGGCACCACTTATGAAGCAGGAGCTTTCTAATGTGGTAACAAATGTACAGTAGCAATAAAATAGCAATAGAGCCTTGTTATTTAGACCTGTTTGTGTTATGAACTTAATATTACACTTTAAATGCATTTTCTCAAAATGCCGAAATTCAGCAATTTCCGAGATTGTATGCAAGATATCTCAAGAAGTTTTGGAGCTATCTTGCTGAAATTTTTAGGATAGCCTTAGTATGAGTAGCTCTAGGAGATGAACTAAAGAAAGTAAATTCTGATGCATAGATATCAAATGGTATCTAATTCAATGGAATGTATTGTAACCTTTTCAATTGTTTTGCCTGTAAAACTGCTAAAACCCCACCAACCTAAAAAGTTTTAGTTCAACTCCTAGACCATGTTATTTTTGAGTAAATAAAAGTTATTTCATCATTTTATGGCTAATGGTTGTGTAGTTATCATGTTTGCAAAATGGCATCCATTTTGCTATTAGGCGTGGCATTTTCTGGTAACCGAGGCAACACAACTTTGCAATTGTATGTACTTTTTGTCAGTGACCATAGCCTAACAACATACTAAAGTATCAGTTTGGTACTATGAATAGCAAGGTTAAAAAAATTTTTGGTAGAGGACCCCCTTAAATAGGATTTCACGCGAGTCGATTCAGCCTGTATACATTGGCTACGGTCGTACTTCATACTTTATATGCATGCAACGCTGCCAACGCATAGTTCCACTGTGCCACGACCTAAACAACAAATACAGTGTGGCCCAAACTGTTGAAATCACCCTATTCTTGGGATTTGAATGGTTGTGTACTCGTCGTACGTCTTGCTCATAGGAATTTACGATGCTAAATTCTAAACTGAGCAAATAAAATTTGATTTAATTTTGGATTTGCAATCGTGAACTTGTACCAACTCGACGGTTCGTATTTCAAAACATGATGCCATGTAGCTATATATGAACGGCTTATTCCTAGTATCTGGATTAGTACAAAAAAGTAATTGCCTATATGCGTAAATTCTCGACTCGTACATTAAATCAAAATGCAAACTTTATTTACATATGAATTCGAATTTCGTATCGGATATCACAGGCTGACAAAGGCCAATTCGACAGACGTTCATATGTAAAACGAGGCTTTAGAAGGAGAAACATATAGAAATTAAGAAAAGATTCAATCAGTCCTCGTTCTGGTTGGTATATAGTTGTACCTCAACATTGTACAGTCATGAATTTCTGTAAAAGTTTGATAAATGATTATTTCACAAAATTTTAATGTGTGTGTAGGATATTAGAGAAAGGAAGGCTGCATTCAATCAGAAAGCATTGTCCACGGCTTATTAACCATACTGTATAGTTCTGTCGAAATTAGTAATGGTAATTTGCGGTCGTGCGATTTTTTAATCACGCGTTTGATTTCACACCAAAATTTCATGACACGAAGTGCAATTTCCACCCTATTATATTCATTTTCAAATCATACAAAAAATTAAACAAATTCAAAACGATTTGCTGTAATGAACCGTAAACGGTGTAAAATGTGAGTAATTTTAATCTATTTTTGTCAAGAAATTTTGCGAGGCATTTAAAAATTTAAAATAATGAATTTTTGTGCCATTTTCCCCTGTAATTTGATTGGATAGTTACACTGGAATTGATTTCAAAATGAATATAATAAATCCTATAATGCCATGCCTCCCGATTTATGGCTAGGGCTTGTTCCCCGGCTTCTGAACAAACATCTTGGCTGAGTAGGGTTGTGTGGTTTAGACTTTAGAGAATTGGCTTGGTTTGAGTCTGGGCGCTCTATATAGTATTTAAAACACGACCCCTTTCCTTGCAAACGTTCTCTAGTATGCGCAGCTACAGAGCCCTTTCACGAAAATCTGCTCCTCTTTGCCTCGACTTTTTTCTTTTAATTTGGATGACTGTAATCTCATCAGCGAGTTCACAGGACAATGATGAGTCGAGCACACAATGCATACGTCATCTTTTCATTCATTTGGACCAGATATTCTGGTTAATTATTCGCCACTGTTAGTGCGGAAACGGTGCTTACGTGTACATTGGGGGTACGGATATAGGTTTCTTTACCGAGGACCTAAATTACATTCTTCTGTCAGCGTCTCTTTAATCATACATTTTTTTTCTATGCAGGTGCGATTAAAAAATATTTGCTCGCGACTGCTCATCCGTATGAAGATGATGACGGTTCTGTCTATAACCTGGGACTTGGTTATGACAAAGAGAAAGGCCTCGCGCACCTGATTACATTATTACCAGCAAGTACTGAAGATACGAAAAGCGAGCAATCCACGAAGGAAGCCGGAAAAAATAGTCGCAAAAACACCAGCATCATTCAAGTACTCGTACAGCCACAGTTTTGGTATGACTCAGAAATATTTTATCGTCATTCAACAACCTATGACTGTGAATGTGTGGAAACTTGCAGTCTCACGTTTCGTCGGTTGGAACATCATCGATGCCTTTGCGTGGAATGATCAGATGGGAGTAGAATTCGTGGTAATATCTCGTGAGAGTGGTGAAGTTGTTCTCACTATAAAGTCGGAGCCATTTTTCTTCCTTCATACCGTAAATGCGTATGATGATGGTAACGAGATTGTTTTTGATGTTTGCTGTTACTCCGATGCTGATTTCTTTCATGAATTGTATCTACAAGAAATTCGAGAAAATGTGCTCAATTACGAAGATATCGCTTGTGCACTAATTTAGAAGCATGGGAAGCTACACTACACGAAGGATGCCTTTTCCAAGATTCAACACTGCCCTGATGCAATTATAAACTTCCGGAAAATTTCTAGCCCCTCCCAGTAAGATTTTTCGGGGGGGGGGTGGGGGCTCCAGTCACGAGCCCTGTATTGATTGATCATAAGTTAAAAAGTTATTAAATACATTTCACTCGAGTCGATTTAATCTACATCCATCGGCTACGGTCGTGTCAGTTTAGCATGGCTTACCAAGAGAATAACAACATCCGGGCGTTGTACTATCAGAGCGTTGAAGAACTTTCTGAACCGATCGACACGAAGATTACAGGCAATATCCCGACATGGATCAAAGGCACGCTACTTCGAAATGGTCCTGGAAAATTTGAGATTGGAAGCAGCTCTTATCGTCATATTTTCGACGGCTTAGCTTTGTTACAACAGTTTGTGATTGACAATGGAAATGTTACTTATTTCAATAAATTTCTACGCAGTCAAACATACAAGAAGAACATGAAAGCCGGAATGATCGTCGAGTCGGAATTCGGAACTCTCGGTGTTCCTGATCCTTGCAAGAACATCTTTGCGCGATGGTTTTCCTATTTCTTTCTTGGCGGAGATTTCAGCGACAACGCCTCCGTTAATTTTTACTGTATCAAAGGAAAGATTTATGCAACAACAGAAAGCCCGATCATCACAGAAATTGATCCCAGTAATCTTGAATGTCTTGACAGAGTAAATCTATCTGATGCTTTTCAAGGTAATTAACATAAATGCACGCATATTCTCGGAATCTAAACAATATTCACTGGTAACACCCTATTGTTGGGCTTCGAATGTTCGCGTACCTTTTGCTCGTCTGCTTAGCCAAAAACAAATTTAAAAAATCCAATAAAAAGCCAATAAAATTTGTGCATTTTGAAATCCGCAGATGTTCAAAGCTATTTGCAATGCTGACGGTTCGTATTTCCGAAATTGATGCCATGCAGCTATATATATTATATATGTATGAACAGCTATATTCCGGTTAATCATATTATAAGCAATCTTAATATTTAGTATGTGGATTAGCTATAGTACAAAAAAAGTAATTGCCGAAATGCGTAAATTCTCGACCGGTACATTAACTCAAAATGAAATTTTATTTACATATGAATTCGAATTTCGTATCGGATATCACAGGCTAACAAAGCCAAAGGCCAATTCAATCGCAGTTAGTGGATTCAACAGTAGCCGGTTGTATAAAACTCCTATAACTACATTTTAAGTTGAAATCGTAGTTAACAAGAAAATACACGATTCTGATTAGCTAATTCTGCCCCTAACTATAGTTATAAACCAGATTATAGCACATTTATTAGGCGTAAACCTACCTAGAACGTATGGCGGTTTTCAATGTATATATATACAAACAAAGAGCTAAGCTATATACAAACAAAGAGCTATATAAAGCTGTGGGTGGCATAAATCTTAATTTATGAATTCAAAGGGTCATTTTCGATTTCACACACTTTTATAGGAAAATAAAAAAACAGACATTCCTGAGTACAGTGAAGTTGTTTGACATATTTGTCAGGAGCCGGTTGGATAAAAAGTTAATTAACTTTTAACGAGAACATTTTAAATGATATACAGCTATTTCAATTTTCAAATCAGGTTGTACTTAACTCGAACAAAGCGGAAAAGTCGATTAACCGGTACCCTCTGGATTGAGCTGTCTGGCCCTGCAGCCCCTATACTACGCTTTGCGCATGTCCGCACGTTGATGAATCCACATCTTTCATCTTTTCTATGTATCGCATCATACGCAACATTTTACTCAGGCATTTTAAATGGTTTTTCGTACGAAAAATGTAAATCAATTGTTTTGTTGACAATTACATACAAGCACAAGAACAAAGTATTATTGATAAATATATCAAGTTCGTAGTGGCACAAAATATCATTGATTCACCCATGTGGTGAAACATAGCGTTCTTTTGTTAGGGTCTCTTTAATGATACATTTTATTTCTATACAGGTGCGATTAAAAAATATTTGCTCGCGACTGCTCATCCGCATGAAGATGATGACGGTTCTGTCTATAACCTGGGACTTGGTTATGACAAAGAGAAAGGCCTCGCGCACCTGATTACATTATTACCAGCAAGTACTGAAGATACGAAGAGCGAGCAAGCCCCGAGCGAAGGAAAAATAGTCGCGAAAATACCAGCATCATTCCAGTACTCGTACAGCCACAGTTTTGGTATGACTCAGAAATACTTCATCGTCATTCAACAACCTATGACTGTGAATGTGTGGAAACTTGCAGTCTCACGTTTCGTCGGTTGGAACATCGCCGATGTTTTTTCGTGGAATGATCAAATGGGAGTAGAATTCGTGGTAATATCTCGTGAGAGTGGCGAAGTTGTTCTCACCATAAAGTCGGAGCCGTTTTTCTTCTTCCATACCGTAAATGCGTATGATGATGGTAACGAGATTGTTTTTGATGTTTGTTGTTACTCCGATGTTGATTTCTTTCATAATCTTTATCTGCAAGAAGTTCGAGAGGGTGTCTCCTCAAAAAAGGGTTCCATGGCTCAGTTACGGAGATATCGCTTGCCCATTAACTTAGAAGCATCAGAGACTACACTGCAGAAAAAGCCATCAGGATTAGATTACGAGGTCTTATCTGACATTTGTCTTGAGTTACCACGCATTAATGAAAAGTACGCCAGATTATGTCATCGCTATGTATACGGTACATGCGCTGGAGAAGACTACACGGATAATATAATAATACACAAGCTTGTTAAAGTTGATGTTGAAACCAAGGAAAGTCTGATTTGGAGTGAAGACCAATGTCTGGTATCAGAACCCGTGTTTATTCCAGCCCCAGATAGTCAAGAAGAAGATGATGGTGTGGTGATGTCTTCTGTTTATGATCCTGTCAAAGATAACTCGTTCTTGTTAGTTCTTGATGCCCGTTCGTTTACGGAGCTCGCGAGAGCTGTGGTACCATTTAGATTTGCACCTTCCTTTCATGGACGATATTTTTCATGAGCAGTTGACTTGTACGTTACGGGTATTACCAATAACTCTAAAATTTAGTCTGCTATATAAAGGATGGTAGTTAGGAAGGACTGTTTTTGTTCTTGTGTTTTTCTATTCAGCATAAAATAATAGTATACTATAGACATAGGTTGAATCTAGGGCCTATTTACATGGAGCTTGTTATACCGGCTATGCGAGGTAAAAAGCGCTTCACGTGCATCAAAGGCTTAACCTGATTTGTCTTTCATTATATGCAGTTTTCACTTCGCCTAGTCGGGATAACTCGCTCCATGTAAACAGGCCTTAGTTTCCACGGAGAACATGTGCTAGTGATTGATAAATCATTTCTACGATCGATCTTTGTCCGGTGTGGAATAATTATGATTTGGTCGGTTATTATGCATGTGTTGTCGAAGAAAAATTACATAAATTTTGTAAATTACGCTGATTGATCAATACAACCACAGTGACACAACTACTATAAAGACCGCGCGAAAAACGTCTGTGCGTGCATGCGTCAAACATGCGTAAATATTGTTTTAAGATTAATATTGAATAAAAGTGTAATTGCATAAAATGATCAGTATATTAGATTAGAGCTGTGAACAATTAGAAATAAATTCAGACGATAAATACTGATATAGAAATACCAGCATTGGGTAATCAGGGAAATATCAAGGAAATTAAATCTTGTCTCAAGGAAATTTAAGGATATTATTAGAAATACATGCATGTGCCATGCAGCAACTTCTCTCCATTTCAAATGAAGCAAAATATTTCCTGAGCTAGCAAGACCTAACCTTCAATATTTTGAAATGACCTAAATGTAAAGCCGATAGCTGATGTTTCAAATTTTTCGGAAACAAACACAGTTGTATTAATTTCCAAAATACAGTCGGAAACAAACACGGTTGGAAACAAACAAAGTCGCAATTATTTCCTGCTCCATTACGTTGCTTGAAGTAATAAACTTTCACAGATTAAGTGAGAGTTAATACTTCATCATAGCTAAACCTTCAAAACATCAAAACGGAATAAATAATATAAATAACCAAGCAGTAAACGTCGAATGTTGTTTTTCGATTATTGACATAGGCCGAGCCCAATGGCGCATGCTTTTATTTTTTATTTGAAATAAAAATGCAGATTTTGATGAAAAAGACACATTAAGTCATTATGTCATTTATATACATGCTTATGTACTTGTCTATAATTTACATGCTAATAATCACAATATCAACATGCACACGTGAAAACAATCCGAAAATAACTTTGAAAACAAGTTACAGAAGCGAGAAAGATGCGAACAATGTTATAGATATTTTACTCATTTTTTGAGTGGGCCGATGCTGGACCCGCGCTGTTGACTTTTGAGAACGTTTGAAAAGGACGAATTCGTAATCTCATTGGCTCACACAACAGCGAGAACAAAAAACAGCTAATGAGAGTACGTGTGATTACATCTGTGGTTGAGGAGTCAGGAGTGCTGTCTTGCTCGCTCGCTTCAAGACCGCTCGCTGCGCCAGCAACAAGAGATGAATAAAATATTTTATAATTACTTGTACCTGTCGTGGAATGCTATTGTCTGTATGCAAATTATATAGTCTTTACATGCAGTGAATTTTTTCAAGTTGACGATTCTGTGGGGTGCATGGCTTCATCTTGTGTATTACCTTTCCTCAAACTTCATGCCCGCACTGGTAAGTACACTGCTATTAATGTTAGTTCAATGAATCACCGTCTAGACAAAGCTATAAAGTTCCTCTGGCAATCCGTCATTTCGTCTGAGTTCATCAACAGACGTCTGAATGTAGGAATTTGGGTCTTGAAGCCTGAAGGACCGAAAACACAAGACATTTGAGCATGATTATTCTTCGGAATTTGCAATATACGGGCCTATAGTTATCTACAATTGTCATTGTCGTGGTATCGTAATTCGCTGTTTTGCCATGTTTTATTACCCTGTACAGTCGGTAATCATGCTAGCGAGATTAACCAGGCTAGCGAGATTAACCAGGTCAGCAAGATTAACCAGGTTAGCGAGATGGTATGATGTATGATATAAATGTATGATATAGATAGCTATTTTTCGAATTCCTCCTCCGACTCGTGCAGGGATTGGACTGAGACATATTGGCGAATCTTTCGATTGGACTGAGACATATTGGCGAATCCGATCATCCGCTGCTTTTTTTGTAATTAAACGGATACAGGAAGATGTCGACATTTCGCAATCGATACAAAAGGTAGCTACTAGTATAATTATGTTTTTCGGTTTACAGTCATACACGTGTCCCCAAAAAAGCCAAAACTATTGAAATCACCTATAATGCAATATTTAGAGCGAATGCCTAAGCACACGCACTGTTGGGACATAAATGCTCGAAATTATGAATTTTATGCATGATGATAATAAAATTTGTCTGAACCGGTACCCAAATATGATTTATATTAACAATATTTACACTTTACAAATATGGATAGCAATATTTAAATTTACAACTCAAGCAAAATCAACTTTTACATGTCCCTCTTCTCTAGCAAATTTTAAACTTTTGTATTTGGCACTTTATTATAAAATTAATACGTTAATCTCGAGCGTTAATTCGAGAACAACTAAGCCATTCAAATTTTAACAATAGGTAATTTCAATAGTAGGGGTTTTTGGGGACACCCTGTGTATTAAAAATTGAATGACTTGTTTGCGAATTTTTGCCAGTGAAAAATTAATGCACCTTACAAAATGCTAAATACAAAAGTTTAAAATTTGCGGAGGGGCATGCATGTCGCCTTAGCTTAGGCCACGGTGGTTGAGTTCTAAATTTATAACTACGACAAATTTAATACATCATAAAACGGCTCTTAGCTGCATACATGTGCACTTTACCAGTTACCACATAAGTAATTTGCCGTATTTATCCTACCCGTGCACTTTCTAAACGCGCGATTCTGTTTCGTTTCACTTATTTGTTGTTTATACTCAGACGAATGATCTGTCAGACGGATCATTCGTCCAGACGGATAATCTGTCTTTAATATAAGTCGGGCGATTGTTAATAAAAATAATTTTCACATGTTATGTATAAAATACTTATATCAGACATATCAAACATATCAAATATAGGCAAAGATATAGGCAAACTATTACATTGTCATAGGTGATTTTTGTTTTTTTTGGGGAACTTTGTAGATGCATCATCCCTCATCGGATTTTTACTCTGTCTCTGTAAACATATTTAGAGCTTGGGTAAAAAAAGTAAAAGATAAAAGGTTGAAGAAACCGAAGCTAAATTCCGTAAAAGACGACGATGGCTATCACGCGGATAAAAGTGAATCTGAGGAAGCAGGTATGTAAATCCATGCAATTCAGCGTTTGATAAACAATTGGGTTGTTCGATCAGTTGAATGAAACAATAATTATTTTTTTTATCAGATATACTGCCTATTCTGTACATTGTATGAACTTGAATTATTAATTATAAAAGATTAAATTAGATGAGATCAAATGATTAATTAAATTCAATTAATAATACTAATTAATTATTAATATTCATTTTTTTAATCTTTCGTTTTGATTGGTGCCATGGTGGATTTTTACCACGTTAGTGAATTTTATATTGCTATATTCCATAATGCCACGGCAGTGCCGTTATTAAAATTTATTACACTGTTAAAATGCCGGCAATTAATACGGAAACAAATAGAAAAATTGCCGAGCTTAGTAAAGACGAAATGGAGAAAATTATAGATGAATCCGCACCTAAAAATACGAAGCGAGCAACTGCATTGGGTGTTTCCGTATACGCAAGTGTTTTTTATTTAAGTTTTTATGTGTAACTATAAATATCTGTGTTTACTCAAAATGAATAATAAAAGCATTAAAGCACTCTTTGTTCGTGCGTTATCGGGTTTTACATGCAATCGTTCAAAAAAAACACGAAAAGAGCTTGTTTAATGAACTCGTGCATGCATGTAAAACCGGATCACATTTTAATCCTTAATTAATATTATTATTATTAAAGAATAATATATTTCATTGATTTTTCCATTGATTATTATTTTATTAATTCAATTAAATTATACCACTTCTACTAACTGTGATTATACTTAAGTGCGTATAATTTCAACTTCTCACAAGCCTATTGAATGACCACTCATAGATAAGAAGGCCGCGCCGTGGTAAATCAAGAGAAACCCATTGTCTTTGATAAAAATTAAGTCGAATACAAACGACTATAGTATTCTATGTAGCTATAGATGTAAATTTAAAGGACACGTGAACAAAGTGAGCAAATAGGTGACGATGTAGCTGATGTGAGATGCGGTCTTCAGTACAACACTGGTACAACTGTTTACAGAATAACATTCCCATAACTTATGCCTATCCGTGCAGACTCGATATCCCGCAAATATTTTTCTAGAACAATCATCCAGTGATTACTGCCCATCGGAGGACAGTTTTGTAAGCACTGGATTGACTGGTCTGCTGGTGCTTCGTGATCAACCACAGAGGAAGAGACTCGTCAGCCAAGATGATTTGCACTCTGAACGATGCATTGAACCAGGTAAAGGACGGTTTCTATTTAGTCGTAATGGTCATACTATTTAGTAATGAATAGTCATAATCCATGAATGTCTAATGTCTACTCGATGCCTATTTCGGGGACCGATTGTGTAAAGTAATATACAAGATTAGTAAGAAGAGTGAGTATATTCACTCATTCGGACCAAGGTTATTAAACAATGATAGTAATCCATAACACTCGAGAATAAAATTAAAAAATGCAATTTTCATTCATTCGGACCAAGGTTAATCTCTGTTTTATTAAACAATGATAGTATTAACACTCAATAAAAACTTAACGATGCAATTTTCATTAAATCGGTATTGGACAAATATTATTTAGCCTTGCGTCTATCGACTGGCCAATCATCGCAGACAGGTTCGCTTGATCTGCTGGCGAACGCCGATATAGTTTATAGTCAGTCGCAGCCCGAAGATCGTGTGAATGAAGATGACAATTCCGAACAAAACGGTGAAACAGCCAGTCGCGCTGATGATGATCAAAATTCAGTCGAAAGTAATGATGAAGAAAATTTCACTGAAAGTGATCAAAGTAAGACGTCGATAAAAAGTAATGATGAGGAGAATTTCACTGCACGTTATCGAAGTAAGACTTGGATGAAAAGTGATGATGAGGAGAATTTCACTGCACGTGATCAAAGTAAGACCTGGATGAAAAGTGATGATGAGGAGAATTTCACTGTACGTGATCAAAGTAAGACCTGGATGAAAAGTGATGATGTGGAGAATTTCACCGAAAGCGATCAAAGTAAGACGTCGATGAAAAGTGATGATGAGGGGAATTTCACCGAAAGCAATCAAAGAAAGACGTCGATGGAAAGTGATGATGAGGAAAATTTCACTGAAAATGATCAAAGTAAGACGTCGATGGAAAGTGATGATGAGGAAAATTTAACTGAAAGTGATCAAAGTAAGACGTCGATGGAAAGTGATGAAGAGGAAAATTTCACTGAAAGTGATCAAAGTAAGACGTCGATGGAAAGTGATGATGAGGAAAATTTCACTGAAAGTGATCAAAGTAAGACGTCGATAAAAAGTGATGAAGAGGGGAATTTAACTGAAAGCGATCTAAGTAAGTCCTCGATGAATATTGATGATGAAGAAGATTTTTCTGGATGTGACCTGAGCCTAAGTAAGTCGACGATTGTAAATGCGCATGCTTATTTAGAAAGAAAATTAACGACGGAAGCCGACCCTTTGGGATGGAACCTTTTTATGTTTGTTATTGGTTCTGTCGAATGCAATCAAAAGGCCATTTCCTGACGAAACTCTTATGGATTTAAGTTAAAAAAAAGCACCAGCCTGGATAGTGATTATTAAGACAGAATCTCGTAGTTAATATGTTAGATTGCAAGTTGCAATTATACCTCGAACATTAATAAATTCATTACTTTTTCATACAGGTAATTCTGGATATTTGGAGAATGAGTTTTTTGAATATTTACAGTACGTGGTGAGTTGCTGCCTGGATCCCGAGTATGTAAATTGTGATGACAGCCAAGACGAGCTAAAAATCTCCAAAACGAAAATCGAAACGAAAATCGAGGATCTTAAGAAAATGCTCGAGAGCGAAGCATAGACACAAGGATATCAAGAAGCTATGGAAACTTTTCCCACTTTGAGTTGCAGCAGGTTGGAAGAACCCCTTGAAGGGTGTGAAGCCTGTCGAAGACAGGGAAGAATTGCTTCAAAAGCAGTAACATTCATGGGTACACCGTATGAAATGGATACGGAGAATTACGAGTGCCAAGAAGCGGGGTCACCGCGCGAACTAACGTTTGAGGTCGGTCGATATTGTGAAAGAAGATCAAGATTCTACCACCGCGTTTTCCACTATAGATACCACCTACGTGAGAACTGTGTTGTCGCTGTTAATCGATTTTCTAAGAGTGATATCACCGCGGATGTTGTTTTAAAAAGGTGCATAAATGATGAAACATGGACGGATAAAACGTACAGGGAATTTCTTTCCTTAATTGACAATGTTAACACATGGTTTGCTGCTGTCTACGATCGTAGAAGTTTGAATAAAGAAATTTGAATGTACCAAAGAGAAAGGTAAGTGGCTAAAAGCATGGTGATTTTACGACACGTGAAATTAATTCGGCATCACAAATTTGGTATAAACTAGTAAAATAATCAAATTTTTACAAAATTTGCCTATTTCACAACGGCGTTATTCTTCAAACCCAACCAAACGTTCCAATCTTACTATACATACGGTGACGAGAAAGTTAATCATTTAAGAGAAAATTCCTAAAACATATTCGTTTGTAAATCGAAATTGGGTAGTATTGAGTCTATTGACTGTTAAAGGTAGTTTTGACTAATTTCAAATATGTTCGACCGAATTTAAAGCGTGAAACAATTTTGAAAATGTTTTTAGTTTGTATAAGACCTCGAGACGCCTGGTTTGATTTCTCATATTTCTGCCAGGTTTTTTAAACATACACCAAGACTTGCAGACATGCAGTTTAAGGTACATGCCTTTCGATCACTCGAAGGATATGCATATTTTTATGCCTAAATGCCTAATAGTCCTAAAGTAAAAGTTAAAGTTACTTTTACGAGAAACGAGCGCAGAGCTAGCCAGGTACTGAGGTACATAACTCATAAGGTTATAATTATTATATAATTCACATCCGAAATTTTCACTGTGAGAGTCAAGAGCGTCTGATTTCGTCATGGTCTACAGAAAAAAATCGACGAAACAGAGAAATTAGATTTTTTACAATGATGCGTGTCTAAGTGTTCTCATGCATAACCTCGAATTCGTAGTTATCTTATTGCCAGCTTGTTATCTTATTCCCACATATAAAATTTTCCCAATGCCGAATAAACGTAGCTTAACAGCGCCTATTCTAGGAAATTTTTAATGCTATAGCTACAAATATACATTAAGTCATTGTGAAATGGGCACCCCATGATGATGATCTTTGTATCTGCGAAACGCAGATATATTGTCATTGCTGACGTACCGTATGTTAACACATAACTATTCAGTGATGGGCTTATATAATTAGCCAATCAGCGATTAGTTTATAACGCACTCACACCACAACCAAAAGCATGCAGAAAATATAATTTTGGCTTCAAAAAATCTTGTTCTGCGTTTTTTGTATCATTTTAAGTTTTTCTGAACATGGAAACTTATCCTCATGAGATAAATAGTCCATCTCTTCGGAGATCAAAACAATCTCTCCGGAGATTAAGTCAATTTCTTCGGAGATCGAGACAATCTCTTCGCAGTCCAAAAAACAATCTCTTCGGAGATCGAAACAGTCTTTTGGAGATCTAAACAGTCTCTTCTGAGACGATTAACGAAATCTAAGAAATTCACCATAGTTATCATATTAGCTATGAGAAAGAAAAAAAAAATTATAGGTAAAAAATAATTTTGCAATGTTTTATACAGTCAAAAGATAGCAGTCAATATTGCTATAGTATCACATATCACATATCTCAAAGAAAACTAATGTTGTCAGGAGATATTGAAAGAAATCCTGGTCCTGTTCAGTGTTCAAAGCATTAGTCCCACATATGCAATGGAACATAGAAAACGCAAACAAGCGAATGAGACCTCCCAGCTCTCAAAACAGAGCACGTCTATATTATACTGTCATGACTGACATCACCGGTAGACGCGTACGGAAATTAAAAAAACATGGCCAAATTTGCTGTCCAAACAAGATTGTTGTGAGCAGATACACGTACGCTAACGTACCTATTTTTACATTTCTAATACTGCACACAATAGTACGCACTTGACTATCAATACTGCACAACTGAGTGTGTTATATTGCAGGTTAAAATAGGACTTGCGAAGCTAAACGTAGCCTAACGAATTCGAAAAACGAAACGTTATCATGTTAGTTTAATTACGATCAATTGAAAGAAAATTACAAATAGTATAGTGCAATTGAACATGCAAGAATGAATTAAACGATGTATAGTAGGTAGGAGAGCAACTTAATATATGTGTCAATGGTGCATTTACATAAATTATATATGCCGAGGTAATCGCCTCTTAAAGTTATCAGTTCATTAATTCGCTTTTGCGCGTGGAGAGCTTGGGATCCCTTTGCATGAGCAAACTTTTTATTCACACGAAATATATAATTTTTCGCATGAACCTTGCCAAAAAAGATTGTCATCGTTGAAATGAATTAAAGCCGAAATATTCTATTTATCGTATGCAGTCTTAACTCTTAGGAATTTAATTTGTGCATGTGGTATAACTGTTTTACTATATATACTGTGTGCATAATATATATTTCTTACACGTCCATATTGTGCCACGTGCTACTCTTCATACCAGGCATCGAAATGATGATTTTCGTAAGAGCCGGCATCATATAATTCAATGCGGACAGGACGTTTCATTGAATTTTTCTGCTCGTTCCTTTGCTTCTTGAAATAACAGACCTTAAGATGATAATTACGTAATGAATTTAGTCGCAATTCAAGGCACATTCACTTGGAAACGATTAGTTTCAAACACCTTCCCAAAATACTTTATTTCATTGTAAATATTGTATGTACTTACGAAGAAGAGAATGAGGACGAGACAAATGAATCCAGCAGTTCCTATAGCAGCGGTTGCACCAATCATGGCATTCTTATCCCCCTCATCTTCTTCGTCTTTGCTTGGAGTTCCAACGGTAGCCTTAGGGGTCGTTGAAACAACTTGCTGCTCCAAAAAGGATTTATCAAAATGTAATTCGTCCAAGTTGCCCTTTTCATCACTGGCATCGACAACTGCCCTGGCAAGACTACTTGAACTGACTTGCTTACTTTCCGACGAAAACTCAGTTTGGATATTGGCAATAACACTTCCTTCATCGAAATCAACGTCTGATATCCTCAAAAACCCAGAAATTTTATCAAAGATGTTTATCACGGCCTTCTCTAGCATATCTCTGAGCTTTTTACAATCGATGCTATCTTTATCTTGATAGCTCGCAACAAATTCAATGTTAAGGATCCTTGCTTGAAGGGCGACAATTCTTGTTGGGGTAAGTTGAGTTGATGACATTGTACTCACAACTTTGCTAGTCGGTGTCGGTTGCATATCAGAGGTTATTTCCAATTTTTCGGTCGATCCTCGATACATTAGACTTCTTGGAAGTGAAGTGGTGAGAATTGCAGATGACGACGATGATTCTTGAGTCATGGCACTCGTTTGCGATGATGGCGATGGTAGTTTTGCAACAGTAGTTGTTACGGAACTAGTTAAAGGTGGTGAGGACGTTCGCGCAAGAGAGATTGCTGGGAAAGAGGGTGTCAGGTGGTAAAATGTAGAACTTGAATAAATTGCTGATGATGATTGGCCAACTACAGTACTAGTCGCAACCGTTGCTGAAGATTGATCAACCCGAATCGAGGTTCTTGAATATGAACTAGATGATGCTCTGGCTATGGAACTAGTTGCCGTTGGCGAGGATTGTCCCACAACTACGTTAGTTTCAGGTAGAGAAGGAGCGTAATATATGGAGCTTGTATTAACTTTTGACGATGATGATGATGATGGGTCAGCTACAGTACTTTTCCTTACCAGGGTTGATGATTTTTCAATTTTAACTAAAGTTCGTGTGGTTAATGTCATATTTGAAATAGATGAAGTTAACTCGTAATATAGGGAACTTGAAACAGCTGCTGATGATGATAGACTAGGTACAGTACTAGGCGTTGCTAGTGTCGCCGACTGTTTCATGCTCAACGGAGTCTTGAAGAAGTGTGAGCTAGATGGTTGCGTCACTGTGCTAGTTGCTGCAAAAGATGAAGTTAACTCGTAATATAGGGAACTTGAATCAGATGCTGCTGATGATGATAGGCTAGGCCTAGGTACAGTACTAGGCGTTGCTAGTGTCGCCGACTGTTTCATGCTTAACGGAGTCTTGAAGAAGTGTGAGCTAAATGGCTGCATCACTGTGCTAGTTGCTGGAAAAGATGAAGTTAACTCGTAATATAGGGAACTTGAAACAGCTGCTGATGATGATAGGCTAGGTACAGTACTAGGCGTTGCTAGAGTCGCCGACTGTTTCATGCTTAACGGAGTCTTGAAGAAGTGTGAGCTAAATGGTTGCATCACTGTGCTAGTTGCTGGAAAAGATGAAGTTAACTCGTAATATAGGGAACTTGAATAAAGTGCTGACGATGAATCGTCAGCTACAATGCTGGTCGTTAGTAGCGTCGACGATTGTTTCATCCTGATCGAAGTAATGAAATGTGAGCTGGATTGTACATCAGCAATGGAACTAGTCGAAGTTATTTGCGCCGTCATGCTAGGTGTTTGAAGTGATGGCGTCTGCTGATAAGCTGTTGAGTTTGATTCGACCGCCAACGATGGTTGGAGGGTTATTGTGCTGGTGGCAACCGAAGATGAGGTTGGCAAGACTACGACAGAAACAATCTCATCAATAACAACAGTCAAACTTAGTTCACGAGCACATGGCACCACACCACCGTCTTTAGCTACAACTGTCAACGAGTATTCACCAGGTTGAAGAGTACTGTTCGCAAAAAGTTCGCCATGTGAAGTTATGAAGAAATTTCTGTCGGGGTCTGACTCCTCTGTGATGGAATATTGAATTCGTCCATTATTTCCGTAGTCTGCATCACTCGCCAGAATATCCACCGGCAATTTGTATTTTCCAGGTAAAGTACCAAATACCGGACAATTATCATTTTCATCTTGGACGGTTATCGTAACTGTTGCCTCCGAATTTCGAGAAGGAACACCATTATCTGTAGCAGTGACCGTAAATGTAAATTGTTTTTGAGAAATGGTTTCGTAATCTAAAACATCGTCAGCATATACTGAGATTTCACCGCTGTCTTGGTTAACCATAAAGAAGTTCGCAAGGCTTGCGTCTTCGATAATGTATGAAACTTCCCCGCTGCGTCCATGGTCAGTATCATTTGCATACACGCTCAATACAACAAAACCTTTTCCTCTGTTCTCAGATACGACGGCAAAATAAGAGTCGTTTGTGAATGCAGGGGTATTGAGATTTTCTGACACTTCTTCAGTACAGTTTTCGCCGTCATATTGCTCAAAACATTCGCATTTGTTTGGAGATACGCATTGTCCATTGGATGAACAGTTGTTCATATCATAACACGTCGGTGTTTCACAGGATAAGCCAATCCAGTTGTCATTGCATTGACACTCTTCATAGCCCACGCAAATCCCATTTCCTGTAAGGAAATCATGGTACGAGTTTCTAAAACGTTGAAACATTGTAACAACATGTCTTTGAAATACATTCATAATGATGAATGTGACGTGATCACAAAGACGCGAGCATGAAATGGAAATTATAATATCTTATTGATTATTGATAATACAAATGACTATTGGCTGTTGAGTATTGATAATATACATGTAAATTGTCATCTAAAATCTAATATTTAGGGGTGAGGGCGTTACTTCATCATTGGAAACGGAGATTAAAATTGTCCTGATATTTTTAAAGCCTGGTTCACACTCATTGCCGGTGTAATCGGAGGATTTTACAATTTTTTCATATCAAAGAAAATTCGCCAAATTTACTGGTGTAAGGGGAGAAAGATTAGTTCATCTAACAATGTAACGGCATGCAATGCAAATATTGAGCATTTTTAAGCATGTGGATTAAGTTAAACTTGAAGGCGTCATGATTGCCCCAATTTTCTGGGTCGTCAGTTGAATGGTTTGAATCGAGATAATTGAGCTAGGGCATCGTACTCAAGACGTTAGATTTACGTTAGCTCGTGCACTGACCAGAGCAACTACTTCGTGATTGACATGAGAAATCCAGGCACATCTCCCCTTCATAGCCCATGTTGCACGAACACAGATTTGGTTCCACGCACGTGCCATTTCCAGAACAGTCGTTGACGTCAGAACAATCATATTGACTGCAGTTGGATCCAACAAAACCGAAGAAACAACTATATACAAAATATACATAATTCAGATCATCAAACATGGAATGAATACTTTCATCTTTTTTTTAGCCCAGGAAGCGTGGCTATTTTTCTAATGTAAAAATATCCGCTGAATTGTCAAAAAGTGAGGAGATCAAAACCTTACAACAAGGGCGTAAAGAAAAAAACGAAGACAGAAAAGATTTAGGCAGTCCCACATTTACCTGCAAATATTTGTATCTCCAGTCACGTCATTATTAAAGATGCATACACCATTATCAGTACAGTTGTTTAAATGCGAGCAGTCCAAGAAAATACTACAATCAGCTCCTTGATATCCTCCAAAACAGTTGCAAAAATTAGGTCCAACGCATTCGCCTTTTTTAGAACATTGATTCACTGCATCACAGTCAGGAATGGAACAACTTGGTCCAGACCAGCCACTCACGCATTCACAAGTATCAAAAGCAATACACCGTCCATTTCCTACAATAATAATATTATAGATGTAATATAATTACATCAAACGTTCATAATTAGTTTATTTATTTTGCGAATATCAGCAAACTAGGCAATTAGTTGTTCTGCTTATAGCCAATGTGACCTTTTGGGATAATAATACCCAACCAATAATACCTGAGCAATAGCCAAGAGATTCACATGAAGTTACAATACATGAAGCTCCACTATATCCAGTGTCACATTTACATTCGTCAATTCCGATACAAACTCCATTTGAAGAACAATTGAGGACGTTGTAGCAGTTTGCGATGGTAGCGCAACTTGGGCCTGAGAAAAGTAATCAATTAGCGTCCAGTGAAAATTTCTAGCGAAGATATGATACTTTAATATCTTTAGTTATTGTGGTCATGTGCCGATCAAATTATAAAGATTCGACATTTCGCAGAAGTTTAAACAGTGTATGGAAATGAATAGCACGCATTTCCAATTACACACATGTCGTCAGTACTTCTTTAAAACCATATTACACAGGTCATCCCCCGCCCCAAAAAAACGAAATCGTCAGTTTTTATGCTATAATTCATTGAATATCGAGTCTAACGAGTTCATTTGTTAATTTTACATAGCAAAAAGATCAGTTATTTAGCTTTCTCACAATATCTTTTTTTATGATATGATAAAGGATCAGTGCTATATAATACTTTTCCTTGTATAAAATAATCTACAACAGCTGCATATTTACCTGTAAAACCTACGTTGCATTCGCAAACATCTGTTGTCTTACATATTCCATGAACTTCTGACGTGCAGTTATCAACAGCAAAACATGTCGCTTTCCTATCACATTCAGCCCCTTCCCAACCAATGTCACATTTGCAAAATCCTTCTACACACGAACCACGTGAGCAGTTTCCACAGCTGCCAATAGTACAATCATCACCTGACCAACCTTCAAGACATCTGCACGTTGCATTCAGACAAAGACCTTTTCCTGTGCAGTCATTAGGGCAACCTGCAAACGTTTTTTAGCATTCATTAGAAAGTGGAAAAAAGAGCGACTTATTATTATTATTTGAAATGTTGAAAATGATTTTTTGATATTTTTACAGAAGGATCCTGATTTAGTGTAGAAAATTTTTCACCATGACTACTGATCGACATTATTCAAGATTACGTCATTTACGTGAGTGACAACACTATTGCGCTTAGATACAGCGAATTTTCCTAATGCATGGGATTGCATCTGACTTTCTGCTACAAAGAGCTGTGGCGCATGCATGGCTATGGCTGTTCGTCTAGGGAATTATTTTCTCTTTTCCTTGAAGTCGGATTGCGAATAGAAAAAATTCAGCATTAGTTATATACTGTATGCAACTTAAAGTGGTATAAAAAAATCATTACCCATACCTATTTGCAAAGATTGTTGATCTGCAAACGATGTGTCGTTTGTCATCAAGATGTCGAAAACACAGTTGTCCAAAAGTGTATTCTCCAGTCCATTTCTGTTGCAAACGCCTTTTGCTTCCTGAAAATGAAGAAGAGAGTTCCACCCTTTAAAACTTTCTCCTCTTTGGAACACAGTATGTTTGGCACTTTATAACCTTAATAAACATGCATATTTTTAAAAATGGAATAATGTTACTTACTTCTACTTGGTTTTGTGAGAAGTTATCTAAGGTATACAGAGGTGTATGTTCTTCATTTGTATACGACGAATCCATTACATCTTCGGCATGAAAATTTGAAGAATTCCAATTCCAACTGTTTACCAGGCCTGATCCATTGCGACTTCCTGTTATTCGCCCTGCAGAATTATTTCAAACTAATAGTCAAGTAATATCCTTGATTATGGGAAGTAATTAATACTCGACGAACTAGTAAAGCTATGGAAGAAATCAAGTGAAGAAAAATTACGAGCTCACATGATTCAGCAAATTCAATGGTATCATTTTTATTATACTGTTCACCATTTGGACCAATCAAATCGTTGGTTTCATCATCGTCCATGAATCCACATAAACCTTCAGTGGCTTTGGTGAAGTCAGCATTTGGTATAAAATTAACGTTAAGATAATGACGTGACATTACTGGGCTGTATTCCGCCTCGACAGACACCGTGACCCCTGAAAGATAAAAATAGAGTTCATCGTGAGGAGGAGAATGCAATGATGCACTTCTACGACATTTTTCAATGTAACGCTAAACATCTCATGGGAAAATCTCATCTTAATTCCTGGAAAAATTAAGTTTCGTGTGACACCCACAGACTGTCTTTTAATTATTAATACAATGCCGCTCTTTTATTTATCAATGATCTCCTTTAAAGGTTTTTTTGTATCCAAATATTTCACACGTATTAACAAGATTAATAAAACTGCAGTAAAACACAATGATCAACAACTCACCAGATTTATATTGAAACGACATGATTATAACCTGCGCTCCATTGCTCTCGGTTCTATTTTCTGGATTGAAGATATTAAGCTTTATGGAATCGTTGGCAAATGATGGTTGTGCATTATTTCCAGAGAAATTCTGCAAGGCACCATTGACTCTGTAAAGTATCGATTAAATAATTTACTCGATCATAATAAAAATATTTTACGAGGTCCTATATTAAAACAGACTTTAGTCTAGATCAAAATTCAAGAATATTACTTGAGTACCTTAGCATTGGTAAATCGCCGGGTGACGAAACTGGTAGTGTTGTTATTGTAACGACGTTCTCTGCCACTTTAAGAGCAACTGCTCCAGTCAGAGAAGCTCCTTTATAACCAAAGAATCGTATTTGCATTCCGAAGTCATTTTTGATACTTTTGCAATTCCAGAATTCTCCGATACCAAAATAGTCAAACTCGACTCCTGCAATGTATGTTAAAACACTATGTTTATGACAATTTTGTTTCTTTAGGAAAGGCGAGCCTAATACCATAATACGTGCACGCATCATACATTTGGATCGACTGAATTCAATTCAGATTCTCTACTACAATTGCATGCTACTCCTCTCCTGTTGTTAACATTGACTGTATCTATTCATGAAATGCTATAAACTAAATACAAACCATCAAGAGTTTGTAAATGGGGATCTCCCCACCATCGAACGGGCCTACGTCTTTCGCAGCATCGACCTTGCCAACGCCTTCGACACAAACATCTTGAGCGACAAGAAGAGTCAGTCACACAAAAGCCATTTCCTGAACATCCTTTAAAAATAGATACAGTAAAATATCAACACGAAAATTGTAATAGTCAACTGAATTTAATGTCGTAGGATTTCGCCGGAGATGGCATATAACATTGTAAAAAGATATAGAAAAACAGATTCCGAAAATTATCTGCATAGAAATGGGGTTATAAGACTTCTATAGGAATATTTTTACCCAATTGCACGTAGACAACTGAAAAAAATTCTTTACTATCCTAAGACAACAAAAACAACGGCATTTACCTTGGCATGGCCAACAGTCAGGTAGCTGACAATTTGGTCCTTTACGACCAATGACGCACACTGGTGGAACACCGCAGTTAAATTTCTCTCTGCATTTACACTTTTGATCAATCCACATTGGCTCCTCACCGTCCTCGCATACTGGACACCTTGCGAAAAAGGCATGATAATGATATGAATTAAATACAGAATTAAAGCGGGAAAATATTTTTATAAAATATTCTGCTAGACGGCGATGTAAGAAATCTCAAAAGAAAGCATAAGTATATCATTGCTGGAATTAAAAATCTATGTTAGTTATTTCTATATCACATTACAATCGAGTGATCAATCTCATGCGTTCGAACTCTTTACTCGGCTGGCAGGAAAATTTGCTTAGCGTGCAGTTGGTGAACAAAAAATTTATGTAGGGAAATTTATTGACTGATGAATCCCCCTCTAACCATCCTCGTACCCAGGGAATTTGGCCCTACATGCGTTCTAACAAGGGTGACTCTTGATTGATAAAAAAGCAGAAGAGCGATACCTTGTCTTATCTCAAGGTCATCTTTCATGAAATTACTTACTTTTCCTCACATTTGCAACCAAAAGGCCCACGAGTTGACTCCAAAAATCCTTCACACGAGCATTTACATGGACAGGAACCATCCCAGGCAATCGTGTCTTCGGTGCCGTCTTCGCACGAACACGAACACTATTATAAAGAGAAAAATATTTATCAGCCTGTAATTTACTAATAAAGCACCTACTGTTGACACTCCTCGCTGATTAATGCCTTTGGCGACAATGGCTAAGTAAAGGGATTTTAAATCTACTACAGGATTTATTGCAGATCTTTAGATTCTGTAGTTATGCAAAATTTTCCAAAATTGTCAGATATAGAGATGCTAATTATGACGTCATACAGCAAGGTGATGTTTCTACCAATGCTATTGTTCCCTCATTCTATTGTAGCGTTTTGTAGCGTATCAAAAATTGGGCGTAGTGTAAATGAGGCTTTAATTACTGGGCAAGATCCATCGGTATTCATTTCTTTTTCGGTGTTATCTTTGCACAAACATGGACATTCTGGTTTGTTGCCACTTCTTTTTCGTTTCACGGAATTATCTGGACACATTTCACACTTGCAAGAACCATCTGGCATCTAAGAAGAGAAAAGATTAATTTCTTGTTGGTCCAATTATCTATGCATGAATGTGAAATTTTACATTAGACTCGTACTTAACTAGTTCAAGAGCTTTTTGGTATGACTGCATAGGCATAATCATAAACATACCTTTACACCTTTGAGTGATGATGAATCACCTGGAATGCAGTCACATTCCTCTTCGCAGTCTTTAGTTTTTGGATCAATCTTGCCAGGTTTGCCATCTTTAATGCAACATGGCACTTTAATCGGACCGGTGGAGAAACATTTGCTGTAAAATATTGAGACGATTGAAACATGCTGCCTATCGGAACGGAATATAGTACGCGGAAGCATTTTTAGGGAAATTAGTCCACCTCATGCATGCATAATAAGCAATATTAGCTTTGGAGACAGAGCTATGATATTAGCTTTGATAGATTTGGAAACAGAGAATCTAGTATATGAACTACTCTGCCCATTCCAACCGAGTGATTCGGCTGTTTACCATGCATTCGCGCTTCTGTTTTCTTCAATAAGCCGAAACCTGCATGGGATAGGGATTTTCAACCACGGGTTTCTTGGTAAATGACTGTAATTCAGTCATTGTAATTGATGCCATATGAAAAGAAACGTATTTAGACCTATGTACCTTTGAACGTTCTCATACACTGGAATTCCAAAAAGTTTAAAATTTTTATTGTATGGGCCAATGTTGACGGTTAAAGATCCAGAGATCTTGGGCAATCCTCCACGGAAAGTAGCCTCTATGTTTCCCCCTGAGTCAGGGCATTTTTCGGTACAAAATTTCGCATTCAGCGATGTAGTTAATGGTGCTGTTAATTTGAAGACGAAGAGCGATGGGATATTCGAGCTATTCTTACCACCTGAAAATGAGTAACATAATTCAGAGTTCCATTATATTAAAGGGGGTTGAATCGCGAGTCATAGAAGATGTTTGGACTTCATTTTTCTATACCCCTTCAGAAGTATTACAATACCTAAAATTTTTCGAAGAATCCGTACTGCCTTTTTCTTCAACCTTCTGGGAATCACCGATGGCCAGTGGGCTTCAAACGTTGGCGTAAGAGATGCTGAGACGGACGCTGATGCCTCTTTTAAGCGTGCTTTAAACGACGGTTGCGTTGAACCTCCCTGTAGACAGATTTTATACGCAGCTGAATATTATTATTCAAAAAAAACAAGACACATGCTCTGGCCTTTTTAAAATTGAGCTAGAATTAATATTTCTTCAAAAGGCGTTAGGAGAACTGTCTGACAATTTGATTGTGATTAGTGAAATTGCAACACGGGACAAAACTTTCACGCGAAAATTACGATCACATACGTTATCTCAACACAGCGTCGCTTTTTACAACCGGACAAGCCCTGCATGGGTACCAAATTTTACCAATTGCTTTGGATTTTTGCGCAAAAGCATGATTACGATGAAGAATAGTTGTACCTTATTAAAAATTCGCCGAACTCCATGACCTTTATGCCACTCACCACCAGCCGATATTGAATACCTTGACGTCAAACTTGCAGATAACGAGGCAGAAGCCTGAAAATTGGGATGTATAAAAGAATTCAAGATCAAGAGCAAAAATCTGTCTTTGAAAAGTCGAGGGGGTGAATGGATGGACCAAGTTGTAGTGACAGTTTTCCTATCAAAACGTTTTAAGTCCCCCCATCGTCCCCTATAGGATTTGCGCCCTTGTTCATAATGTGTCTTTCTGGCCAGAGAACTGTTGCAGTATCATTTGGTCATGATCATGTCTGTTCAATAACGAAACACGTTAGAATAATAAAAATTACTGTGATTTGTGGCATATTTACCGAAGCGGAGACACTTGCAGAAGCGCCAATATTCAATCTGAACACTCCGGGTACACACACTGCTCCTATTATAGGAATACAGAAGCGGCCAACTTCTTTGTCGACCAGTTTCTTACTCCACGGTTTCGAATAGCTTCATAAATGTTGAAAATAAAGGTAATTATTATTAATTAAAGTACTACCTACACGAGTACACTAACCTATACTACATGCACACACACTTATTCAACCGTTCACGTTGGTCATATTCGGCAAATTTTCTCCCGGTAAAGAGGGCTCAGTTTTTCAGCGGTCTTCGCATAAAAAATTAAAAGCTTTTCGTTTTACGCCTTGCTCTCAATTTTATGTAAGTTGTCCGCTGACAATATGAGCCTGCACGAGTGGGAGAAACTTAGCTAAGTTGGACCAGCGTGGTTAAAGGCCGGCGCACACTAGAGCTATGTGCTTAGCAAAAAGTCATTCGTGCCTTTCGTGGCCATCGGCGTAAGCCAGTTGCTCTCGTGTGCGGGCAACTTTTCCAGTGACTTTCGTCATTCGTGCCAAAAGTCGCCGGAAAAGTCGCCCGCACACGAGAGGAACTGGCTTACGCCGATGGCAACGAATGACTTTTTGCTAAGCACATAGCTCTAGTGTGCGCCGGCCTTTAGTTTCAAGTTTATGAAAAACTAAATAGAACAGATTTGGCAGCCCGATTTTAGTCCGGGTATATATACTGTAAACCAAAATGTTTGCGCTTACCTCGCAGTAGGATCAAAATTGCAGTTGAGATTTAATTTCATATTGCCAAATAAAGTGATCCCAACTGACTTCAGCGTAGAATAAGATGTCTGAAGGCTGATTTTTACCCCGGCATCAAATTCGACGCTTGCACCAAGTTTCACATATCGTCCAATCTGTAATCAGGAAAACGTGCTTAAAATATGTTTGAGTATGCTCATATATTTTAAAAAATTGATGCATGGATTTCCATCCATCAATTTTATTGGAATCTGTTTCTTTTATTGGGCATTCATGAAATTATACCTTTTTAGTTGCACTTTTCCTAAACCTTGCTCTTGTTGTCAAGCTAAATCTCGCCCGCTTTCGCCGACGAGGAGTAGTATCACTGATGTTAAATTGTTCTGTGACATTTCCATCTTTGACTGAAATTAGTGGCATCAATTCCACAAAATAGTTTTCATTTTCTGTGTAAAAGCTGAGAACCTTAAACAAAGTCATGGGTGCGAAATAAGCGATAGTTTTACGTTAAATTATTTCATAAAATAGTTTTGTCAGAAGCAAATATAGCCAGGAAGCAGGGTGGCGTGAAATGTGGTATAATTAACAGCTGTCTGAAAGACATTAAAACACCTCGTTTCGACGTAAGGACCTTCGTCAGAAAATTTATTTGGTGAGGAGTGCATGTTTTTTCATATAGGCGAAGCATTCAAAAAGAATAAAATTTACTGACAACGCGGTGTGAATAAAGATATTTCACTATAGTTTTTTAAGACTTTTTCACTTTTCGGAAAAACTGGCATGTAGCACCCGACTTAGTGTTGAAAAAAGCTGTGCGAGAACAAATATCGTCAGAAGAAAGCCAGGAATGTAAAATGTTAATGCATGAAGGATGGGCTTGAAGAATAAATATTTACACTCACCTTTCCAAAAAATGCACCACTTTCTCTTCCAACAATTATATCACCGATCGTAACGTTACCAACATTCTCTGCTATCTTTAAACCAAGAAGATCGTCTCCACCCAAACAAGAGCTAGTTGACTCTTCCAAAATTTTATATCTGGAAACAAACATGTAAACATGTATTCAACTTTTGCTAAGATTTGAACAAACATAAATAGAAAAAAAGTTGAAATCGTATGGTTGAGATGAAAAAAAGTTCGTTCCCTGAAGGATGCCACACTTACAACGACTACATTAATTTTTTTCTGGAGAGTGATCTGTGGAAACGTTACAACTAAAAAATATAGCTGTAAAACAACCTCTCTCTGATTATTTATTATAATTTAGGTATTATAACAATGCAGGTGTGATGAAATTGCGGTATGGCTTATCTACCGCCGTCTATTCCAGCAGTCAATTGGAAGAACTGGGTTGGAATGATCTAATCCAGCAATGCCAATTTCAAAATGTGTCAAATGTTTCAAATTGAACACTATTAATGTTTAAATCCTGGAATAATCTTCGACAAAAGTAGCCATGGTCTAAATTTTACCTATCCAATGATGTTACTCTTTACATTTTCCGAGACTAACTATTGATGTCAAATCTTGTTAATTATTCAATCTTCCATAATAAGCGTCCATGGAGGTTACTATGTGGCACTACGGAAATGGCTTGCCATACGTATCCGGAAACGTTCAGACTTCAGGCCTCAAATTAACGAGAATTTAGACATGGATCTATCAAGCTTAGCTATATACGGGGCTTTACGGGTATCTTTTTTCATCTGAAAACTATACTTACTTCTTCAAATTTGAAAAACCCTGGCTACATGCTGTCAGTTCAGTATAAACAAACATGACATCTTCCTCTTGAATAATGTCCGTAATGGTCTCTAGAAAACCGTCGCTGCTATTGCCAACAAGAACATGACCAACACTCAAATTTCCATCGATGGATGTCATGGGAATGACCAAGAAGAAAGTTGTGACCTCTTCATTATCATCAGTCGTGTAGGTTCTTGCTAAACATTTATATACGTTTTTGCCTGATCCTATCAGATAAAGTAAAAACATTCATCTAAGATTTTAAAACTTAAGTTGGAAAAAAAATTATTGGCATGATTCCTAAAAATTTCGGCAACAAATATACCCAACAATACAAGATTCATTATTCATTTCTCTCTATAAAATCGGTTTTTGCTGGAGCAGTTTATTTATATGAGCGAAATGCAATTATGTGACACAACCATTGAACTAAGCAGTAACTATATGTACATGCAACCTACCAGTAGAAATATGATGTACTTTTGTCCCGTTAATTTGGGAGTCTCCTGAGAGAACATCTTGCAATAAGCTGTCATCAGGACGGTCTTCAAATAAGTCTTGAACTAACACGCTCTGAAGTCGAACCTCTTGATTGAAATCACTGTAGGAAATTGCCTCCTCCAGTGTTGCCGGAATTACGCTCATGAGAACATGTTGATCTATATAGAAGAAATAACGAAGCGTTGTTAGGGAAGATTATCGCGCACGCATTACGCAAAGATTTCTCCTCTTCAGCGGCGTCTCAATGGGAAGACGTTGTGATTGTGTAATGCGCGCCGGGACCGCTGAATCGCAGTAATTTGTATTTTGAAATGGGACGGGTTAGTTCAAGGAAATTCGAGAAAAAATAACTTTAGTTTAAAGCGTAGAATATTTGTTTACTTTCTAAATAAATTAAGTGATAATTTAAATGATATTTCAAAATATCACTGTTAAAGCTCGTTAGCTACAATCAGTGTGCAGTCAATTACCGCCATACCATGCAGTAATTTGTCTTCTTAAATAGAATGGGTTAGAGAAAGAACTTCAGTTTAAAACGTATAATGTTTGTTTACCATTTATAATTAATATCAATTAATAAATCTTGGTAGCTACAGTCAGTATGCGGTCAATTTTCCACCATACTTAAAACATTTGAATCATTGAATGATTCACTGGACCACTTTCTAGTTAATATGCTCCCCTTCTTCACAAACGATTTTCTTAAGAAATGCCCTGACCTGTGAATGCAATATCTTTGATTTTGTGAAACACTCCCTCTGCTTGTGTGCTTGATATGATGTCTCCTTTTTCCAATTTCATGCTGCTTTGTTTTGTCACAATAACGAAGCCCTCTTCAACTGGACAACCATATAATTTCAAGTCATCGGAATTGATTAGTTTTACATTTGACATCGTTACGACTTTGTCAATCCGCGAAGTGTCTTCGTAGTCCTTCAGTACAAATCCTTTTGTACATTTCCTTTCGTCCCACCCATAACATATTGGTGATGTGGAATTGTCCTGAATGCAGATTAAAAAATTTAATATGTTTGCGTAATTGATCTGATGGTGCAGACTTGAACAAAATCCTGGTTGGATTAATTCATCTTCGGGTCAACATATTGGCGCTTTTCTTCTCGAGCAAATAGGACTTTAAGCGCATATTGAAAATATGATCTTACTATATAGCATCAGACATTTAAATTCGAACAGCTATAACAATAACATAGCCAAAAGAAATATTAAAAAGTCATACTGTATTGTTGTAATTATAGCAGCGTTCCAAATCTTTGCATTGCTGACAACTTCCTTTGTTTGACCGCGACTGGTCAAGATTGCACAAATTTGTGCTGCAGTCGATAACCTGCAATAAATAAACATGTATTCAATAAATATACATTCATATTAATGCTTTCAATTTTTGGAACAGCATTTCCACATCGGCAATTCGATGTATTGCCAATATTTTTATCAACTATAGCTACTAACTTTTATAGCACTAGAACATGACGGATTTCGTCCAACACTAATACAGTTGTGATAAAACCAAGATTTGCACTGCCCAATGTCCGCTTTATAACCTGTGCCAGGTAAACATTTCCGCGTGTTGTCGCACCAACCACATCCTCTGCGTGAGAGACAACTTTGACAAGTTCTGAACGGCAGACAATAACTAACGGTGCAACCACGACCCTAAAACGATATGTAAAAAAGAACACTGTAAACTTACCGACCGATAAATCTAAATGCAAATATGGATCCAACTGCCTCCTTGTAGAAATTAATGTACCGAAATGCTTGAAAAGAAAGACTGTTTCGATAGTTCTTTAATGTGGTAAAAAATTATTCGGCGATTATACGTTGCTCTCATATTATTCTACCCATTAATGGACTAACCTTCCATCCTATGCGACATTTGCAATGATTTGGTCCAATGCAAGTTCCAAAGGTCCCACAATTACCAACATCTTTACAGTGATATGACGAACAATCAGCTCCTTCCCATCCATTATTACACTTGCATGTCTGTCCCAGACAAATTCCGTTGAGAGAGCAGTCGTTGATGCAGCGAACACCTATAAGAAAGAACTGTTTATACTTAACTATTTATGATTTAGAGTAAGATATCTTCTATAGAAACTCTTTTAACTTCTCCTAGTTTCTAATCGAAGTGAAAACGTTTCAGGACACGTCCGTTTCGTTTCTTACGGGTAAACTGATTTTGCTTGTACATTCATTTGTTTCTCCTTCTCGACTAGCCAACTGCAGTGATCTGCAATTGCTCCGCTCCAGTAGAAAACAACCTCGCGATATTGACATCCACCTAAATGCTCTTTATTGAACTGGTATGTCAACTTTAAACAGCATGCATGACGTATCCGTGTCGTAATCGGTCGTAGTTACTTCACAACAGAAATTACTCAACTTGAACTATACTGTGAACTAGGCCTAAGTTAAAATTACAGTTTAAAATAAGCCTAAAACGTACACTGAAACTATAGATCTGTCAAAATTCTAGGCCTAATTGCGCATTGATTGTTGCTGTGGAGCACTATGGCAATTTTCTTGAAAAGCTTATATGTTCTTCTGAGGCACCCTCATTAACATTTTCGTAGATGCAGTACTGCAAGTAGAGACGTTTTCGGTCTAACCTATTATTTATAATGTCTTTATTAATAATTAGTTTTCGAATGTTTGCAAGGCTTTTTTGATGGCTAGGTCACAAAACACAACATTGACGAGATTTTTAATTTAAGAGTAGCATAATTAATAGATGTTTTACTTAATATAATTAGATTTTATATTTATAAACAATGCATATAATTTTGAAACATACGTTTACTCTTTTCGCATATTGTTGGATTTTTTAAGTCACATGATGCTTCTTTTATTGTGCCATCAAACATCCAACATCTGTTATTCTGGAATGGAATCGAATCCTGTAAAAAGAGTGAATATTAAATAATTATATACATGCACACAGTTGATGTTTGCCGATAAAATTTCGTGTGAAAACAAAAGGAAATCCGCCAACAGATTATCACAGTATATTAGCTAGCTAGTATATATAAACACTCTCTTATTATGTAACTCGATCAAAACACATGCATTTGCAATATGTATGACTATTTGTTCCTAACTGCAAATTGATCATGCAATAAACTAATATTAACTGTTCTAATGCTAAATATACCTGTGTTAAGACGTCGATCCAAATATTTGACCGTGTTCCATATGCCCATTTCGAATGCAACTTGTGTAACACTTCGGATGATTGAATTTGGTTTTCGTGAAAAGCAAGCATTTTCCCACCAATTTTCTACAGTTCGTATAGAGTAATAGAATTAAGAAGTCTGAGAATTAGAGTATATTGAATCACGATACCATCTTATTTCTAAAACAGCTATATCGCAGACACAATTTCTGTCCTGCACGTTTTGTTTTTTTTCAAACAAAACCTTGAATTCACGCATTTTAAGTAAAAAGTGGTATTTATCGCAGATTGCAGCTATACTCGTTTCTCTTTAAAAAAATTTCAATTACATTATTCTCGCGATAGGCACTCGTGAATGCACTCATTAATTCGTTCTGACTGAAGTATAACCTTGACGATAGAGCAGATCGAATAAAATTATAAATACTGTAGACGCCTCAAATTATCCGCCAAAAAATTCAAATTACACCACGTGATCAGACATTTATTTATGACATTCCATCCGAGGTTGCTCACATGATAGTAAAAAAGTCGTATACCACACTGCAGCAGGGTATTCCACTTTGCGTGTACTATGTATGTGTGGATTCAAAACGGAGAGAGCAAATCACAAATCTTGTTTCCCGTAGTTGTCTTGATATAATGTATCATATAATATAATAATATGTTTTAAATTTATTTATTCAGAGAAATCGATAAAATATTAGTCCCTGGTGATGATACTTTTCCATTGTTAGCATACACGGTAAAATTTTATCGAATTCGCCCCATTCCAGGGCTACCTATAGATAAGTAATAAAAATAAATCATAACCTTGCACATTTCTTTGGACTTCGTAAAACTATGAGGACTTCTAAGATTTTTGTAGCATTTTCTGTCCAAGTGTATCCAATCAAAAGGACATAATCCTAAAAGAAAGAAAAGTTGGACAAAGTTATCCTGGCACGTCTTGATTACGTTTGGATACGTAAAATAGTATGAGACAATCTCAAGTTAGCTTCCTCGAGATTCTAATTCACAAAAAAACTAGTAATTTATTTATTTGAAGGTCCACCACTTGTTATTTTAAGTGAAAACCTTTCGTAGTGCACCTTTAAACAAATATTTCAAGTGGGCTAATCCATTTTCGACATCCTCAAACATTTGGGACTGCACTTTGTAGTAACTGTAGTCACGATAGTTACCGTACGATCGGTTACTTGCCTGTTGAGAATATTAGTGTTGGTGTCGTTAAGAAAGGTTGATATATTACACGTGGTAATCCGGCATATCTTCTCTTATCCTTTATTTTCCTCATGATCACGTTAGGATCCACGTTGCCCCACCAATTATTTGTGGCATTTATAACGATGTTACTAGAACTGCTTGGCAAAGTACTTAGTTCAAACAAATTAGTTGGGTTAACCATAGAGTTCTCGTTGATCATTTCACGACCGTTTGGTTGAATCAGCAGTGTATGTAAATATCCCCTATTCAACAGAAATACATTTCTGGTAACAGTAGACGAGGTGTTCAGACTTTTGGAATTAACCAAATTAAATGCAATTTCTGCATTGTTTTGGTAGAACACGTTGTCTTTAGCGACGGCATTCATGTTTTTTATTACAACCAGTCCGTGTGGGTAAGAAATATCGTTTCGATTAAAGTAGTTTCCAGCCATAAGAAGTTCACTAGACGTGCCACTTCCAACAGCAACTACATGAACGGACTCGCTGCTGTTGGCATTACCGGAAATGACATTATTAACTATATTTATCACTCCTGGTTTATCGTAAAGGTAGATGTGGATCCCCCCTCGATTGACACTGGAAAATACCGTGTTTGAGATCTCTACTGTGTCGTTGTTTCTAACCAACATTTCAATTGATGCCGTATTTGGTTGATTTTTGTTCCCTTGTAAAGTCACGTGGCTACGTTTAATCGTTACTGTGCTGGCGAGTTCAGGATCTGAAGTGTAATGAACCGCTGAACCAGAAATTTCTTGAAAATTACATTCTTCAATATTAACGTTGATCTCCGGTTTTTGTTTGGACCTCCCTTAAAATACATTCAATGCGATTTTATAAAAAAGATAATAGACATCACTTAGGGTATTTGGTTCAGTTCCTAGTTTTTAGTTCAGGTCTGCTCTTTTATGGCTCTTTCCGGTGTACACGGACATGAACTTTCATAAACCGCACAGGTTTTTTACATGATCCACCTATCATGGCAAAAATTTCCCTGGGGCTACCTCTCCTGCGGTAGCCGTCGGTATATTGTGGAGTTAAATTTTGGGAGCTATAGCTATATATTTCAGTATCCATCATAGTTTATATCATTTCCAAATTTGACGCTATTCGCGGCTTCATTAATTAGTCCACGCGCATACATGACATACACGGAAGAGAAATTGCACAAAGAAAGTTGAATGATGCATATTATCCTTAAAATTATAATATAATTACAAGGGGGTCACGTTTTTGAATTCTGCATTTTTTTTCAAAATTTTTGAAAATGGCACGCGACGTATGAGTATATGATTGTCAAAAAATTTTTTTGCAATAAAAAGATTCCGAAGAACAAAGCATGAATAAAACTGGAGAGATCATACAGATTTCAGTCAAAAATCTACCTCAATATATTCGCCTTTCTTGTTTATTTACTCATATCTTGAATTTTACGTCTAGAAAGTTGACCAAAGTTCTAAGTATATACAAGAGATTCCTACCTGTTTCACCGATAACTGTAATTTCAGCTAAAAATCCTCGTAATGTTGATATGTCTGCCTCTATCAACACTGAATTTGATGGAATCACAATAACTTTGTCTTCATATTGATTAACGTTCCAATCGTATATCCTTGCGATCATCGAGGAACGATCACCATTATAGACATTTACAGTGTATGAACTTCTCACCCAGGATAGCAGTCGGAAATGAATTATTGTATTTCTCGGAGATGATATTTCTAAACCACAAAATATGTTTGTAATTTTATCCTTTTCACTTAGATAAATATATGATTCATCGTCCACGTAGACTTTTTGAACGGAATTGCACAAATTGTGGCCTAGATAAGGATACATGAAGGTGATGTTTTTAATTGGGGAAATCGCAATCGCATGTTGCTTTCCTCTTTTAAATGAACACCTGGAGATTGAAACTGATCCTTTGTTGCCCAGAATAGATATTGCTGGAAATTTCAAACCGCTTTCTACGTTAACATTTTCAAGGGCCATGGTATGTGTGTGCGCAATTATCTTAATTCCGTTACTTTCTCTAATATCGACATGTGCTATAGATGGCGAACGTCGTATAACCTGAATTGAGGGAGCATCTTCCTCATGCAAAATACCCGCGTGGTGAATAAGAATATTTCTCAATAACGATTGTTCGTTTTTCTCTCCATAACCAGTTGAATTGATAAAGTTTTGATGGATAATTCGCACGCCGCCCCATTTAAAGTTTCTCTCACATTCGAGGATAACTCCGTGATGCCTACTATGACCCCACCACCAGCCACCGCCACAGTTGCTAATACTCTGGTTCTTACAGTTTAATAAAGAAGTTTCATTACCGCGACAGTTCCAGGAAACTTTGTAATGAGGACTATTATCATAGTATCTTGAGTAATGATTGATATATCTGCCATAACCTAATTGTCTGCAGACAACTGTCCCATCGTTGGATGAAAAGTAAGAAAAACATACGCTCTGCCAAATGCCATCAACAAGTACTTCAACTTTTCCCTTATGTTCATAGTCTCCACCAAAAAGTCGAACTCTGCTTTGCGACCTCTTTTCGCACTTATTTTCCAAAGAGCAGAACGTTATTTTTTCATTCGTTGTTCCACGGGCGATGATATTTCCAAGAACTAGCAAACCAATGTGTGGTTTAAAGTACAATTGAACGCCTGGCTCAATATCCAGTGTGGCGTTTTGGGATATTATTAAATCGTTCATAACGACATATGGACTGTTTACTGCAGTCAGATTCAGTGAAAAATGAACATATCCACCAATCTGAGATTGATTGAAGTGTGTATGTGGCTTCGGCTTTAAAATGGCTGTGAAGTTTCGTGTAGCAGCAGCTGGAAGATACTTTATTCTTGGTCTGTCACTCCAATTATCAAAGTGAAAAATCCTTTCCGTCAAGTGTTTCCTGGATGACGTGCCCCAGTAATTAAGTGTAGCATCAATTGTATTTGAAAGGTAATTCGTACCGCATGTAAGTCCGACAAACAACTCTTTCTTCATTTCTTCATTATTAAAAATATTCCCATGAATATCATAAAGGTTAAACATGCATCCAAAAAGCCCAACTGTGTAAGAGGTGATACCTGCCTCAATATATTTCTGATTATTTGAGGGCACGCCTTCATTGTGTTCCAAGATGTTGTTTTTTATCATAAAAGTTTTTGGCACCCGATTTGACTGAACATCGACTTTTATCAAAAACGAGCACTTGTTTTTGATGAAGGTGTTATTGCTGATATCGGTGATTATACTTCTTATTTGTTTACCATAGAAGTCTATCAACCCCTCTCCTGCTGGAAGAGAGTTGTTTACAAAAATGTTTTTTATAATTGATATTGAGGTTTGCAAACTTCCCATAGAAAAAACGCTGCATCGCAACAGCGTTCGCCGATTCTTAAATATTAAATTCTTGTCGAGAGAAAATGAGAAAACTGTTTTTGTGGGATCTGGTAGATCTATCTCAAATCCATAATAAGTGGTCTGTGAAATGCTGCATTCACTGACGTATAAATCGATTGCCAATCTATCATAATAATATTGATAATGGTATCCATAATATATTCTTCCGTTTTCGTGCAAGATGCAACGGTGAAGAGATACGACCCGTTTTTGTTGTAAGTAATGATAATAATCATAATTTCTGAAATGTATTACAGCATACGACATTCTACGGATGACGCAGTTTTCCAGTTTCAGGTAATTTAAGTGAGAATTTGCAAAGAAATCGTTCGAATAATAATTATGTTGTACGTACACAGCAGTATTACCATCTGTTATCGTACAATTGTCTAGAGAAACATTTGTAGAGCGATGATAGCCGTAGATGCCATAGGTGTTACCTTTCAAGGTGACATGTTGCAGTTTGAGATATCTTATACCACCGCTTTGATCTCCTCGAATGCCATAGTAATTATTGAACAGCGAGCCAGCAAATAAAATTGCAGTTGCAGGTTCATTTTTGAACCAAGAAGCGTCATTGCCTAAACGAAATTTAGAATGAATTTAGATTGGGCGCACGTGTGCCACTATTGAGCAGTATATAAAAGTTGGATTTAAAAAGTCATAAAGCAAATGCCCCGTTTCGGTATTAATTTTTGTTTGTATCCGCAAACATTTCGTTGCGCTATGAAAACATTAGTATGCTTACGCTTTTGTTGCATTATGGAGCGTCTTCGCGTATCTTACAGTTCGCAATACGGGCATATTTGACTTCATGCAATATTTTATCAACACCCTTTGGAAAGGTCAGTAGTGGCCGTACTCAGTTATTAACTACATGCAGATATGGTAAAAATAATAAAATTTACCTTTCGCACTGACGATAGCAATTCTAATATTTGTACCACTGGAATAAGCCTTTCGCCAGTAACGTACGGTTAAATAACCAGGTCCAAAGTTGTACGCATCGCTGTGGCTAGCGTTAAAACTTATGTTTTTTGATGAATTTACTTTTGACGCAGTAATTGTGAGTGCTTCAACATCTGATATCTTCATGACTGTAGTTAAGAAAGCTTCCGATAAAAGTGTGATGTTGAAAATGCATTCAACATTTGTGGAGGAATAGGATGTAGTTCTCGACGTGGTAATAATCTGCATGTCTTCTCTACCAATGGTTATTTCTCTATTTTGCTCGCACAATGAAATTTCCTTTCTCAACATAATGTCTGGCAGGATGGAATCAATGTATTTAATTTCACGATCATCAATAAATGATCGGATGTCAATTCTTTGGATAAAAACGGCCGTGTTTTTGTTAAAAATGCCACAATGGTAACAGTTTAGTGACGAGAATATCTCAATTCCATTGCCACTATCTCTATTTCGATTTTGAATCAGTATATTTGCCATGTTAGAATCAGGAGCTTGGAAAGCAATTTTAATTCCACCGAAAGATTCGCGAATTTCTACATCTTTAATGACTTGTCTCAATACGTCAAAATGCAAGACATAGCGACTTATATGAGGTTGGGTATTACCTCCACCATGTTCAAATTTTACATGGGATATTTGACTTGCTTTTGCGGTTTCCCGAAATCGTATTCCGCGCCAAGAGCCAGGATTACAACGTACAGTCCATAGACTACTATAGCACGATACACCCCAGCCTTCGAAAGGACAACTACCAATATCATAATGAGTTCCTGAATTGCATCTTAGATTTCCCCACCAAACTGGCTTTGCACTACCAGAACTGGGCGTATAACGATAACTGCTGATATAACCCTCAAATCCCAGCTGTTTGCATAAGACAATACTGTTAGCATACGAGTTATAATTATCACATATTGTTCCCCAGGTATTGTTATAAAGTATTTCAACAATACCCTCCCATGGTTTTGAACCATTCACAAGACGAATCGGATATTGTCCAAAGCTGGAAATTCCATCCAATCTCGTCGCAATATCAAATTTAATTGGAGCACTTAATTCTCCAAGTAACTCAAACTTGCCATAAACATGAAATCCAATATTTGGAAACACGTTGACTTGGACACCAGCTTGAATAGTCAGTGTAGCATTTGGTAAAATTATAACGTCTCTCGTCACAATAAAAGGAGAATTGTCTTTTTCGAGGATAATGTCTTCAGTTACGAGACCTCCCAGTACCCTTCCCTTTCTAAACATGATATTTGTCTCCCCTTTAAAGACGTCAGAAAGATTAGCACTTGCAAGAAAAGGTGAAAAAGTTAATTGAGGCAAATAATTTCGATGACGGAAATCAAAAATTCTCGCAATTACATCGTTCACGTCAGTGGATCCCCACCAATTCATTCTTCCATCAATGTGATGTGAATTCAAGTTTGGCGTAAGCATCAATTCCAAAGAAAGAAATGGGTTTTCAAAAAAATTTTCATTCATAAAAATTTTCCTGCTTAAACAGATTACAGCTGCAACATCGTTGGTATCATAAGATGACCTTGGAGAGCGTCGATGAACAACATTGGCAATCAGACTGTTTCTAGTGAAATTCAAACTGCTCGAGGGATTGTAATCGTTATTGACTAGACTAAAAATGCTTCTTACCACCGCATTGTGCAACAATGTATTCCCACGAATGACAACCACTTCAGCGTCTCCAGTGAAATCAACCAAATTTTTCGCAGTATTATTGAATAATCTGTTGTCAAGTAATGATAGTTTGTTTCGTGAGTTCCATCTTGTAGAGAATCTGAATTTCAAAATTTCCTCGTAGTGGTTATTTTGAAAAATGTTTCCAATGATCTGAATAGGACAATAGCTATAAGAACCAATGAAAGAAAAAAGCAACATAGGCGTTAAATTGTTAGGGATCCTGTTGTACTGAAATATATTGTTTACTAGTTTCAATGAAGATCCACGGTTGTAACTTGACCATCCTGAAGCGTAAATGTCGGATTCCAAAATGTTTTCATAATAGTTTTTATGAAACGTGTTTCCTATTACTTCCACGAGGAAATAGCCATGGAAAAATAATTCCACCATAGCGGTTTCAGAGTACGAGTTCGTGTTGTACTGAAATGTGTTGTTCGTTATTTTTAATATGTATTCAGGGTTGCTTCTGGATATTCCTGAGGTCGAAGTCTTAATGTTGAAGATGTTTCGGTACTGGTTCTGATGAAATATGTTTCCATTTACCTGGACAAGGGAATAACCGTTTATAATTAACTTTAAAATAGCCTCAGTGTGAGAGTAACCATTATATTGAAATGTACTGTTTATCAGTTTCAGTATAGATCCTTGTCCAAGAATCGCAATTATGGAATTTGCACTTGTATTTGCAATATGAGAATTTCTGATGATCGTCGTGGATTTCGTCGTGGAGGAATCAACATTAAGACTGATTCCAACCTCGGTAAATTGCCGAATAGTCACGTTTGAAATCTCGTTGATGTTGTTTTTGGATGAACTTTCTAAAAGTGAAATAATTCATGCAAAGTTTGTTAACAAGTGGACTGATCATGATCATGATGTCAATAGGAGTGCTTGAAAGAAATCAAGTGTAAATTGATTATTCATGAGTATAAAACATACTCTAATCACATGCATTGGTAACAAAATTACAGCTGTCCTAGAAAACGGCGGATATAGTTACATATATCCGATACTTTTAATTGAACATTGTGCTGTAGTAGCTACAATTCTAAGTCAGCCACTCGTTCGGCAAACTATTGATGTCTCAGAACAAATGGAAAAGTTTAAAAACCACCCTCTTGATACGAAATATAATTAAATCTTTGATTTAAATTTTTACAAACCAGAATATAAGCAAGACAGGTGAACAAGATTTTTCGTTAAATATTTAAATTCTTGAATCTGAATCATACCTGGTCGACTCCTAAGAAACATCTTGAACTTTCTCGTATGCCACCAATATCCTTCAAATTCGATCTCAACAATAACAGCACTACTTTTCAATTCAACGATATATTGTTGCGACAGATTATCGCTGGATAGCTCAAACAGCAGTTCAGATGAATTGCTATCGCGAATCCGCAAGTTGATATAGGAAAGATCTGAAACAAAAGCTGCCAGAACCTGGCCTGGAGAGGTTGCGAACATCTGAAACATAACATCAATTTTCTTCGTTACGAATAAGATTTCTGCTTTTGTTCGCCAATATGGGTTGTTACTATTTTTATTTTATTAATGATGATGAGAAATTGTACCAACTTACCATCGAACAAGGGTTACTGTTGTATCTGTAAGTACTGATTTCTACAGGGAATAATCCATTATAAGCGCTGTTGCTGCTGTCGCAAATATCGATCTGTTCAAATCTCCCTGGTTTTGTTCGTAATGTGATAGCATCGGTGCCATACTCAAGCATCAGATTTGACAACTTAACCCTTGTGAACACTGTTTTTGAAATTACAACCCCGATATGGCAGTTTTTAGTAGCAGTATCTTCTACTTCAATAGGGAGGGAAGAATTATCATCTAAATACAAGCCTACGGTAGTGTTGGCAACTGAAATTTTCTCTAAGCGCAGAGTTTCAGTGCCTTTGTAACGTCCAATAAGGTTATTTCTCACGGAGCTATTCACTGGATTGTTCGTCGCTACAACACCATAAAAACAGCTTATGATCCTTGTATTCCGTAACAAAGTGTTACCATAGTTACGTATTTCCACAGCCAGATGAAAGCCTGATATGTTTAGACGTGTGACATAAGGACACTCACTATCACAAACAATTGCCGTGGAACGGCTAAAGGTAGATAATGATGAGTTTTTTGCCAGATATCGATGTTCATGTTCACTATGTATTCTAACATTGATCAAAGAGGATTTTCCTTTACCAGCAAAATGTAATATGCTTCTCGAAAATTCATATCTTTCCAAGTTTAGCCTTATCCCGGTACATTTCAATCCAACGTCTTGTTGATGCACTATAGAAGTATAGATATGGCGATTAAAAAGGATTATGTTGAGGATCCAATCTTAATAAAAGTGTATATGCAATGAAAATTTTATAATAATTATATAACAACCATTTTATAAATACCATCCTTGTAGAATTAATAATTTGGGCAAGAAGTTAAAAATTTTTAGGTTCAGACGCTATGAACACCTAAACTAGTGAAATTTAAAGTCAGCACGAAGAAGCTCTCCTATTAAAAAATACTATAAACATTAATTGTAGCGTTACTTGCATGAATTGGAATTTTGGATAATTTGAAAAATATCCAAGAAGGTACATTATACAGGGTGTGAAAGGTGTGACACGCCCCTGTGTGAAATTAATCTTTAAAGTTCGAAAACCCTGTGGTGGGAAAGACTGCATTATGTGTCGAGCTTTTGACTCTTAAATATAATGCACTATATTCATTAATGAAACTTGTAGCTTTCACCTACGTCCACTTTCTCACGGTGTACCGTTTGAGTCACCAACTATTCTTATTGTCCCAAAATAAAACAGATTAAATGTTGATTTCTGAGCCCTAATTCTGAGCATTTTCTGCACCCCTGAGATTTGAACAACGCGAACGTGGTATTAGACCCAATGCTGTGCTTTCAACGGTTCACCGAATCTGGCAAATCGTTGTTGATCAACGCGTATTTGTGTATGCTGTAGTTGGATCCATATTTGTGATTTAATTAAGTAACGTTTATACGGCGACAGAATATGCAAAATAATTAAAATGTGATATACATGCAACTAGGCTTACTATAAATCTAGGAGAAAGAAGTCGTATTTAGCTTATTAACATATTGGGGTTCGAATGCTTTCATTCCTTATCAATCATCAACTATATGTAGTTTCGCAACAAAATATACTTTCAGCTGAATTTACTTGGTCAGCAAAATAATACAAAGCATATATAATATATATATATTCTAATCGGCTGGTGATCGTACACGGTAGACTGGTAGAGAATGGAGGTACGCGAAACACAGTGTAGCGAAATAAAAATTTAAGTTCGTAATTTGTTGATTTTATGTCCACATTTTTAAGGTCATATATTGTTTCTTTTGCCTGGGGGCATTATTTTTGATTGCGAAAAATTAGTATTTTGTGTCGGCAGTTACTCCTATATATTTAATGAAATTTTCAAAATGAGGGTGTCGATATAGTACGGTTGAAACTTCATTAAATATATATATATATATATATATATATATATATATATATATATATATATATATATATATATATATATATATATATATATATACAGTAGGAGGCAAAAGTTTGAGTCCAGTGACTGTATTTCATTGTTTTAGCAGCATATATTAATATCCTACAGAAAACCTTACCGATAAGTGAACTAGAAAAAAGTAAATAAGTAAACAGAAAAATACATGCTGTACAACAACTATGAGATGTTATGATATTCATTTTTACGTATTTTAATGTGCAAACATGCATTTACATGTCATTGCTTAGTTCCCTCTTTTTGCTCTTGAAATGACCTTTATTCTTGCTCGCATAGATTCCATAGGTTTTTTAATGTCACACGTTCAATACCTTGCCAGCATTCGTTGACCACTTGCCTCAAGTCAGCCTGGCTGGCGGGTCTGTGCCTCGCCCTCTTCCGGTTAAAACGGTTCTACAAGTGCTCCATAGGTTTTAGATCTGGAATATGAGGTGGAAAGCCATGACAACGAGATCACCAGAATGAGTTTGCTTCTAAAAGATTTCTGGCACATAGAAGATGTGCATGTGCTTAGGGTGATTATCATGTAGTTAGACGTGCGATCATCTTTGTACCAGATGAAATTCCATGTCCTTGAAGAATTGGATGATACTTTTCTTTAATTAGGATCCTATTATATCTTTCAATATTGCCAAACCGAGCATGACCAAAGCAGCTAAAAGTTTGCTTGAGTAGGATTTAGTTTCTTCGAACCGTCCAAGGTTAGTTGCATACAACCTTTTTAAATTCTCACTTTTTCTGCGACCTTACGAGGAAAGAATCCTTCAATACTTAATGCAACTATTTGTCCTTGTGCACCATCACTTTGCCCTTTTTCCCACCCATCTTGGGCAGTGTAAAGGAATGAGAACTTTATTGTGTTATAATTTAGATCATTAGGACCAAAACAGTGTGCAATTAATATAGTTTACAGTACTGAAACACTAGCACGCATGTCTTAACTCGAATACGCTGCCAGGATTTAATACTGGAATTCTACAACGACTGGACTCAAACTTTTGCCTCCTACTGTATATATATATATATATATATATATATATATAATATATATATATATATATATATATATATATATATATATATCTTTGCTGTAGAGTGTGTAGTCTGTCTTTGCCGTAGAAATATGCGTTTGCTGATACTGCATGTTTGGTAGGTTCTTAATTCTATACCCGGTGGGTGGTTGGAAATATATTTGCAGAAAGAATTCATAACCACCGGAACTTTTTACGCCTCTGCACGAACGAAAATAGAATCGAACGATTTAAAAATACATAAACAAAGCCTGGACGACAGAAGCACTGATGAAATATATACATTAATAGGAGGTCGATTTGGGAGAAAGCGCCAATGCAGGTACAAAAATGGATGCAACACGGGCTAACAGTTAACTGAGATTTTCATATAATTATCAATCAGCTTTAAAGTCCAGTTGACCATAGTAGCTAAGTGACGAAATGAACTTATTGACACAAAAGGTTTCGTGCTGTTTTCACGCTCTATATATAAATATATATATATATATATATATATATATATATATATATATATATATATATATATATATATATATATATATATATGCTGTTTAGGCAACCAGTTGAAAACATGTTTACTTGGAGTTGTATCTGGTTTAAAACAATTTATTAAAAAGATTCTAGATTAAAAAGTACTAAATTTTCGGTAGCTAACTGCTACCTTCATCAGAGTTCTAATGTTCAAGCAGTATAGACAGACTATTATATAGTGTCACTATCCTTGCATGATTGAATAATTGGTATGTAAATTTGAGGAAAATGTTTATGCTCATTCACTGATCTTTTGTCCAAAACCGAGTGCAATGACTCAAGGAAGAGTCTTTTGTTTGTGTTATGCACTTTCTTTTCCAAAATCCTAGCATTCTCCATTGACACTTCATGACCGGTACTTTCTGCATGGTCTTTAATCGCTGACTTAATCTCTCGTCGTACGCCAGGTTTATGCTCAGCCCATCTCGATTTCCATGATCTTTTACTCTCGCCGATATAAGTGAATTGAGAGTAGAAAGTAAAAGATCATGGAAATCGAGATGGGCTGAGCATAAACCTGGCGTACGACGAGAGATTAAGTCAGCGATTAAAGACCATGCAGAAAGTACCGGTCATGAAGTGTCAATGGAGAATGCTAGGATTTTGGAAAAGAAAGTGCATAACACAAACAAAAGACTCTTCCTTGAGTCATTGCACTCGGTTTTGGACAAAAGATCAGTGAATGAGCATAAACATTTTCCTCAAATTTACATACCAATTATTCAATCATGCAAGGATAGTGACACTATATAATAGTCTGTCTATACTGCTTGAACATTAGAACTCTGATGAAGGTAGCAGTTAGCTACCGAAAATTTAGTACTTTTTAATCTAGAATCTTTTTAATAAATTGTTTTAAACCAGATACAACTCCAAGTAAACATATATATATATATATATATATATATATATATATATATATATATATATATATATTTATATAATGTATATAATGTATATATTTCATCAGTGTTTCTGTCGTCAGTGTTTCTGTCGTAAAAATTCTCGAACAGTTAAGCCAACGTTTGACCAGTACTCAATCCTGTTAATTGCAATTGCTTTAAAGCTTTCTTTCTGCCTTCTTGGACAAAACTTGATTGGAGATTTGTAATTATGGTCCACTCTAGAAACATTTTCACATGCATGATGGGTTTTGTGATCGGTTGATGTATTCGATGAAGATAGCAGCAAATACTGATTAAATCGGATATTGTCCAATATAAGACTTTATTTAGGCGGTGTCCTCGCCGTTTACAACGCCACAAGTCACAGATTCTCGAACACGCAGCTGCCACTTTAACTTCGCTTTGGTAAAACTTTTCCTACACTCCCGAAGCGATATCTAATATTTTAAATTATTATTGTACGAAATTAATGGGGTATATAATATATACGACAAGTCTTCTTTTCGACCATTAACCTGAAGTTGTTTATTTTAACCGTGGTCATCATGCGGCCGTCCTAATCTTAAGCCCCCTATTAAAGCTATTTAAAAAACGACTATATTTAACGTACCACAATTATGACTACCAAATCCACGGTGGCTACAATGTCTCAATGAACGATCAGCTTCAGTACACCGCACATCATCCATCCATATTTGACCAGTTCCTGCTCCAAATTCGAACGACAACGTTCCCGTTGAAAACCCGAGTTCGCGACAGACCACATCGTTGTTTATTTGGGACCAACCATCGCGGCAAACAGACCCCCAGATACCTTGGTGAAAAATTTCCAATCGACCTGAACTATACCCGTTGCCGTTAACAAGCCTTAAACTCTGAAAATCCATCTCAATTTCAGAACTGATGTCAATTGGCAATGTTTCCGTGCCATTTGCAATGAGGTTTCCATAGACATGCAAACTTCCGTTTCCAGAAAACTTTATACTTGCACCAGGTTGGATGGTCAGAGTTGCATTCTCATGAACATTTACTGTGCGATTTATTTCCAAAGTTTCATTTTCAAACTCAATTGTGTGATCTTCGTAAATGTCTGTGATAAATCCCGAAGTGCATGGGACTACACAAAGACAGAAAAATTTTAGTAAGGCTAAGCAGAAGAATTTGCTTGCCAAACTGGTGTTCCGACCTCGGAGCACCTTCATCACGGAATAAAAATATTTTATAGATATATCTGGATTAAAACACACACTATAAAAAATGCAAATACGTTAATGACTGCAATTAACTGAACATCAAGGGCGCAGTCAACAAGAAGCGAACAACAAGAGGTCAGTCCAATCGTTTGAATTTAGTCATTTTAAGAGGTTAAGCACTAAACGCGAGAATTCGCAGGATACGTGATATACCATGATAGCTATGCTAGTTATGACTAGTGCAAAGCGATCAAAACAACTTTTTTGTACTTCGTGTGCGTTGTCATGCATGCAAATTTATATATTTTAGTGTCCATGACTATATGCAGAACTTTTGAATAGAAGATCTGCCACATGCTGTGCAAGAGGAGAGAGAGCCAGATTTTAAAAGAAAGGGCTCTATAGGGCTCTTAAATAGATGTGAATTGAACTTTAATCGTTAACAATTGCTATAACACGAGTTCATCAAATTTGGTATGACAGCTGTTTAAAATAAGCGATCAGGAGTGTTTGGAGACGTCATCTCGCACGCTCGCCAGGCGAATTCATCGTTACAATAATATTTCCCGGTAAAAATTTGAATACGAGGCTAAACTTACAGACAAGTTGCCACGCGGCTCAAAGCAGTTCATATATATATATATATATATATATATATATATATATATAATATATATATAATATATATATATATATATATATATATATATATATATATATATATATATATATATATATATATATATATATATGTAAATATTCTTTCGAGAAGTTTTTAAGGAAGTAAATTCTTAAAATATTTTTTGAAAGTCATTTGCCGCATGGGCCTTAATTTTCTTTTTGAAATTAGTTTCTTTCTGTGTCACCAACCTTTTAACAACATTCCTAGGGTTTTTAATTCTTATCAATTAACTGTCTAAAATAGGTGATCGTGGTTGCTTGGTGACGTCGGCAATTAAGGAAACGACACAAATGAATTCCTAAAATGTCAGTGCATATTCAAATCCCTTTCTAAACGAGGAAATCATTGTCCATGCATGCCAAGTTTTTTCCTTCAACTAAACAATTATTAAACCATCGCTACGCCAAAAGCATACTTTCGTTTAGAATATTTAAAAGAAAGAAAACCATCTATTAGCGTTCATTCACACCATCAGTTTGGCAACATGGTTAGCTAGAGCCAAGTTCTGGGGCCGCTTGACTGGATAGCGCTATATCCACAGACTAATGATTTTCAACCGTTGTAAGCGTGCTTGATAAGCAAAAAACTAAAAAAATTGAGCGAACAATCATTAAAGAGAATTCGCATTACTTTAATTTAATGACTCCAAGCACTCCCGCACACTCACTTTTTATAGCTGACCCTCTATATAGCAGCTGTATGCAACGTTATATGTTTCCAGATAAAGCACCTGGTATACGAGGATGCCGCAACAATAATCATACTGGGCATGAAACTAGTGCAAGCAGAAAGAATTTTGCAGAACGAAAACGTTGGTTGTTGGATTTGCGTGCATTGTCACTGATGAACGTAATTAAGAAACTACAATTCGATATCTTCGAGTTGACTCTGCACTGCAGCACTTTTGTGTAGATCTGCCACCTGATCGAAATAATAAAGTATATTATTTTTCTGAATGTTTTAGAAATGCAAAAAAACTTGCAAGGTGAAATAATAAGTTAATAATCAATTTGTCTGTGGACAACGTATACTTGTTTTTTGCCCTGCTTTCGGTCCGTTAACCTGGAGCCTTCATCAAACAATTCATCAAGAGAGAAAGCCACTGAACAGTGTGTGGCGTGCTCTCTCGATTTTGAAATGAATATTGAATGAGTGTGAGGATAATTTATTAATAAAATCGAAATATCACGAACACGTCTTTGTCTTGCTTTAACCTTTATTTTGGTTTTCAAGATATTAATTTCGCTCTTTTTCAAATGTGTAATTTGAGTACTATTATCTTCGTGGTATATGCACGAATGACAAGTAGAAGTTAGGAAGATATTACTGCCAACATTAGATAGATAGCTCACAAAAAGACAACTACGTGGATTAGATATGTAGCTTAGTTGAATGTGATTTGATTCGACGACAGGAAGTGTATTTACCATTTCAACACATTAATTTTTTAAAAACCTAAATAGATTTGTGAACCACCATAAACGAAGAATGTTTTCTTACACGCATGGAATCAAAATGGATGGAAAGAACGTAATCAGATACCTATTTTCGATATCACACTTCGATCAGTACATTTCACAGGGCAAGTTGTTTATTTCTCTCTCATAATTTGGCCTTTTTGATCCCCTAACTTAACCGCTCGCGGGTTAGCTGATGTTAGCCTATTTATAAGAATCGTGTTGGATCAAACAAGTGTGCGATTCGTTTTAAATCGCACTTCTATGAGTGACGTCTCGGCTGGAATCCCTCTTGCCATAAAATAAAGTAATTTTGATTAAAGATGTTAGACTACCTGCGTGGCTAATGACTACAGCGTAAAATAATATTAACACGACTCACTCGACTTCGGGCCCAACCGGGCACAGCTCCGTCAATGCTTGCGGAGACTTTGGCCTTGAGGCGTGTCGGTTGAATGTCTTGTCAGCCGAATTGGCTGTCGGTGAAGGTCGTGTCGATGAAACATGCGTCTGTCGTCCAATTGTCTGTCGGCCAATCGATCGTCCGCGCATACCGATTTCGACAACTCACTCGGTAGAAAAATTAATAGACAAATCGTCTACTCAAGTTCACGTAAATTATTCTACATCGCGAAAACGAAGCAAAAAGCAGCTAAGACCAACCTTTTACGTTGTTAGCTATGTTATTTTATTTATAATTAGTATATGCATGGCATAACACGTGCAAAAAATTGGATTATGTTTGAGACATGCTTAGTGCATGAAATACGTATACAATCCCATATACATATTGCTAAAAAGTTTTCAAAAATAATTACGTTCATTTCATGTTCAGGAAGGTGATTTTGTGTGCAGCGGGTTTGAGGCCTTTTATTATGGTATAATATTGTAAATTCGGCACCACATTAATAATGTTATGCCAGTAAAGTATATATTCGAAACATTCGTGCACACATGTGGTATTATTGTTCACCCGTATAATTATACTGCAAGGTTATGCTTCCAAATTAATTAAAAATAATCTTGTGAGTGCTACTCTTCATACCAGGAATCAAAACGATGATTCACGTAAGAGCCCGCATCATTTAATTCAATGCGAACAGGACGTCTCATTGAAATTTTCTGCTTGTTTCTTTTCTTCTTGAAATAACAAACCTTATAATTAAAATAATTACGTGATGAATTTACTAATGAATTGGCAGTGGACACGGTCTTTGTTCCACTCGACTAAGGCTGTCATTCCTAATCAAGTTATTGTTGTTTTCCTGGCCATGTTTATAAAAAGTATTAAAAAGTTGAAATCTGTTTGGCAGGGGAAGTTTTTTCACAGCAAACACATTCTTGAAAAGAGCATTAAGACAATTCTCACAATTAACTATTTATTTTACAGTAAATAATGTATGTACTTACGAAGATAGGAATGAAGACGAGGCAAATGAATCCTGCTCCTCCGATGGCAGCAGTTGCACCAATTAAGGCATTCCTATCCCTCTCATCATCTTCGTCCTTGCTTGGAGTTTGAACCGTAGCCTTAGGTGTGGTTGAAACAATTTGCGGCAGTAACAAGGATTTATCAAAACGTAATTTGTCCAAATTGCCCTTGTCATCACTGGCATCGGCCACTGCCCTGGCAAGACTACTTGAACTGACTTGCTTATTTTCCGAGGAAAACTCAGTTTGGATATTGGCAATAACACTTCCTTCATCGAAATCAACGTCGGATATCCTCAAAAACCCAGTCATTTTTTCAAAGATGTTTATCATGGCCTTCTCTACAACACCTCTAAGGTTTTTATAATCGCTGCTATTTTTATCTCGATAGCTCGCAACAAATACATAGTTAAGAAGCCTTGCTCGAAGGGTGACAATTCTTTTTGTTGGGGTGAGTTGCGTTGATGTCACTGTACTGACAATTTTGCTAGTGGGAGACGGTTGCATATGAGAGGCGATTTCTAATTTCCCAGATGATGCATGATACATAATACTTCTTGGAAGTGAAGTGGTGAGACTTGCAGTTTGAAATAACGACGATGATTCTTGAGTCATGGCACTCGTTTGAGATGATGGTGATGGTACTTTTGCAACAATGATACTTGTTGATAATAATGATGACGACTTTGCAACCACGCTACTTGATTCAAGTCCTTGTTTCAATGTTTCTCTGACTATCGGTGGTGAGGATGTTTGCGCAAATTCGCTAGTTGCTGGGAGAGACTGTGTCGGCTGGTAATTTGTAGGACTTGATTTAATTTCTGATGATGAATGGCCAGCTACAATGCTTGTCGTTAGTAGCGTCGACGATTGTTTCATCCTAGTCGAAGTAATAAAATGTGAGCTAGATTGTACATCAGCAATGGAACTAGTCGAAGGTATTTGCGCCGTCTTGCTAGGTGTTTGAAGTGATGGTGTCTGCTGATAAGCTGTTGAATTTGATTCGACCGCCGACGTTGAGGTTGGAAAGACTACAACTGAAACAATGTGATCAATAACGACAGTCAAAGTTACTTCACGAGCACATGGCACCACACCACCGTCTTGAGCTACAACTGTTAACGAGTATTCACCAGGTTCAAGAGTACTATTCGGAAAAATTCTTCCATGTGAAGTTATGAAGAAATTTCTGTAGGGGTCTGACTCCTCTGTGATGGAATATTGAATTTGTCCATTATTTCCGTAGTCCGCATCACTCGCCAGAATATCGACCGGCAATTTGTATTTTCCAGGTAAAGTACCAATTACTGGACAATTATCTTTCATCTTGGACGGTTATCGTAACTGTTGCCTCCGAACTTCGAGAAGGAACACCATTATCTGTAGCAGTGACCGTAAATGTAAATTGTTTTTGAGAAAGGGTCTCGTAATCTAAAACATCGTCAGCAAATACTGAGATTTCACCGCTGTCTTGGTTAACCATGAAGAAGCTCGCAAGGCTTGCGTCTTCGATAATGTATAAAACTTCCCCGCTGCGTCCATGGTCAGTATCATTTGCATATACGCTCAATACAACAAAACCTTTTCCTCGGTTCTCAGATACGGCGGCAAAATATGACTCGTTTGTGAATGTAGGGGCATTGAGATTTTTTGACACTTCTTCAGTACAGTTTTCGCCGTCATACTGTTCAAAACATTCACATTTATTCGGAGATACGCATTGTCCATTGGATGAACAGTTGTTCTTGTCATAACACGTCGGTGTTTCACACGATAAGCCAATCCAGTTATCATTGCATTGACACTCTTCATAACCAACGCAAATCCCATTTCCTGTAGCGAAATTATGGTACGATTTTTTATAAGCATAGGGATATATAAGTTACAACATTATAATAACAAGTATATGACATACATAATGCTAACATTCAAAATAATGAATGTGCCAATGTGGCATGCCCCCAAGGCATGCTCATTGGCATGCTCCAATGACGTGAATTTTTAAATCCTGGTTTACACGGGCCGGTGTTATCGGAGAACTTGCTATTTTTTCATATCAAAGAAAATTTGCCAAAGAAAATTTGCTCGTGTGAAAGGGGAATAGATTAGTTGATCAAACAATGCAACGGCATGAAATCGAAACATCGAGTATTTTTAAGAATTTGGATTAACTTGTAGGCTTCATGAATATTATCTTAAATTTTTCTGCGGTTGTCTAAATGGTTTGAATCGCGACATTGAGGATATCGTACTCAAGACGTTAGATTTACGTTAGCTGACTTAGCTCGTGCACTGACCAGAGCAACGACTTCGTGATTGACATGAGAAATCCAGGCACATCTCCCCTTCATAGCTCATGTTGCACGAACACAGATTTGGTTCCACGCACGTGCCATTTCCAGAACAGTCGTTGACGTCAGAACAATCATATTGACTGCAGTTGGATCCAACAAAACCAAAGAAACAACTATAAATACATAATTCAGATCATCAAACATGGAATGAATCAGGGGCGGATCCAGACTGATGCGAGTGATGCGAATGCATCAGTCAAAATTTCACGAGCATAATAATTGAACACTAAATATGGAAAATTGCAATAAATACGGAATTTTCTAAAAATCTCTGATAAAGTATATTATTTACTTTCTTTTCGGGTTACACTCTCCTAAAATTCGTAAAAAACAAAAAATGATTGTTAATAAATCCAAACAAGGCAAAGCGGGACGATGTTTGAAATTTTAAATGAAAATTTCGTCTTTCTCTCGTTGTACGTTTGGTTGTCGCGACATTATATCCCCAAATATGTCGATTATGCATCCACTCTGACTCTTATGCATTATCATATTACGGTCAGTGGACGCGTTTACGTAACATTGGGAAAAGAGTGCATCACTACGTGATGTTGGGGAGAAATGCGCATCAGTGGCGCAACAGTCCCGAGTCTCTTTGGCCGAGTTTCCCCAACGCAACGTCATAAAAACTATTGTTTTCGTGCATACGCAACGTTGGGAAATGGATGCTGACTGATGCGTTTAGCCCGCGATCCAAAATATCGCGTTTGACTGATGCGCAAATCCATAATGCGTCACCTAATATGCTGGATCCGCCCCTGGAATGAATACTAGTTCATCATTTTTTAGCGCAGGAAGAGTGGCTAGGTTTTTTAATGTAAAAATATCCGCTGAACAGCCAACAAGTGCATAATCAACAAGGGACAAAAATATTTAGCCAGCAGGGCCTATTTTAAGGATTTTCGAGTAGGGGGCCATTACCATAAAGGGACCTCTACCTGGCGCAAGTATAAATGTTGATCGTGACCAACTTGGCCAACGGGTTGGGCAAGAGTAATATGTTTTCGCGCTCGACAGATGATATTAAATAATGAAATAACCGTCAGCAAAGGTTGGCTAACAGAATGCAAAAATTCTAAATAAATATACATTTTCGTGAACTAAAGCAATATTTCTTTTTTATCAATATTTTACAGGGGGTTTTTACTCGGGGGCCAAAGTACTTAACTTGGGGGGGGGGCGACATTGGGTTCTAGGGGGGCCATGGCTCCCCCAGTTTATAATTATGTTAAAAGAGGCCCTGTTAGGCCGTCTCAAATTTACCTGCAAATATTTGTATCTCCAGTCACGTCATTATTAAAGATGCATACACCATTATCAGTACAGTTGTTTAAATGCGAGCAGTCCAAGAAGATACTACAATCAGCTCCTTGATATCCTCCAAAACAGTTACAATGATTAGGTCCAACACACTCGCCTTTCTTAGAACATTGATTCACTGCATCACAGTCAGGAATGGAACAACTAGGTCCAGACCAGCCACTCACGCATTCACAAGTATCAAATGCAATACACCGTCCATTTCCTACGTTCATAATATTATAGATCTTATACTTATATAAAGCGTTCATACCCAGTGTGACCTTGTTTTGTAAATACATTTAGAATAATACCTGAGCAATAGCCAAGTGATTCACATGAAGTCACATTACATGAAGCTCCACTATATCCGGTGTCACATTTACATTCGTCAATTCCGATACAAACGCCATTTGAAGAACAATTGAGGACGTTGTAGCAGTTTGCGATGGTAGCGCAACTTGGGCCTGAGAAAAATAATCAATTAGCGGACAATGAAAATTTCTAGCGAAGATATGATACTTTAATATCTTTAGTTATTGTGGTCATGTGCGGAGCAAATGATAAAGAAACGGCATTTTGCAGACAGAGTATGGAAATAAATAGCGCGCATTTCCAATTACCCATATGTCGTCAGTACGTCTTTAACACCATATTACACAGGTTATCCCCCCCAAAAAAAACGAAATCATCAATTTTTATCCCATAATTCATTGAATATCGAGTCTAACGAGTTCATTTTGTTAATTTTTACATAGCAAAAAAGATAAGTTATTTAGCTTTCTCACAATATCTTTTTTATGATATGATAAAGGATCAGTGCTATATAATACTTTTCCTTGTATAAAATAATCTACAACAGCTGCATATTTACCTGTAAAACCTACGTTGCATTCGCAAACATCTGTTGTCTTACATATTCCATGAACTTCTGACGTACAGTTATCAACAGCAAAACATGCCGCTTTCCTGTCACATTCTGCGCCTTCCCAACCAATGTCACATTTGCAGAATCCCTCAACACACGAACCACGTGAACAGTTTCCACAGCTGCCAATAGTACAGTCATCACCTGACCAACCTTCAAGACATCTGCACGTTGCATTCAGACAAAGACCTTTTCCTGTGCAGTCATTAGGGCAACCTGCAAACGTTTTTTTAGGAAAGTGGAATAAAAAGGGTGACTTTTGTTGAAGGAAATTTTGAAGATTTTTACAGAAGGATTATGTTTTAGTGTACCACACTAGTGATCGACATTTTCAAGATTATGTAATTTACGTCAGAGACAACACTGTTGCATTGAGATACAACGAATTTCCCTAATGCATGGATTGCATATGAGTTATCAAGTTTGCTTTGAAGAGCCGCTAAATGGCTATAGCTGCTCGTCCAGGGAGTTTTTTCTTTTCAAAGGGATTGGATCGCAAATAGAAACGAATCGTTTATGAACGAATATTTACCTATTTGCAAAGATTGTTGCTCTGCAAACGATGTGTCGTTTGTCATCAAGATGTCGAAAACACAGTTGTCCAAAAGTGTATTCTCCAGCCCATTTCTATTGCAAACACCTTTTGCTTCCTGAAAATGAAGAAGGGAGTTTCACCCTTTAAAACTTCCTTCTCTTTGGAACATATATAACCTTAACATGGAATGATGTTACGTACTTCGACTTGGTTTTGTGAGAAGCTATCTAAGGTATACAGGGGTTTATGTTCTTCATTTGTATACGACGAATCCATTACATCTTCAGCATGGAAATTTGAGGAATTCCAATTCCAACTGTTTACCTGGCCTGATCCATCGTGACTTGCTGTTATTCGCCCTGCAGAATTATTTTCAAAACAATATTCAGGTAATATATTTCCTTGATTTCGGGAAGAAATTAATACTCTACGAACTAGTAAAGCTATCGAAGAAATCAAGTGAAAAAAAAATTACAAGCTCACATGATTCAGCAAATTGAATGGTATCATTTTTATTATACTGTTCACCATTTGGACCAATCAAATCATTGGTCTCATCATCATCCATGAATCCACATAAACCTTCAGTGGCTTTGGTGAAGTCAGCGTTTGGTATAAAATTAACGTTAAGATAATGACGTGACATCACTGGGCTGTATTCCACCTCGACAGACACCGTGACTCCTGAATAACATAAAAATGTACCTTGGTCAATCGTGAGTAGAATAATGCAATGATGCATTTCTACGATATCTAATGTAGTGCTAAAAACCCTGACATCTTGACTCCTGGAAAAATCAAGTCTCATGTGACAAGCCAGCCACCCACAGACTGCATAGCTCTTTCAATTATCTTCAATGCACGGCTACGATGAACTTTTGCCATTTCAACATTTATTACTTAATTAATCTCATATTCTGTATAAATGCGAAACAGTGGGAGAGAATGAAAGGTTTTTTGTATCCAAATATTTCACACGTGCCAATAACAAGATTAATTAAAACGGAGGTACAACAATTGAATTGGTCAACAACTCACCAGATTTATATTGAAACGCCATGATTATAACCTGCGCTCCGTTGCTCTCGGTTCTATTTTCTGGATTGAAGATATTAAGCTTTATGGAATCGTTGGCAAATGATAGTTCTGCATTATTTCCAGAGAAATTCTGCAAGGCACCATTGACTCTGTAAAGTATCGATTAAATAATTTACTCATGTCATAAAAATATTTTATTGAAGAGCAGGAAATTTTATCGTGCAATGCGATTAAACCATTTGCATTATAGGTAGTGTTATTGTTATTGGTTAATCTAGATTTTAAATTAATAATTAAGGGTACTTCAATACCTTAGCATTGGTAAGTCGCGGGGTGAGGAAACTGGTTGTGTAGTTATTGTAACGACGTTCTCAGCCACTTTAAGAGCAACTGCTCCAGTCAGAGAAGCTCCTTTATAACCAAAGAATCGTATTTGCATTCCGAAGTCATTTGTGATACTTTTGCAATTCCAGAACTCTCCGATACCAAAATAGTCGAACTCGACTCCTGCAAGTTGGTTAAAAGAGTGTTTCCACGTAGAACATACGGCAACAACTTGTATATGATACAGTTTTTTTCTTATAAGAAAGAATCTAATACAATAATACGTGCATACATTATACATATTTCAATTCAGATTCTCTACAATTGCATGCTACTCCTCTCCTGTTGTTAACATTGACTGTTGTTAACATTGACTGTAACCCATTCATGAAATGCTATAAAATAAATACAAACCATCAAGAGTTTGTAAATGGGGATCTCCCCACCATCGAACGGGCCTACGTCTTTCGCAGCATCGACCTTGCCAACGCCTTCGACACAAACATCTTGAGCGACAAGACGAGTCGGTCACACAAAAGCCATTTCCTGAACATCCTTTAAAATTGGACACAGTAAAATATTACGAAAATTGTAATAAAGATTTAATGTCTTGGGTTTTTGCCGGAGATGGCATATAATATTGTGAAGAAAGTTTCGCAAAATTATCTATTATAGAAATGGGGTTTTAGACTTTTATAAAAATATTCTTACCCAATTGCACGTAGACAACTTAAAAAATTTCTTTACTATCCTAAGACATAGAAAACAACAGTATTTACCTTGGCATGGCCAACAGTCAGGTTGCTGACAATTTGGTCCTTTTCGACCAGTGACGCACACTGGTGGAACACCGCAGTTGAATTTCTTTCTGCATTTACACTTTTGATCTATCCACACTGGCTCCTCACCGTCCTCGCATACTGGGCACCTTGAGAAAAGACATTATAATGATATCAATTAAATACAGAATTAAAGCGGGAAAATATTTTTATCAAATATTCTGCTAGACGACGATGTAAGCAATCTCACAATAAAGCATAAGTATATCATCGCTGGAATTAGAAATCTGTGCCAGTTATTTCTATATCACATTACAATCGAGTGATCAATCTCCAGCGTTTGAACTCTTTACTTGCGAAAATTTGCGTAGCTTAGTGAAACAGTTAGTGAACAGAAATTTATGTAGGGAAATTTATTGACTAATGAATCCGTCTAACCATCCTCGTACCCAGGGAATTTGGCCCTACACGCGTTCTAACAAGGGTGACTCTTGATTCATAAAAAAGCAGAAGAGCGATACCTTGTCTTATCTCAAAGTCATCTTCCATGAAGTTACTTACTTTTCTTCACATTTGCAACCAAAAGGCCCACGAGTTGACTCCAAAAATCCTTCACACGAGCATTTACATGGGCAGGAACCATCCCAGGCAATCGTGTCTTCGGTGCCGTCTTCGCAGGAACACGAACACTAATAAGAAGAGAAAAATATTTATCATCCTCGCTGATTAATGCCTAAGTGAAAGGACTAAAAATGCTATACAGGATTTCTCGGAAAGCTTTCGATTTCTTAAGTCAGTGGCGTACGCGAGACAATAATTGGGGGGGACATATTGATATATTCATATTATGCAAGATTAATTTCTTTTCAAATCCATTGTATTTACAGGTCTGTTAACACGAATATATGAATATGTGCCCCCTAATTATCGTCTCCCTCACGCCACTGTCTTAAGTTATGTAATATTTTCCAAAATTGTCAGATATAGAGATGCTACAATTATGACGTCATACAGCAAGGTGATGTTTCTACCAATGCTATTGTTCTCTCATTTTATTGTAGCGTTTTGTAGCGTATCAAAAATTGGGCGTAGTGTAAATGAGGCTTTAATTACCGGGCAAGATCCATCGGTATTCATTTCTTTTTCGGTGTTATCTTTGCACAAACATGGACATTCTGGTTTGTTGCCACTTCTTTTTCGTTTCACGGAATTATCTGGACACATTTCGCACTTGCAAGAACCATCTGGCATCTAAGACGAAAGAAGCGTAATTTCTTGTTGGTCCAATTATCTATGCATGAATGTGAAATTTTACATTAGACTCGTACTTAACTTGTTCAAGAGCTTTTCGGTATGACTGCATAGGCATAATCATAAACATACCTTTACACCTTTGGGTGATGATGAATCGCCTGGAATGCAGTCACATTCCTCTTCGCAGTCTTTAGTTTTTGGATCAATCTTGCCAGGTTTGCCATTTTTAATGCAACATGGCACTTTAACCGGACCGGTGGAGAAACATTTGCTGTAAAATATTGAGACAATTCAATCATACTGCCTATCGGAACAGAATATAGTACGCGGAAGCAAATTAGTCCACTTCATGCATGCTTAATAAGCAATATTAGCTTTGGAGACAGAGCTATGATATTGGCTTTGATAGATTTGGAGACAGAGAATCTAGTATATGAACTACTCTGCCCATTCTAACCGAGTCATTTAGCTGTTTACCATGCATTTGCGCTTCTGTTTTCTTGAATAAGCCGAAACCTGCGTGGGATAGGGATTTTCAACCACGGGTTTCTTGGTAAATGACTGTAATTCAGTCATTGTAATTGATGCCATATGAAAAGAAACGTATTTAGACCTATGTACCTTTGAACGTTCTCATACACTGGAATTCCAAAAAGTTTAAAATTTTTATTGTATGAGCCAATGTTGACTGTTAAAGATCCAGAGATCTTGGGCAATCCTCCACGGAAAGTAGCCTCTATGTTTCCTATTGAGTCAGGACATTTTTCGGTACAAAATTTCGCATTCAGCGATGTAGTTAATGGTGCTGTTAATTTGAAGACGAAGAGCGATGGGATAGTCGAGCCTTTCTTACCACCTGAAAATGAGTAACATAATTTCAGAGTTCTATTATATATTAAAGGAGGTTGAATCGCGAGTCATAGAAGATGTTTGGACTTCGGAGTGTGTACAATAGCAGTATTACAATACCTAAAATTTTTCGAAGAATCCATGCTGCCTTTTTCCTCAACCTTCTAGGAATCACCGATGGCCAGTGGGCTTCAAACGTTGGCGTAAAAAATGCTGAGACGGACGCTGATTCTTCTTTTACCAGTGCTTTAAACGACGGTTGCGTTGACCCTTCCTGTAATGTTTAGTAACAGAATTTACACATCAATTAGTTGCTAAAAACTAAACTATGATGCATATAACGAAACAAATAGAATAATTACACTATATATTTTATGGTGGTAAAATAGTAAATTACACATAATCTAAGATTATATTAAAATATTATAAAATCAACTATATTTTAAAGAAAGTCATTAAAAAGTTCAATTGATGAAACAATTGGAATATTCCTAAACCGTTCAGTTTTACAATAATAAATTGTAATACAATTCACTATTCTGCCACGTGACTCTGCTTTGTCTGGGAGGGTTTGTTAGGGAGAAGGTGATTATTAATATTACTAAAAAACATAACGTATAAAGAACAAGACACCTGCTCTGGCCTTCTTAAAATTCAGCTAAAATATTTTTTCAAAAGGCGTTAGGAGAACTATCTTGCTCCTGCCATTAGTACACCACAAGCATTGCGAGCCAAAACTTTTACGTGCATGGATATTACGATCACAATCATACGTTATCTCAGCCCAGCGTCGCTTTTTTTAACCGGGCAAGCCCTGCATGGATACCAAATTTTACCGATTACTTTGCATTTTTGCCCAAAGGCATGATTACGACGAAGAATAGTTGTACCTTATTAAAAATTCCCCGAACTCCATGACCTTTATACCACTCACCACCAGCCGATATCGAATATTTTGACATCAAACTTGTAGATAACGAGGCAGAAGCCTGAAAATTGGGGCGTATAAAAGAGCTCGTAATCAAGAACGAAAATCTGTCTTGGAAAAGTGGGGGGGGGGGGGTGGAATAGATGGACCACGTTGTAGTGATAGTTTCCTATCAAAACGTTTTATGCCCCCCCCCCCGTCGTCCGCTATAGGATTTGCGCCCTTGTTTATAATGTGTCTTTCTGGCCAAAGAACTGCTCCAGTATCATTTGGTTATGTCTGCTCAATAACGAAACACGTTCAAATAATACAAAGTACTGTAGTTCGCGGCACATATTTACCGAAGCGGAGACAATTGCAGAAGCGCCAATATTCAATCTGAACACTCCAGGTACACACACTGCTCCTATTATAGGAATACAAAAGCGGCCAACTTCTTCGTCAACCAGTTTTCCACTCCACGTTTTCGAATAGCTTCATAAATATTGAAAATAAAGGTGTTATAATAAATGAATTGTGTAATTATTATAAAAGTCAAGAATACATTATATACCTACCATGTTTATGACAAACTAAATAAATACAACAGATTTGGCACCGTTTTCAATCAGAATATACGGTAAACCGAAACGTTTGCACTTATTTGCGCTTACCTTGCAGAAGGATCGAAATTGCAGTTGAGATTCAATTCCATATTACCAAAAAAAGTGATCCCAACTGACTTAGGCGTAAAAAAGGATGTATAAAGGCTGATTTTCACCCCGGGATTAAAATCGACACTTGCACTATATTTCAGATATTGTCCAATCTATAATCAGGAAAATATGTTTAAGGTACACTATGTCTAGAGTATATATTGCATGCCCATACTAAAAACTCATGCAAGAATTTTCATCCGTCATTTTCTTTATACCTTTTTATTTACACTTTTCCTAAACCTTGCTCTTGTTGTCGAGCTAAATCTCGCCCGCTTTTGCCGACGAGGGGTAGTATCACTGATGTTAAATTGTTCTGTGAAATTTCCATCTTTGACTGAAATTAGTGGCATCAATTCCACAAAATAGTTTTCATTTTCTGTGTAAAAGCTCAAAACCTGAAAGAAAACCATGGGTGCGATATAAGGGATTCGTTACAGTATGATTTAATAAAATAATATTCAAACATGACCATGAAGGGAGAAGCGTACGGCAGCGTCTTTGATTGAGACAACTTCGCAATAAATGTTGTGTAAAAACTGCCGAAAATAGATTAAAATAAGCCCATTTTAACAGGTTTGTGCAGCATATTCTCAAAAACGTCGCATTTTACCGTTTTATATATCTGAATGATAACTATAGTTAATTCTCCCTGCATGTTATACTCACCTTTCCAAAAAATGCATCACTTTCTCTTCCAACAATTATATCACCGATCGTAACGTTAGCACCATTCTCGACTATCTTTAAACCAAGCAGATCGTCTCCACCCAAACAAGAGCTAGTTGTATCTTTCAAAGATTTATATCTGGAAACAAATATGTATATAAGCATATATTTAAACACTTTGCTAAGATCTGAACAGACATAAATAGAAACAGTTTTGATTGAATGATCATGCATTTTTAGATTTCTCTACAAATTGAACGATCAACTTATGCCATGGACTGAAACGATAGCTTGCTACAGCAACTTAAAAGCTATTATAAGTTGCAGGCAAATTGATAAAATTGTTATCAAATACTCTAAAGGGGTTATCATTATAAGTGTGGTCCTAGGATCGTTTCCTGAAGGATTCCGCACCTATACGTAGCCTACAACGAATTTACAATAATAGCTGGGTTGCAATGATCATGCAGCAATGCCATATTTAAGAGTGTCGATGGTGTTCTCATCCTGGAATAACCTTGGACATGAGTATCCATGTTCTAACTTTTACCTATTCCATCAGGTTACTCCTTACATTTTCCGAGCCTAACTACTGACATAGAGTAATCATCCATAATAAGCATCCATATAATATAGAGGTTACTAGCCTATGTAGTATATAGCTAGCTACGGAAATGGTACGAAGTTGGGAACGTTCAGACCGCAAACTAACGAGAATTTAGACATGCAAGTGCATGTCAAGCTTACGTAATTCTTCGAATATAAGTTATACCTACTTCTTCGAATTTGAAAAACCGTGGTTACATGTTGTCAGTTCAGTATAAACAAACATGGTATATTCCTCTTGAATAATGTCCGTAACGGTCTCTAGAAAACCGTCGCTGCTATTGCCAACAAGAACATGACCAACATTCAAATTTCCACTGATGGATGTCATGGAAATGACCATGAAGAAAGTTGTGACCTCTTCATTATCATCAGTCGTGTAGGTTTTTGCTAAACATTTATATACGTTGTTGCCTGACCCTGTCAAATAAAGTAAAAACATTCATCAAAGATTTTAAAACATCAGTTAGAAATAAAAATTATTGTTATAATTCCTAAAAATCTCGCCAACAAATATACCCAGCAATATGCGACTTATTTCTCACTATAAAATCTGTTAGCTAAACAGTTTCTTTATATTAACGAAATGCAACATTTCATTCAACTAAGCAGTATTTATATGTCCATGCAACCTACCGGTAGAAATAGAATGTACTTTTGTCTCGTTAATTGGGAAATCTCCTGAGAGAACATCTTGCAATAAGCTGTCATCAGGACGGTCTTCAAACAAGTCTTGAACTAACACGGTCTGAAGTGGAACCTCTTGATTGAAATCACTGTAGGAAATGGCCTCCTCCAGTGTTGCCGGAATTACGCTCATGAGAACATGTTGATCTATAGAAGAAATAACGAGGCGTTGTAAGACGACGAATATCACGCAAGGTTTACGCAAAGATTTCTCATCGTAAAGCGACATCTCTATGCATGGCAAGACGTTTTTGATTGTTTGATGCGCGGGTCGGACCCCGAATATTCAAACAAATCACAGCGATTTGTATCAATTCAAGGAAGTTCGATGAGAAAGAATTTCAGTTGAAAGAGTTTTTTTTAAATAGCTAAATTAAGTAAATTCAAATGTTTTAAAAATCAACCCCCCCCCAGCCCGTGTGTCCTTGATTATAATACTCCACAAATTGTTTTTGCCACAAATGATATTCTTTCAACAAACCTTGCATCGTTTAGAAGGAACATGTGAAAAACAGTCCCGAACATGCGGGGAAAAATCACATACATTCAAAAATAAAAAAATATTGGTAGAAGCTAACGAGACTCTTCAACTCTCCTTATCTTCAAGTTACCACTTTCTAGTTCATCTTTCCCTCCCCTCCCCCCTTTAAACGATTTTATTAAGATATGCCCGGACCTGTGAATGCAATATCTTCGATTTTGTGAAACACTCCCTCTGCTTGTGTGCTTGATATGATGTCTCCTTTCTCCAATTTCATGCTGCTTTGTTTTGTCACAATAACCAAGCCCTCTTCAACTGGACAACCATATAATTTCAAGTCATCGGAATTGATTAGTTTTACATTTGACATCGTTACGACTTTGTCAATCCGTGAAGTGTCTTCGTAGTTTCTCTGTACAAATCCTTTTGCACATTTCCTTTCGTCCCACCCATAACATCTTGGTGATGTGGAATTGTCCTGAACGCAGATTAAAAACTTAATGACTTTGCGTAATCGTGCATGCAGACAAGGTCCAGATTAGAATAATTCATTTTCAGGTTTTTAAATTGGCGCTTTACTGCTCGGCCAAATAGGTATAGGTAGAGCATGAATTTTTAATTCAAAAATTCGCGTTACTATAATTATCATACTCAGTGCAAATTAACTAAATAAAATCATACTGTATTGTTGTAATTATAGCAGCGTTCCAAATCTTTGCATTGCTGACAACTTCCTTTGTTTGACCGCGACTGGTCAAAATTGCACAAATTTGTGCTGCAATCGATAACCTGCA